CCCCCGTCCCCCGAGAATGTTACACAATAGGTGAGTGCATCCTTATCGGTTTTTAACGTTCTTTATCCTCCATAATACGATTACCTACTGGGAAAGAGCCGTAGGTACGCAAAAACGACTTTTTTCGCCCCCCCCCCACTAAAACTTATTCAAACTTCGTCTATCAGTTACTCATACTGGAGCGCTCCGATCCCCAAATTTTCAGACCCCCCAAAAATTGTGGGGGGCGCTAGGGGGGATGGAAGTCAAAACCTGTGAACCTGGATATCTTTCGAACGAAAAAAGATATTTAGGCCCGGTTTGAACGAAAAATCGTCTAAAATTGCATACTTTAAGATTCTAAAGGCCAAAATCCCAAAATTTTATTTTTAAGGTACTTGTGTGCTTTTTTCAGTTTTTTGAGGAGAAACAATTTCTTTTAAACAGACTACTTAAACTGAAAGATCACATTTTTGTATTGGAACAAAAACCAGTTTTTTAAATTGTTCGTCTTTTTCCGCATCCAACGAAAGCGGTCACTAAAGTTGGGGAACCGAACAGTTCCGGAGTTATGAGCGATTGAAGTTTCCGCAACGCGCGCCGACCGATTTTCGCGCGCCAAAATATGGTTCCAAATAAGCCAGATTTGGGTGTTAATGAATCAGACTTTACGTCCAAACCGTACAAAATTCATTTTTAGGTATTCTAGAGGGTAGCTGAGTTCAAAAATTACAGATACTTCCAAAAATTCACTTTTTTCCCGTAGCGCTACTTGAGAGGTCCACCGAGTGCCGACCAACCGGCCGCTCAGTGGGCCTCTCAAGTAACGCTACGGGAAAAAAGTGAATTTTTAGAAGTATCTGTAATTTTTGAACTCAGCAACCCTCAAGAATACCTAAGAATGTATTTTGCACGGTTTGGACTAAAGTCTGCAAACGGCTCTTTTTTCCCAATATTAATGCCCGTCCTTAAAATTTCTAGAGCCCTAGCGATCATTATGACTATTTGCCCCCCCCCCTTCCCCCCCTCTATACTGCATATCCATAAAAAGTACTTAAATTGTTGAAGGAAATTATGTAGGATATCACAATGATCAGATACTGGTAGAGTTTTATTTATCATCAGTATGATTGCAATGCAACAAAATAATTATTAAACAAAGAGTTCAACCAGAAACTGAATTCTGAGCATATTTCCAAACATTTAGAATTTTATTTTGCACAACAAATCAGAAAATAGAAAATATTACAGAAAAAAAATGAATCTGAATTTCAATGAAACAGTAAAATTTAAGTAAGTTGATAAGTAAAAAAAAGTAATAAAGATTACTTTCACTTGTACAGAATTTAAAAAAATGCTATATTAAATTTCATCATGCTACTCTAGTAGCTTTGACCGTTTGGAAAAAAAGTTGAAAAATGTCAAACAGAAAAACTCTTAAAAAACTGTTAAAATATGAAGAATTAGAAAACCCTTTAATCCCGAGTAGCAGTGATGGTGATAAACAGCGATTTTATAGGTTAGTTATCGCGATTATATCGGTGGCAATTTATCGCGATATTACTGAGGGAAAAATTGCGATTAAATCACTATCCATCGCAATTATTGGCCTGATAAAATGGCGATCAATATTTGTCGATAAAATCAAAATAAAATCGCCCCACATCGCAATTTTCATCTTAATAATATCGCGCTAAATTGCCGGGAGATATGATTTTGATAGGATCGAGTATGATCGCTCAGATGTTGATGATCCTAAAGATTTCATCGCCAATAAAATGGCAATATATCGCAATTTTTCCTTTGAAAAATATATGCTACTTGGGATTTAGTCATTTTTCACATAAAAATGCCACCTTATACTTTTATGAGTTTTTTATCAGTTAGTTTGAGTAAATTTTAGGAAAATTTAGGTACATTTTTAGTTTTGTAATTAGCATAGTTTCTATTTATCTTTGCAATGGAGGATTTGCATGCAAATTTTTTATTGCTTCATCTGAAAGTGCTTAAAGAGCTGATTTCACAGTACTTTTTATAATTTTCTTCTGACATGGGAAATGCTTTAAAAATAGATTTAAAAGTGAAAAAATGCACCGCCTGATGACGTCATCTGGCAGCATTTCCCATTTAAACACATGTAATTTAGCAGAATCGGTTATTTTGTCATATATCCTCTAATAATTGCTCAATTTATGAATGAAGGGTATCTCCGTGTTCAGTTCGCTCAGTAGATTCCACTTAGACATGAAATTCATCAAATTTCAGACCCTTGCAAATTCTCCATTCACATCTTCACAAATGATTTTAGCATTTAATGAAACTTCGTGCAAATTTTTATGATATCTCCTTTTTAACAAAATTTCATGTCATGTTTAATTAAAACAAAAAAAGGTTTTCCAACTCATATGTTGCAACAGATTTTACATTTTTCTTTACATCCAATTTTAACAGTCAAAGTTAGTGGCATACCTACAGATAAAGATATAATAAGATTGATTAAAATTTGGTGAAATGAAAAACAGAGAAGAAGAAAAAAAAAAAAACAGTTCTGAGAATATACAAATATATAGGAAAATATTTGAGGTATCAGTGTAATACATTAGGAAAAAATAGGTAATCCTCTATTTTAAATGAAATAAAGAGTATCAGTCACTCTAAAATTAGAAATTCCTTAATAAATCAGCAAGGTTTGCAGTATTACATATGAACATTGAACAGAAAGGAAAGCTCCCAGGTTCCAAGATGCAAAGAGAAAAACTGAATTTATTGATTGTGGCATTTTTTAAATTTTGAAGTTAGTTTGGAAGAGGGCAACAATTAGGCACGACTATCATACCTTCATGACATAGATATGTAATAAAACCATTCAGGAAAATTTGCATTTTTAAAGAGTTAACTTATTAGCATTCTTAATTTTCCTGATTCCTTTCACTTCCTACTGAGGATTTAACTGATTAAGCAGCGCGGAACGGAGATTCACATAAAGACTAACACCTGAATTAGAATCATTTATCAGTGGATTTGGAACGATTTGTAAACTTATGTTCAGTATGAAAAGCATCATATTTTCATTAAAGTCTAATTTGAAAGTCTTAAGATGAACTTTGTGCCAGTATTCGTGATCATAGCTCATATCTAGGCAAACGCTGTGTAATTTCATATCGAATCCTTCTTTAAGCATTCCTGCCAGCCACAGTTGTTCAGGCGTTCTGCCATGCTCTGTGCGCATGCTGTGCTTATTCCAGGCATGCCTGAAAGCCCTTAGAGTGTTACTGATTCTCGGTAAAAAAATATAGTGCAAACAAAAAATATCAAGAATGTTGTTTTCATCAAGAATAAGATTGCTCTCTAAAAATAAAAACAGCTCTTTAAAATTATTGCTTACTTGCTCATTTACATCACGCCACAATCTTTCAATACGTTGATTGTGTACTGATGGGCCTTTTATAAAACTCCCTCGGCCTTCCCCCATCACAGTCACCATAAAATGCCTAACTGAAGAGTTTTCACCTCCGCTGTCCCCTCTTACCCTCGAAGGAACACCAAAATTATCAACGCCAGTCAGAAACTGTTGTAGAACTGTTTCGGCTTCATTGTCAGTGCTGCTTTCTACAAAAATTATATAGCGACTGAAACCATCTATGCAGCCATGAATAACGATTCGGAACATGACGAGTTTATGTGTTCCATCAATGTGCCTGAAACAATTGAAAAACAAACCATTAGGAATAAAAAAATGAATTGGAATGTCCCAGAAGCTAGAAGTGGAATGCAAAGAGTTTTGGAACTTTTGGATTTTAATTATAATTTGGTTTCACAAAAAAAATTATATTGTAAGAGTTGCAATTGCACCAACTTTCACATTAAGTACCTCAGAAGAAAAAGAAATAGACACATGAGATTCGGAACCAAACAGCCTTGCCTGAAAGCATATGCACTGGAGAGAATAAAAAAATTTCTACCGTCTCCTATCCAGAGTGGCAAGTCAAATTCTATTTCAAAATTCCCTGACTTTTCCATGACTTACTGATGGAATTCCCTGACCTTTGGTAATTATCACAAACCATCAAATCAAACACATTTTTTTCACGGAAAACAGTAATCGTTTGCTGGATGGTTTTAGTGTTTCAAAAAGGTTTTTTCGATAAGTAATTGCAGTTGAGCATGAAGTACAAATATTGATCGGCTTTGATAGAAAGGAAATTTCAAAATTTTGAGGAAAAAATCAAAAAGTCCCTGACCGGGCACAAAAATCTCTGACTTTTCCCAGTTATTCAAAATTCCCTGACTTTTCCCTGATTTCCCGGTTCTTCCTGACGCTTGCCACCCTGCCTATCACTCTTTCCCACGATGAAGCAGTCATAAGGTAGATGAATTTTTTCAGAAACATACATACCATAGATAATTAGGGTGTGGTACACTATAGACTCTCCGAGGTATTTTTTGTCTCATTCGTAGATGTACACCAAAAGGGTCGATTCGTTTCATGGCTTCCTTAACTCTATTAACATTTATTTTGAATCCGTGGGTTAGCAGAACGCCTCGGATCATAACAGCTCCTGCATTGGGTAAGCTCTGCATAATACTTGGTAACACATCTTCTAAAGCTAGTTCATCTAAATTCATATTTGGTTCTTCAATGCCATTGCTTTTACGAAAATTATACATTGACTGCCTTGAGAGTCCAAATATGGCCCCTATTTTGGACCATGGTAAGCCACTCTTTCTTAAGTGCAAGACAACATCAATGTCCAACTCAGCTATTCCTGCTACAGCCGCACCTTTATCTTCAGCATGAGAAAGTAAAAGGTCATTTAAACAACAAGAAGCAGCAGCGACCAATTGCAGTAGAGAATTCTTAGTTTGAGATATAAGTTCCTCATCATATGCAGGCAATTGCGATAATAATGTATCTAAAAATTGAATATGATGATGTACATTTGGCAGACTCTGTTGTATGAGAAAAACATTCTGTTGTTGCAGACCATTGACAAGTTGTTGGATATCATGATTGATCACATCATGAACATTGTCCATTCCATCAGCCTGTAACAGAAGAAAGATAAAAGTGATCATATTAGCAACTTTCTGCACTGATAAACATGCACTCGGACATTTAAGTACTGATATTATAAAAAGCTCAAGATTTTCGAAATCGACAAAATTTCATGAAACTTCACCATGGAAAGCTCATCACACAATCAGTGTTTTCCAAGTATTCATGGGGGCAATCGTGGAATTGCCGTTGAATAGGGTTTTTTTCTGTAAAATGCGCGATCAGATTTTTGGGTCGCAGAAATGTCTATGAATATTTATTGCACTAATAAGTCCTTCAGCGACCTAAAATATGAACACTCCACGAATTTTCCAGAAAAAAGGAATATTCAACAGGTCTTTGTATGATTAAATAGAGCAAATTATCACCTTGGCGATACAAAGAGAAAAAAAGAAAATTAAAGAAGAAAGAAAAGCTGACAGGAAAAAAAAATTAGTTGCCATTAATGAGTTTCCCTTAGTCTTGCTATTTTTCCTGTGAAAACTCGGCAGTAACTTCATGTTAGTTTCAAAGGCTTGCAAAACAAAGAAGTACAGAATCATTCAACCCCAAAACATTGACAGTTCTATGCCATTTTTCCTAACAGCAAGAGGATCGTTAATGATTTTTTCAATGTTTACCCCTGATTCTTTCTTTCAAACCACTATGGTCATCTTTTGACAATTACGAAATGACTCTTCCATACCCACAGACAATATAAAGGATCATTGAATTGGAGATCGAAGGGACTTTCACACTCACCATCGCTGCAATTCTTATGAATAACGTTGATTCTGCAGTTTAGAGCAACTAAAAGGATCACAAATATTCGATGGGACCCTGAGTGCATTAAGTTTTATGCATGCTCGAACAAGCCTTGGTGATACATGATTCAGGAGCATACAGGACAAGTTTCTGAAAAAGAGAAGAAAAGGCACAAGATTAAACTCAGAAAACATGTTCAGGACTGAGTGGAAGAAAATAAAAGAAAAATGTGATTTCAATTCAACAGGACCAGACTGGAAATGCTTGAGTGTTTTACAACCCAACAGACATTGCTCAATCCACTTTGATCGACTGAGGGAATTACTTTATTTTATTTTTTTTTTCAACTAGTCGTCAAGGGCTAATCCCATCTGTCCGCATCTTTCCATGGGCCCTTCCCTGACTTTTTTGCCTAATATCTTCTTGTCCCTGTTTCAAAATGAATAAGAACAGGAATTTTTTCTTTCTATAATACAGTCTCTAACTTTCTCCTATGTACAATCCAAACTCCTTCCACCTGTAGCACATGGGTAGTTCTCCATCACCCCAGTTTTTTCTTTGCAATGTCATTGGCTCATGCACTACCCTATTTCTAAACGCTCCTAGTTGCAAATCCTTCCATTTCTCGCAACCAAACAGCGTATATTCTCTCAGTTCCTTAAGAAACAACATGTTATGTACTTCCCTAATCTCATTTTATTTCAATTCTACATTTCTTCCCTTCCTCCTCTCTAATACCTCAATAATCTCTTTGTCCCTTACATCAGTCAGTCCTTTCCTCATTTTATACATTACAATGAAGATTCTGGCTTTAATCAACAATTCCATGGACAGCCAGCCCAGCATCTCTGACAAGTCTATTATTCCGTTTCTCCTATCACACCCTAGTATATATCTCATCGCCGAAATTTGTCCTTTATGCAAGTCCTTGAGTTCTTTACTATTTGCCTCTCCCAGAAAGGAAATGCAATAGTTCAGTTTTGATGCAATTAACGAATTATCAAGATCAATCTACACAGGTCAGTCATTCCCGATGACGAGTTTTGGAGCTCTACTGCGCAATGACGAACAATTGGCTGTCCGCAATGAATTTCTCATGAGAGCGGTCAGTGTGCGGAAAATTGGGTGTGCCAACTTAGGGCCAGGCAGGGGAGTGAATTTAAACAAAGATGCACAATGACAGCCCAGTGTAGATTGATCTTGCCAATCAAACACCAACTTTCTACTTACCTTACGTATGAAATCCTTTACGTTCCATAACATACTAATCTTTCCCCTGAAATCCCTTGTCACCTACTCTATATGTTCTTTCACTTTAAGGTCGTCAGTTAACCAAACTCCTAAATATTATGCTCGACAAATTAAGAACGGAAATATATTTCTTGTGCACATGATCAAACTTTCTGGTAGGAACAGCTCCGCCAAACTTGGGTTTAGGCAGGTTACAATGAAANTTTTTTTTTTTTTTTTAATTACAAAAGGTGAAGGTATGACAAGATTCCGTTCTGGGCCCAATTCTTATGGGAGATGCATATACCTCTTTAAATTAACGACTAGGTAGACTATAAACTTATTGGTGCTTTTGTAGGTTAATTGACTAAAGAGCTTTGATATTCAAGGGAGGATCGTCCTATCACAACTGTTCAATGGATATATTGCAGGGAGAGGGGGGGGGGGATTGATTGCTTTATCTTTGAATGAAAATTGAGATATTTTGATAAAGTACGGCGTTAAGTAGTTGAAAATTCGGGGGTTGCGCCTCACTTATGGATTTTTTTTTTAAATTTCATGGTAAAATAATGTACCTTAACACTGAAAAATTTTGAAGTATGATTTTTCTTGTCAACTGCTATAATAATTTTTTTCAAAATTGATTGTATGCATCCTATTAAGTATGGTTTTGTTTTTTTCTTTTTTTAAATAAATATACTTTTAAAGAGACTCAGCATCCAAAGAGGAATGAGACGCTTATGACTTATGACAAGAGAAGCAAGAACAATGGTGTTGAGTGCAAGAAAAAGTTTGTTAAAAATGCATTGGCTCTTAACTTAATTTCTTAGAAAAACGAACTACGTAGGTAAAGGATTTGATTTAAAAGTTCAAAAGTTAAATACTTGGTAAATACTTACCCACAAATAGTTTCTCAAATGACACAATTCGTGATGATAAAAAAACTCCGAACATTTTTTTAAAAGCTGCCGGTGATGCGCGTGGGTCCATTTTTGAACTTTGAGGGTCATGACGTCATCCATGGTATTTCTTGACACACAGAAAGGAGAAAACTAATAATTTGAACTAAAATACCATTAAATTGATGGTAAATGAAAAGAAAATAGATAAACAAAAGTTTAGATTCTTCTCCTGCAGATAAAGTGTTTGTATTTATTAGGTACTTCAGCTTCTATAAAATCTAGAATCTTTTTACATTAGACTCCACTTAATTTCTTTAAGAACTTGAAAGTCTTATAATCTCACAATAATTTTGATTTCAAACTTTTAACCGATATTGAAAAGTAAAAGTTGGCTGTTAAAACCTCTCTGAAATATTAACAGCAAATGGAAAAAAGTTCCTGATTTTGAATTTTAAAAACATTATATTAATTAGGTAGGTATTACTGTTCTTTTTTTTTGNGGGGGGGGGGGGGTCAAAGTAGTCAGTTACCATGTTAAAGGTGAGAGGAAGTTATGTTGATGAGTCTTCAAAAGACTTAACAGACCTCCTTTGAGGAACAGCATCAATAAAAGCGGTTCTTAATGATATTGATTTTATGGTACACTATAAGCAATGTATAATCCATTCCTTGACGTCACTTTCAAAATTGATCTCACTTTCAACAGTACATAAAATACAACTACATGATAACATACAAATATTTCTCAGGCAGAGCATTAGAGAATTACAAATTTATAAGAAGAAGCTGGAAATTACTAAGTCAAATGGCTGTAGAGCTCAGAGCAGGATGATATCCTGTGCATTACTGAATGGAGGTGGGAGTAATTAGAGAAAAGATGAATGATTTTCCCACACTTACTCACAAACGGAGATAAACTTATCAACAAAAATTGGATAACTCAGAGTTTGAAAGATTAAATGAGACAGCTATGTTCCAAATTTAAGACTGCTTCTCTAATCATAGACATCTTGCACTGTTCCATTCATTTTTGGTTGTGAGTTCTCGATAAGATTATTTCTAATACTCTCGCTCTGCTCCCTTGCCCCTTTTTGGCCCTGATTTGGTTCCATCTATACATATCTGATTCACAGCATGCGGTGAAAGTTTGTATCAGCTGAAAGCGTAGGCTATATACTCTGCCAAGCTGAGGAAGAACGCTGTATGAACATACAGTTGCCAAATTTCTTCCTATAAAACGTTCATTTTAGAGGAGAGTTAAGGATATTATCTCTTGAAATTTTCAGATACTTTCGATCTGATTATTCATTTGAAAAAAAAAAATAATAATTGAAAAAATCGTGGAAAAATAATTTCAGATTTCCCTTAAAATTTATTCACATTTTACCTGTCGATGGAAATTAGTAGCATCTGAAGGCTCATAAAGGCTTTCATCCTTGGCCAGGCAGTGCTGGTGGAAAAATCTGGAGCTTCATTACACATATATGGTCTTTTACATTGTTAGTAAATGCGCGGTAACTTGACAATTCATAATTACAATCTCATGATGTAAGATTATGTAATAAAAAAATAATAATTAATTTAAAATACATGTAATTTTGATAAATAAGATAAACCATAATGAATACTGAATTAGAGAATCATTCAACTTTGTGTGGAGCAAAAATACCTGAAATTGGAGGGGGTATCTACTATTTTAAAATAGGTATCATGCAAAACTAGTTTAATTCATTTATTAACTACCTACTAGCTTCTGCTCTTCCAAGTCTAGGTACGAGAAAACGGTTTACCGATTCATGAATTCTTTCCTTTCCTTTTAAAAGGACACCTATTCATTTTCTTCTTACAAATAATTCCTCTTTTACTAGTTTTTTACATTTTTTTTTTCTTTTTTTAACAGCCAAACTACTTGAGGGACAACTTCTAGATTTCTTTGCTGTAAGTTCATTTAGTGTAAAGTTCCAAAAAGCTTGTCAAATATCTATTAAAACCTCTTGATGACGTCCAAAATTGATGGAGTGGTCAGTTTAACATTTCCTAAACGTAAAAAAGAAAAAGTTAAGGTTTGTGAAGAAGTGAAGAACGAAGTTAAACAAAAATCATGTTAACTTTTTATCAGCGTTTTTCACTAATAAAGCATTCAATACTGACGATAATCATGCTTCAATTCACTGTCTCTATCACTTTTCTTCTTTAATTTGCCACTCCTATTAAACTGCTAGTCAATCATAACTGAACAAAACTGTACAGGATGGATTGCAAAGTTTGGAAAATTTTACAATCTAGAAAGAAAACTAGGCTATGAGGTTTTGAGAGGTTGAAATTCTCGTCTGTTCCAACAGATATTTCTACAAAATTTGGCAAAACAAACAGAGATTTTACTTGGAAAAATGAGACAAGAGTTGGGATTTTAAAAAGAACTGCAAAAAGTTTTCCATTTACTGAATAATTCAACATAAAAGTTTCTTAACTATCTTGCAACAGAATGTTTTAAAATTACTCAGCAATTCACCAGAAAACAAAGACAAATGAGACTAGGTAAGCGATTTTACATTCACTCACATCAGCTATACTCTGAAATGAGTGAGATGGTATACATGATTTTATTACACCTGCGCCAAAATTTACCACAACTAATGCAACAGAAAAAAAATTATGACTGAACAGAACATCAATACCTACAACGAGTATTCAATTTTACCAATTGCAAGATTTTTTGAATAAAGCTTCTCCTCTTTTTTCACAACCATTATGTTGGTATCTAATGTTTTTACATCCTTCGACATTGCTGTTACTTAGAATAGGAAACATATCAAAAAAAGCACAGTAACCTAATAGGTAAGTATGGTTCAACCAAATGTAATAATTCCTCGAAGACGTCCTTGATTTTTCTTTTCTATGAGCATTCTATTTTTGTTGTCTTGTTTCTCTTCCAAAAAAATAAAAATACATAAGAGCAGAAATTTTGAGACACCACGTTGGAGATACAAGATTTCGCATTTTGGCCATCAATTTTCTACTTACAAAAGAAAGACATGACAAATGAATAGGTGTATAAATAAATTAAATAAAAACTTGTATAATAATAATATAATAATACTAATTTTTATTCTTTCACTTGTCCACAGTATATATACAGGCAATATGACAGGTCATCCTTATGCCTAGAATACAGTTTATGTACATTATGTCCCTCAGGGGGCTGGGGACAAAAATAACTAAACCAACCCAGGATTTGGAGGCCGGAAGTGTCCCTCTATCACTAGTATGAATTTCGTTTTTGGAGACGGGACATTTTGGGGGGTCTTTGCATAGAGTCTTTTTCACATGAGTGGTCTCTCGTGATTAAATTTGCACCGAAAAGTAAAGACAGAGGTAGGTTCAACAAAATTAATTTTAATAGATGATAGTGTAAAATTGGAACATTTATACAGTAAGAGACTCAAAATTTTCCTTCACAAAATGATTATTTTCTATGGCTTTGATGCTCTAAAAGGGACACTCTCAAGTACACATTCCAGTGAAATTTTTGTACTCTTCATTCAAGATGATAATTATCGAAAGTTCTTGTCAACAGTATTGGCCTGTCTATTTTTACTCAAAAAGGTATAAGTTTATGGAGCAGATGGATTCAGTAAGAGGAAGCTAGTCCTAACAAAAGTTTGAAACATGCGTCTGAGTTTCGATATCAATTAACCGATTCAACAATTTTTGGGTTTGTGTCTCCGAGTCGATCAGGTAATTGAAAGATGTAGATGTTTGCGTTTGAGTGCTGCTAAAACTTTGAGACCAAAGAGCTGTCACTTGATACGGATTTTCAAAGGGATCAGTTTGGGTTTCAGAGGTGGTCAGTTCATCAAGCAGGGATTTATTATTCCTAATGTCTTGATATGGCAGGAACACCGTCTGGGTGCCAACATCTTCTTCCCGCAATTGTTTGCAATTTGAGGTTTCATAATTGATACGGTAGCATTCGTCCAACTGCGCGATAGGCGAGTCGCCAAAAAGCTGATCCTCCAAATCTGTCTGTGTGATATTGTCAGACCATGAGCACAGGCTAAGCCCAGTGGTTTGCGTGCTTTGTGATAATTTCGGAGAGTTGGACGTCTCAAAGTTATCATAATAGCTTATCAAATCTGATAGATTGTTGGAGGAATCATCAAAGAAAGATGACTGAATGTCTGTCTGAGAGAGCTGACTAGAGGAGTGGAATGTTTGTGTGCTCTGAGAGAGTTTTGGTGAGTTAGAGAACTCAAAGCTATCATAGTAGTTGCACGAGCTGCCGTCATCAAAAATGACATCACAGCCAGTTCGTGTAAATGCAAAATTTGAAGCAAACGGCTCCATAGTCTGAGTGCTTTGAGATAATTTTGGGGACGTTGGCAATTCACAACCGTCAAATACGCTCCTAATGTCGGAGTTGCGCTTACTACTAAAACTATTGAGCTCATTTAAGTTCATGTCAGTTTGGGGAAAACCCAGGAGGGGCTCGCTATCTCTTGATTTTTCGCCTGGTCCTGACCATTCTGGACAGCTAGAATTAGCAGGCTCATTACATTCTATCTTTACAATTAATTTTGACTCATCAGAACTATTGAGGGCGCTTTCAAAAGTTTTGATAGGATTTTTAGTAATATGGAAATTGGAGTCCGGGCCAAAACCTCTGACTGGATTATCATTTTCCAACAAAGTTGTATTCCCCAAGTCAAAAACTTCTGTCAAATTATTCTTGCTCTGAAAAATTGTTGAAAAATCAGATGGTTTAGAAGTAGTTTCTTTAACCTCCATTAATTTTTTCAGAACAATATTTCTTTTGACTAATGAACCTAGATCAGTTTTCGCTCGTGGTGCTGCAGTAATACGTTTCTTCTTCGACAAACCTGTCAGCAACTGCAAGTTTTCTCGATTTTTAAAGATTGTCTTTGGTTCTGGACTAAATTGAGGAGAAATTGAAATCTGCAGCCCTTCTTCAGTACAAACAGGGATGGAGGGTTTTGGAAGAATGCACATGAAGGATGTTTTTGCCATCTTCAGTCTATAAAAAAATACAAATAAGATTAATAATCATAAGAATGGACATAGTTCATGCAGGGTTTAAAATCCCAAATCATGTGACAATTACGTATTTTCAAAAACAATTTTTGTAAATTTTCTTGTATCATCTCTACTATGAGCTCTGAGACCTCCTAAATTTGCCTTCCTAATCTGGTAACGCATAGTTCCAGCTTTCTACCGGGCCAATTTTCATGAATTTTACGGCTACCGACAGGTAATTGTTTTTAAATGAGCTTGCTTTATTCAAGTTTAGAAAATTTGACCCAGGTTTTTGGATAATACATGGTAAAATTGCGAATTTTCCCGCTTAAACAATGTAAATTTTTATTTTTTGTCACAGTTTATTAGAGCGTTCTATCGGTCCGATTTCCATAATTTTTCTGTTATCAACAGATGATAGTTCCTGGATGAGCCCGCTGTAATCAGAATTTGAAAATAGAGCCCAGACTTTTTTATATGAGACTGGACCAAAGAGCTTAGGAAAGGGGGCAAAATTTGAAACTCTCGCCATTATTCATTGGCGGGAATTTCAAATTTAGCGGAAAATTTAACTGAGCAGGAAACGTTGAATCTTGGTCTGTTGGTAGGGTAAGTGAATTGAAGGTATGCTCCTTTGCTACAGAATAGCAAAAAGCGACAAAGCGCTCCGCTTCGTTTCGTTTCAGTCTTGGCGAGACGTTTGAAATAAATGCCGAGTTTTTCATTTGATTCACCTTGGTCCAATCGCTCCCGGCTAGAGGGAGATTGGGCAAATAAGAGTCAGATAAGAAAATCTTTTCATTTTCTTTGGTAGTTCTTTTGCAGACGCGGGCCTAAGAGAGCGCAAAGAGATCTCTGGGGGCTGAGCTGCGTAGCGGCCAGGGGGCATACACCCCCAGTAATTGAATGTGCAGTGAAATTTTTCATTATAAATGAAGTTTTTCCAGATGAAAATTTGGAAAAAAACTGCAATGCGGTTCAACTGCATTAACATACAGTATAAACCGTATGAGGGACTGTTGTCACAGGGTTAGGGATCCTGCGAACCCCAGCTGGTAGCCCCTGCCTTAAAGACAAAGCTATAAAGCCCACTTATTCTTCTTTGAAAAAAGAAAACTAAGAGTGGAGATTTGAAACAGCACAATGGAGATACAAGGTGTCGCATTTTAGCCATTGATATATTTTCTCCCATTTCTATAATTATAGAGGACAAATATAATATGTTACCTTCTATACTTATCATCTACTGAATGATTTTTACGCGTGGCGTGCAAGAGTAAGTTATGGCGTGACGAATAAGACTGGCCGCAGGAACATTTAAATTCAATACCACATTCACCCAAATGGCGTTTTAAAGCTGCTTCAATGGAGAAAGACTTGTCACAGCGGCTACATGTGAAGCGTTTTTCACTATGCACTTTAAGAAAATGCTGGAACACAAAATTGAAAAACTATAGAAAATGGGAAATCTTGATAAGAAGTAATAAAGGCCTATACATAGAATACCATGAAATTTGACGCCCTTTAAATTTTGATATCATACAGCATGTTGTTTTTTACAACTTTTTGAATCTGAAGAATTTATAGAATACACATTTTCCATGTGCCAATCTTGAGACAAGCAGGGCTGAAAAGTGACTTTTTTGCCTCTCTTACACACATTTCCTGCTGGATAATATTATAAAACTCCCATTTTGAAGGTTCAATAGGATAATGAAATAAAAACATGTGCACTCTAATTTTGCTGATATTCACCACAATTACTAGGCTTAAATCTTGAGTGCCAAAAATTTAGAGGTAGAGAATAATTAACATAAGTACCTGTTTCAAATACTTCAGCTGGTCAAAGAATATTTTCTTCTTGTTTGACTTTATGTTATCATGATACTGGCAGAACTTGACCGGGCAATAATACTGATAGATTACATTATCACTCTTCTTTTCGAGACTGCTTCGATTTGGTTCGATGAGCTTATGATACTTCTCTAGGTGCATTGTCAGATTCGAGGAACTCTTGAAGATCCTTGGGCAATGGTCAACTGGACATGGAATGTTTGTTTTGATATCACACAGATCTGCTTCAGACGGAAAAATTTTCAAAATTGTAAGGTCACCACCTAAAAAAGACAGAGGAGAGATTAAAATTTGACAGTTTGAATCAGATCTACAATTGTGATCAAGTTGGGGTAGGTAGCAAGCATTTACCTTTGAGATTATTTCAACCACTGTTCAGAAAATTCACTCCTGTATCATACTTAGGTATCTCCAAAAAATTCTATCAAATTTTTAAAAAGTTGTCAAAGTTTGAGGAACCTTAGAGAGAATTAAATCTTAAGTCGGGTGCAAGAATTATTATTTGAGGCGGAACAAGGCAAAATGTGCCACTTGTGAAAGTTTGTAATGGCGACTAGTCAGAACACAACTTTTAAGTTTACGTTAGCAATTTTGAGTGATAACCCCTGCATCCAAGGGTTTGTTCAGTGGACTAATTGATTTCTGGAATGTTGTCCTCTCTTCTTACGCATGGTATTGCTCGTGGGTGGTTTCACGATAACTGGAATAGTTTGGTCGCCGTAACAGACAACACAGTTTTCCGTCATATTTTTAGTAGTAATGATAATCACTCAAATTTTTTGCATTAATCTACACACGGTTACGTGTTATAACGCTTTTCAAAGATTTATCGCTCTACACTTCAATTTAATATATAAATGACCGAAAATGCGCTGTCTGTTACGCTGACTTTTTACCGTGTAATAGACAGCACATTTTCAGTAATTTATATATTAAATTGAAAAGTGGAGCAATAAATGATTATAGAAAGCGTTATAATATGTAACCCTGAGAAGATTAATGCGAAAAAAGTCGAGGGATTGTCAGTTCTACTAAAAATATGACCGAAAAATGTGTTGTCTGTTACGGCGACAAAACCATTCCAGATATCGTGAAACCACCCTCATAGGTAAATGGTTCAATAGAAAGGAGACAAGGAAACAACGGATAAAAGGCTAAAATATATAAAATTACACGGGATGTTTTGGTGTCTCACGACACCATTATCAACCACTAAAATCAGTAAAATACAAAAGTAAAAAAGAGATTAAAATAAAAAGAAATCAGCATGGGGTTACATCATAGAGAAAAAAAGGAGGTGTGATATTTTGGATGACGTAGGTCAGTACGGCGACTTTTATCATCAATTTTCTCAGAAATGGTGTAATTTATGGAGAAAAGTCATTCTATATAAAGTGCTTGAAATTATATCATAAGTTGATTTAAGCAAAAAAATGGGACATTATGGTTCGTTTTTCATACTTCGAGTTCCGGATTTCGCTGGCCAGGTTGTACCAACCTACGTCACAGAGTAAACAAACCTATGTAAACACCTCCTTTTTTTTCTCTATAGGGCTTTTTTTTTATGCGGATCGCAGTGGATCGCGATGAACATCGGTATTTTTTAATTCCGTTCCTCAGCGTAATCCAAGCGTTCCAGGTGGATCAGGGTGGAATGCTGGATCGCTCTTCCGAGGTGGGGCGAGCTCGCGATCCACTGTGATCCTAACCTAATGCGAGGAAGTTGCCGTCCCCAAAAAATCAAAACAATAACAAATCGAACCAAATTCCAAGTTTGGATTTTTTTATCACCTGGAACACTTGGATCGGTCCGGATCGCTCAGGATTTCAATCCAGTGCGTTCCACCCTGATCCGCGATAAAAAAAAAGCCCTTATGGGGTTACATGGTGATGGTATGAAATACTGCAGTGATGTTGTTGTTGTTTGTTGAGGTTGATTGGCCTAATTCCACCTTGCGGATAAACAGCCACTTACGAAAGGAAAGGATCACACACAATGATCATTTCCCTAAGGAATAAACAAAGTTTAATAATGTTCCAAATGGTGATTCAACAGGAGTAAACAAAAAAGTCCAAAATATCAACAGACCTCGAAAAAGGCGACAGCTGCTGCCATACTTGCCATGCTCATCCATGCTAGGTTCCTCTGGGTTTATTGAAATTTCGGGCTTTTTTTGTTTACTCCTGTTATCACTGCGGTCTTTCATACCATCACCATGTTACGCCACGCTGGTTTCTTTTGATTTTAATTCCTTTATTATTTTTGAATTTTACTGTTTCTAGCGGTTGATAGTGGTGTGGTAAGACACCGGAATGTCCTGTGTAATTTTATTTATTTAAGCCTTGTTCCTGCTGTTTCCTTTTTACTGTTTCCGTTTAGGGCTGCTTGTGCATGTCTCTGTTCTATGTAAATGGTTCAATTGGCATCGTTTCCTCAAATATCTCTACCAGCAGCTTAAATCATGGGAAAATTTTTATAATACTCTTACAGACAAAAATAGTTTGTGACATGATCAGACGCTTTCTTAAGTTCCTTATCCTGTTGTTTCAGGTCAAATGATAATAGGAAGAATGAGAAAATGATATGTATTCCTGTTATTTTGTTGCCTAAGGAAGTGGGGCAAACATAGCTTGACATGACGTTAGAACTTGTCACTTGAGTTCACTGCCTACTTTCACGTTCTCTTTGGTAGTAACAGTATGTATCGCAAATGATAACGGAAAAATATATTCTACAGTTTTTTCTTGGACATATTCGCGTCTCAATCAATATTGATTAGCTATCTGTTAATCTGTTTAGTCTGTTCTGTAATGATACTCCATGATTCAAGATTCAACATGCACATGCACAGCACACAAGACACAACACATCCGGCTGACGCTGAATCAAAATATAATACACTGTTGTCTGATCGTACAAAAAATAGTTAGTACTTTTCTTTACACTAGGCTAGGCATAGATCGTATTCGATACATCAAACGGGTGAGATTGTATCGATATCGATTGGTTCAAAACATAAACATAGCCTCAAAAGTAAATTCAGAAATCTGAGAGAACGGATCTTTTGAAACAGATTTTTTATTCTTTTGAGTACCAAATGCCAATGCAAAGTGAAATTGTCAGGAAATTTCTCATTTTCAGCTAATCCAATTGAAATCCTTGCAGTTTGGTATGAGGTTATGTTCTATTGTTTTGAACCAAACGATACATCGAACCGTTATCGAATACGGTCTATTGCATTGTTAGAGTACCTTTATAGACAGAGTATGGCCATTCGTATCTTTTTACTAGAGTCCCTTTATACTGAGAGTCAAGACAATTCGGCTCCTGGATGTCACAAATGGGAATAAAGATTACAGAAATTGAACGTTTTTCGTAATCTTTGATCGGCCCATTCTCAAATGCCTTTCTCCGTTCCTCCTCTCATTCCGTTTGTTCCTTGCCGAACCCGTAATTCCCTGGTCCATTCCAGACTATAATCTTTGCAATTGGTAAAAATGTAATCTTTATTCCCGTTTGTGACACTGTGGAGGCCTAAAATACGGGAACCAATCAGAAATGGATTCAAATTGTCTTGACTCTCAGTATAAAGGGACTCTACTTTTTACTACAGGAAAACTGTTCCGCTTTTTGATTGGACAACAAGATTTTGGCTTCATAATGCTCTTAGGGCCTTATATAAACAAACAAGATGGCGACTCACCGTAACATCGATAAGAAGCTAAATTTGACAAAAATATCAATTATACGGCAATAACAATTTAAACTAGCATATCTACGAATAAAACACGAAAAAAACAAAACACAGGCTGGGCCTCGTAATTTGGTCCGCGGTGGTAGAGGCGAGCCCGAATCCGGGTGCCCCGAAAAAACACCGGAGTGCTTTCCGACCATGAGCCCTGGAAAGAACGGCCGTAAACGGGGAGTAAGGCTCAACTTGGATTGGTCCAAACGCTGTTTTGTCCTTTCTCTCTCTCGCACTCATTGCTCAGATGCGGCACGTCAAAGGAGCACACTCGGCTTTGACAAGCCGCCGTTTTATCGTCTATCTCTCTCCCACTCATTGATCAGATGCGGCAACCCGCGGCACGTCAAAGGGACACACACAAACTAGCAAACATACAGGCTGGGCCTCGTAATTTGGCCCGCGGTGGTAGTGGCGAGCCCGAATCCGGGTGCCCCGAAAAAACACCGGAGTGCTTGCCGACCATGAGCCCTGGAAAGAACGGCCGTAAACGGGGACTAAGGCTCAACTTGGATTGGTCCAAACGCTGTTTTGTCCGTTCTCTCCCTCGCACTCATTGCTCAGATGCGGCACGTCAAAGGAAAACTTTCGACTTTGACAAGCCGCCGTTTTATCGTCTATCTCTCTCCCACTCATTGATCAGATGCGGCAATCCGCGGCTCGTCAAAGGGAACACAGACACTTCCAAAAATACAGGCTGGGCCTCGTAATTTGGCCCGCGGTGGTAGTGGCGAGCCCGAATCCGGGTGCCCCGAAAAAACACCGGATTGCTTTCCGACCATGAGCCCTGGAAAGAACGGCCGTAAACGGGGACTAAGGCTCAACTTGGATTGGTCCAAACGCTGTTTTGTCCTTTCTCTCTTTCACACTCATTGCTCAGATTTGGCACGTCAAAGAAGCACACTCGGCTTTGACAAGCCGCCGTTTAATCGTCTATCTCTCTCCCACTCATTGATCAGATGCGGCAATCCGCGGCTCGTCAAAGGGACACACAGTGACTCCCAAAAATACAGGCTGGGCCTCGGAATTTGGTCCGTGGTGGTAGTGGCGAGCCCGAATCCGGGTGCCCCGAAAAAACACCGGAGTGCTTTCCGACCATGAGCCCTGGAAAGAACGGCCGTAATCGAGGACTAAGGCTCAACCTGGATTGGTCCATACGCTGTTTTGTCCGTTCTCTCTCTCGCACTTATTGCTCAGATGCGGCACGTCAAAGGAGCACACTCGGCTTTGACAAGCCGCCGTTTTATTTTCTATCTCTCTCCCACTCATTGATCAGATGCGGCAACCCGCGGCTTGTCAAAGGGACAAACACACACTCGCAAACATACAGGCTGGGTCTCGTAATTTGGTCCGCGGTGGTAGGGGCGAGCCCAAATCCGGGTGCCCCGAAAAAACACCGGAGTGCTTTCCGACCATGAGCCCTGGAAAGAACGGCCGTAAACGGGGACTAAGGCTCAACTTGGATTGGTCCATACGCTGTTTTGTCCGTTCTCTCTCTTGCACTCATTGCTCAGATGCGGCACGTCGAAGGAGCACACTCGGCTTTGACAAACCGCCGTTTTATCGTCTATCTCTTTCCCACTCATTGATCAGATGCGGTACCCCGCGGCTCGTCAAAGGGACATCCAGACACTCGCAAACATATAGGCTGGGTCTCGTAATTTGGTCCGCGGTGGTAGGGGCGAGCCCGAATCCGGGTGCCCCGAAATAACACCGGAGTGCTTTCCGACCATGAGCCCTGGAAAGAACGGCCGTTAACGGGGACTAAGGCTCAACTTGGATTGGTCCATACGCTGTTTTGTCCGTTCTCTCTCTCGCACTCGTTGCTCAGATGCGGCACGTCAAAGGAGCTCACTCGGCTTTGACAAGCCGCCGTTTTATCGTCTATCTCTCTCCCACGCATTGATCTGATGCGGCAACCCGCGGCTCGTCAAAGGGAACACAGACACTCCCAAAAGTACAGGCTGGGCCTCGTAATTTGGCCCGCGGTGGTAGTGGCAAGCCCGAATCCGGGTGCCTCGAAAAAACAACGGAGTGCTTTCCGACCATGAGCCCTGGAAAGAACGGCCGTAAACGCGGACTAAGGCTCAACTTGGATTGGTCCATACGCTGTTTTGTCCGTTCTTTCTCTTGCACTCATTGCTCAGATGCGGCACGTCAAAGGAGCACACTCGGCTTTGACAAGCCGCCGTTTTATCGTCTATCTCTCTCCCACGCATTGATGAGATGCGGTACCCCGCGGCTCGTCAAAGGGACACAGACACTCCCAAAAATACGGGCTGGGCCTCGGAATTTGGTCCGTGGTGGTAGTGGCGAGCCCGAATCCTGGTGCCCCGAAAAAACACCGGAGTGCTTTCCGACCATGAGCCCTTGAAAGAACGGCCGTAAACGGGGACTAAGGCTCAACTTGGATTGGTCCATACGCTGTTTTGTCCTTTCTCTCTCTTGCACTCATTGCTCAGATGCGGCACGTCAAAGGAGCACACTCGGCTTTGACAAGCCGCCGTTTTATCGTTTACCTCTCTCCCACGCATTGATCTGATGCTACAACCCGCGGCTCGTCAAAGGGACACACACACACTAGCAAACATACAGGCCGGGCCTCGCAGTTTGGTCCGCGGTGGTAGTGGCGAGCCCGAAATCGGGTGCCCCGAAGAATCACCGGAGTGCTTTCCGACCATGAGCCCTTGAAAGAACGGCCGTAAACGGGGACTAAGGCTCAACTTGGATTGGTCCATACGCTGTTTTGTCCATTCTCTCTCTCGCACTCATTGCTCAGATGCGGCACGTCAAAGGAGCACACTCGGCTTTGACAAGCCGCCGTTTTATCGTCTATCTCTCTCCCACGCATTGATCTGATGCGGCAACCCGCGGCTCGTCAAAGGGACACACACACACTAGCAAACATACAGGCCGGGCCTCGTAGTTTGGTCCGCGGTGGTAGTGGCGAGCCCGAAATCGGGTGCCCCGAAGAAACACCGGAGTGCTTTCCGACCATGAGCCCTGGAAAGAACGGCCGTTAACGGGGACTAAGGCTCAACTTGGATTGGTCCAAACGCTGTTTTGTCCTTTCTCTCTTTCGCACTCATTGCTCAGATGCGGCACGTCAAAGGAGCACACTCGGCTTTGACAAGCCGCCGTTTTATCGTCTATCTCTCTCCCACGCATTGATCAGATGCGGTACCCCGCGGCTCGTCAAAGGGACACAGACACTCCCAAAAATACGGGCTGGGCCTCGGAATTTGGTCCGTGGTGGTAGTGGCGAGCCCGAATCCTGGTGCCCCGAAAAAACACCGGAGTGCTTTCCGACCATGAGCCCTTGAAAGAACGGCCGTAAACGAGGACTAAGGCTCAACTTGGATTGGTCCATACGCTGTTTTGTCCGTTCTCTCTCTCGCACTTATTGCTCAGATGCGGCACGTCGAAAGAGCACACTCGGCTTTGACAAGCCGCCGTTTTATCGTCTATCTCTCTCCCACGCATTGATCAGATGCGGCAACCCGCGGCTCGTCAAAAGGACACACACACACTAGCAAACATACAGACTGAGCCTCGTAATTTGGCCCGCGGTGGTAGTGGCGAGCCCGAATCCGGGTGCCCCGAAAAAACCCTGGAGTGCTTTCCGACCATGAGCCCCGGAAAGAACGGCCGTAAACGGGGACTAAGGCTCAACTTGGATTGGTCCATACGCTGTTTTGTCCGTTCTCTCTCTTGCACTCATTGCTCAGATGCGGTACGTCAAAGGAGCACACTCGGCTTTGGCAAGCCGCCGTTTTATCGTCTATCTCTTTCCCACTCATTGATCAGATGCGGCAATCCGCGGCTCGTCAAAGGGAACACAGACACTCCCAAAAATACAGGCTGGGCCTCGTAATTTGGCCCGCGGTGGTAGTGGCGAGCCCGAATCCGGGTGCCCCGAAAAAACACCGGAGTGCTTTCCGACCAAGAGCCCTGGAAAGAACGGCCGTAAACGGGGACTAAGACTCAACTTTGATTGGTCCAAACGCTGTTTTGTCCGTTCTCTCCCTCGCACTCATTGCTCAGATGCGGCACGTCAAAGGAGATCACTCGGCTTTGACAAGCCGCCGTTTTATCGTCTATCTCTCACCCACTCATTGATCAGATGCGGCAACCCGCGGCTCGTCAAACGGACACACACACACTCGCAAACATACAGACTGAGCCTCGTAATTTGGCCCGCGGTGGTAGTGGCGAGCCCGAATCCGGGTGCCCCGAAAAAACCCTGGAGTGCTTTCCGACCATGAGCCCCGGAAAGAACGGCCGTAAACGGGGACTAAGGCTCAACTTGGATTGGTCCAAACGCTGTTTTGTCCGTTCTCTCCCTCGCACTCATTGCTCAGATGCGGCACGTCAAAGGAGAACACTCGGCTTTGACAAGCCACCGTTTTATCGTCTCTCTCTCTTACTCATTGATCAGATGCGGCAACGCGCGGCTCGTCAAAGGGACACAAACTAGCAAACATACAGGCTGGGCCTCGTAATTTGGCCCGCGGTGGTAGTGGCGAGCCCGAATCCGGGTGCCCTAAAAACACCGGAGTGCTTTCCGACCATGAGCCCTGGAAAGAACGGCCGTAAACGGGGACTAAGGCTCAACTTGGATTGGTCCAAACGCTGTTTTGTCCGTTCTCTCCCTCGCACTCATTGCTCAGATGCGGCACGTCAAAGGAAAACATTCGACTTTGGGAGTCGCCGTTTTATCGACTATCTCTCTCCCACTCATTGATCAGATGCGGCAACTCGCGGCTCGTCAAAGGGACACACACACACTCGCAAACATACAGGCTGAGCCTCGTAATTTGGCCCGCGGTGGTAGTGGCGAGCCCGAATCCTGGTGCCCCGAAAAAACACCGGAGTGCTTTCCGACCATGAGCCCCGGAAAGAACGGCCGTAAACGGGGACTAAGGCTCAACTTGGATTGGTCCAAACGCTGTTTGGTCCTTTCTCTCTCTCGCACTCATTGCTCAGATGCGGCACGTCAAAGGAGCACACTCGGCTTTGACAAGCCGCCGTTTTATCGTCTATCTCTCTCCCACGCATTGATCAGATGCGGTACCCCGCGGCTCGTCAAAGGGACACAGACACTCCCAAAAATACAGGCTGGGCCTCGTAATTTGGCCCGCGCTGGTAGTGGCGAGCCCGATCCGGGTGCCCCGAAGAAACACCGGAGTGCTTTTGGACCATGAGCCATGGAAAGAACGGCCGTAAACGGGGACTAAGGCTCAACTTGGATTGGTCCATACGCTGTTTTGTCCGTTCTCTCTCTTGCACTCATTGCTCAGATGCGGCACGTCAAAGGAGCACACTCGGCTTTGACAAGCCGCCGTTTTATCGTCTATCTCTCTCCCACGCATTGATCTGATGCGGCAACCCGCGGCTCGTCAAAGGGACACAAACACACTAGCAAACATACAGGCCGGGCCTCGTAGTTTGGTCCGCGGTGGTAGGGGAGAGCCCGAATCCGGGTGCCCCGAAAAAACACCGGAGTGCTTTCCGACCATGAGCCCTGGAAAGAACGGCCGTTAACGGGGACTAAGGCTCAACTTGGATTGGTCCATACGCTGTTTTGTCCGTTCTCTCTCTCGCACTCATTGCTCAGATGCGACACGTCAAAGGAGCACACTCGGCTTTGACAAGCCGCCGTTTTATCGTCTATCTCTTTCCCACTCATTGATCAGATGCGGCAACCAGTGGCTCGTCAAAGGGACACACAGACACTAGCAAACATACAAGCTGGGCCTCGTAATTTGGCCCGCGGTGGCAGTGGCAAGCCCGAATCCGGGTGCCCCGAAAAAACACCGGAGTGCTTTCCGACCATGAGCCCCGGAAAGAACGGCCGTTAACGGGGACTAAGGCTCAACTTGGATTGGTCCATACGCTGTTTTGTCCGTTCTCTCTCTTGCATTCATTGCTCAGATGCGGCACGGCAAAGGAGCACACTCGGCTTTGACAAGCCGCCGTTTTATCGTCTATCTCTTTCCCACTCATTGATCAGATGCGGCAACCCGCGGCTCGTCAAAGGGACACAAACTAGCAAACATACAGGCTGGGCCTCGTAATTTGGCCCGCGGTGGTAGTGGCGAGCCCGATCCGGGTGCCCCGAAGAAACACCGGAGTGCTTTTGGACCATGAGCCATGGAAAGAACGGCCGTAAACGGGGACTAAGGCTCAACTTGGATTGGTCCATACGCTGTTTTGTCCGTTCTCTCTCTTGCACTCATTGCTCAGATGCGACACGTCAAAGGAGCACACTCGGCTTTGACAAGCCGCCGTTTTATCGTCTATCTCTTTCCCACTCATTGATCAGTTGCGGCAACCAGCGGCTCGTCAAAGGGACACACAGACACTAGCAAACATACAAGCTGGGCCTCGTAATTTGGCCCGCGGTGGCAGTGGCAAGCCCGAATCCGGGTGCCCCGAAAAAACACCGGAGTGCTTTCCGACCATGAGCCCTGGAAAGAACGGCCGTAAACGGGGACTAAGGCTCAACTTGGATTGGTCCATACGCTGTTTTGTCCGTTCTCTCTCTTGCACTTATTGCTCAGATGCGGCACGTCAAAGGAGCACACTCGGCTTTGACAAGCCGCCGTTTTATCGTCTATCTCTCTCCCACTCATTGATCACATGCGGGAACTCGCCATAGAGTACATAGAGTCGTAATGTAATTGGGAGAGCTGGCGCCACTTTTAAGCATTTTCCATGTCCCGAATTCCAAGACTCCTGTGTGACGCCGGGTCACTTTTTCGATACATAATCGATTGTTTGCGATACACGGGTACCCGGTCATCCGATGACAACAACAACAACAACAACAACGGAGATAGGAATTACCATGTATTCTACACCGCCATTTTGGATCGAAAATGTATCGAAAAAGCGACCCGAACTCGGCGCACACCGGGCTCGGAATTCATCGAGCAGAACATGGCGCCAGCTCTCCCATTTACATTACGACTCTATGTACTCTATGGAACTCGCCGCTCGTCAAAGGGACACACACACACTCGCACGAAAACATTGTTAAATCGCCTTTCACCTTTATCACAGGAGAATGTAAGACTATAAAGGGACTCTATGTAAGACGTGCATAACCTCAATCTTGCTCGCCGATAACAGCCATCTTGTTTGTTTATTTTCGGCCCTAAGAGCATCGTGTCGAGGTGGGCTACTTCCCCAAACGGTATTTTACCAAAATACCCAAGAAAACACCTAACCAAGAAAGAGGGCGCTGGTGTCGTTTTGATGAAATACCTTCCCAGAGACGTAAACATTAGAAATTCTTATATTTTCGATTCAAATTGTCAACAGTTACCGTGAAATGCCGATGTTGTCGTACCTCATTATATTAAGATTTATGTTTTGCGGAATTGCGGATTGTAGGCGCTACGAAACTCAAAATATGTTTTACTTTTTATTATTTATATTTTTCTTAATATTTTCAGCAGAGAAAAATCTGGCCTGGTAAGACATGAAAACCGCGAAAAAAGACTCGTAAGTACAATCCCCGGAATAAACGCCGACGTACATATTATTCCGGAATTACGTCCGGCCGGCCGTTCGAAGTTTAACGACGAACAGTGCTGCCACTATAGCCGCTTGAGCACATGCTATATTATAGAAAAACAAGCAATGATATACATNATGGTTCAAAAGGAAATCAAAAGCGTTGAAAATATGAGAAACACCTAAAGAAAACACGTCACGTACTCACTCTCACTCATAGAAATCTCTCATTACACTGAGAAGACGTCGTAAAAGGGGTTTTCTTTTTTTGATCGGTAGATCTGCCTAAATCCACCGATGGAAATCCATCGGCCGCCATTTTGGTACGAAATTGCCCGCGATCAGTCGGGAGTTTAAGAACACACTTTCCACCAATGTAAACAAATGGATTTCTTCCTCTCATCAAACCTTTACCGCAATGATACTGCAATAGTGCAAATATATACTCAATGTACCAGCATTAACTCCTTTTTTGCCACAAATAAAGTACGGGGGAAAATATCACTAAAAATATTACATAATTCAATACATAGGCGACAATGACGATCCAAGCAGAATCATCAGACTCAGCGACGGCGGGAGGCGCGAAATACTCACGATTTCTCGTTTGTTTGCTTGTTTTTGGCCTGAGATCTGGCTGAAGTAAGGTTAGGTTGTCCACCGGTGGAGCTGTGATCGGAGAAATGACCGATCACTCCGATCACTGATCGGTGGTACCAAATCCACCGGTCGTACTTCCACCGGTCGTGACGTCAGCACCGACGGATCAATTAACGAACACAGTTTGGTGATCGGCGGTACCACCGATCAAAAAAAGAAAACCCCTAACGAGGGAACCTGGAAAGTGGAAAATACTCCGGAACTTTTATTAAATTTATCATCAAATTGGCAGCGTTTAAGGGCAACATTGCCAGTCAAACAAAACATTGTTTATATTTTGGCCTTTTATACTCTCTCACTGCCGATGTTTCAAGTTTGATAAAATATCCATGCGCGATTTGGTTTGGGGAAATACCGTTTGGGGAAGTAGCTGCCCTCCATCGTGTCAGCCTATTCGCTCGCGACCAATGAAAAACCGGAACAGAAATGGCCATACTCTATCTATGTCTGTCTATAAAAAAGGTACTCCAAGCCTGCTCCAAGCCAGGCAATGTTCGGTAACCTCACTTTTTTCTCGTTCTAATGTTCTATGTAAGTCTCGTCTCTAGTCAAGTCAATAGTCACGATGTAGAGTAGCAATAAATGAAGTAGCCACAGTAGCTGGAATTTAAGTGAAAATTTCCTCACATGTCATGATTCGGTGCAGTTGTTTTCTTAGACTGTGAGATAAGGGTATTTTATTTCATGATCTCAAGGTACTGGCGATGTACTAGCTAAAAAAAGTGAACTCCGCTCAAGATTCAGTTATCTTCCAGGGCGATCTCACTCCAAACGTTGAGTCCTCACGTAAAAGATGGTTTTCATTTCAAAGGTCCTTTATGCCATTTCCAAACGCCCAAAGGTAAGTAAGTACATTTCTACCAAGTTCACAAATCACGAACTGCTCTGGGGCTGTCCAATCAAGCTACCATCACAATAACAATGAAACTGAGGCTCCCACAGTTTTGTACCTGATTCTGTTTTTTCTTCATGCATTAGTAAATCTAATTTGGTCAGCAACCTGTTTTGTAGCTCCAGTATGAATCTGCATGAGCGCACCAAAGGCATAATGACGGTGCAAGTCAGCAATCACATAACTTGGAAAACGCGATTTTTCAGGAGAGGGAAAAAATTCTATACATTCCTCATCTTTGGAGGTAGAGGGGAAAAAATTCCTAGAGACAGCAAGGATAAGATGCTTTATAAGTCTCTATCATCATTTTGAATAATATTCTCGTCTGTCAGGGGAAATGACCGAAAATCCGAGTTATGTGTTTGTGGAAGTAAGGCCCAACATTGAATTCCGAGATACGTGATTGGCGAATTACTGATTCAAACCCATTCTTTGCCGATGTTGACTGAATAAGACTCCTCTCACTTTAAAAGTAGCCTAAAGTTCCTTTTAACAAACTTTAATTCATAGCAAATCTTTAGAATGACACTGGAAAACGATTCGACGGCGTAAGTCGGCAATCACATAACTCGGTTTACGACGTCGCAGACTTCCTGTCACACTTCATTTTTTAAACGGAAAACTACTCAACAGCAATTCTTTAAAACTGCCGTGAGTTTTCTTCTCCATGCGAAGAAAATTCTGTATAAGCTGCAAGGAATGATGTCAAATGTGTCGTAGAAGCGGAGATTTTCAGACTCCGTGAACGAGATAATTATGTGATTGCGGACTTACGCCGTCGAATTACGAATTAAAATGAAATGAAGATAAAAATAAGCGGACGATTACTCAGTTATCCGTCGGATTAGACGTTAGATGTTAAAGGAATAACATTGTTTTTGTTGTTTGAAGATTCCGTGACATATTAATTTTTGATTTTCCCTCCTAAACTGTTCACGATTCTTCCCGGGAGAGCGCACGTTGTGTAAAAATGCGGCGCGACGGCACGAGTTATGTGTTACTTATAGGAATTAACGCCGAGATATTTGTTTTGTGTTCTACGTTTTTAGGTGACTTCCAGATTTTTTTTGACTGAAATATTTTGATAGCAGGTAAAGGGCATTTACTACACTTCATTTCTGCAGCTAACTCAAAACCACCAAAAATCGAGTTACGTGATTGCCGACTTACATCATCGATATGCTTACCCACTGAACGTATAATGTATAGATATAATGTGCAAGCATGGCATAGAAAGATCAGGAAGGAAGGACGGAAAACAATCTGATTTACTGGAAGAAAACACGAAGAAATAAGATTCTCATGATGAAAATATAACACGTGGCCTGGATAATGCGATTCTTTTGTCATACTTACCTAAATTAGAATTGCCAATGAGCCGTCAGCACCTTCCGTGAAACTTGTCAACCAAGAAAGAGTTCTTTCCGATGAGAGCTTGAAGCCAAGTATTGGATGCTAATGGTGTTTCTTCATTCATCATCTTAACTTTTTGTGTCCTATTGAAAGGGACGAATGTCAACAAATAGCCTGTAAACTTCCGATCCCCCCCTGGATTAATTGGTCTTGGGATTTTTCTACAAAATATTGCACGCTGAATTGGAAGACGGAACCTAGACTCTAAACAATTTAACAAGATGGGAACTTAATTGTATTGTTCCAGTATTGAACTACCTCTCATAAATTTTTTTTGTCATTCGTCAACTATTGGTTTGAATCTATTTTTTTTTTCCTCTTCACAGAGAGGCAAGGCTCCTCAAGTGGGCACTTTCCTGGACAAGTTGGAATTAGTTGTTCGTGGCGGAGCAGGGGGGCCTGGTTTACCCAAGTTCGGCGGAATTGGCGGAAATGGTGGTTCGGTCATTATTGAAGCTGAAGAAGGTGAGATAAAGAGTCATGCAATAATTAAATTCTAATGTACACCTATCCCTTTTCAAATTTGCAAAATGTTCACATCTTCACATAACATTTTTATACTAAGGCCGCTACGCGGCCCAACCCCCTGAAGGCGCTCCACGCCATCGATGAGCCGCTTCGCGGCCCTATTTTTAGCCTCCTATCAATGTTGGTTTTATTTTTCCCCTAAAAAATTACGATATGAGGTATACTTTACTTTCAGAATGAAATGATTTTTGTTTTTGATGAAAAAAAATTGTTCTTGAAGTCAAAAGGACGCGTTTTACAAGGACTGATTAATGAAACATTGCAGTAAAACAATGAAAGACGATAATCAGGTCATAAATTAGGTATATGTGAGGAGTCTGGGATCGAACCCACTACTTCAGATATGAGGGTGCCTCCGACGTCTCAGACGACTCAGCCACCGCTCATCTAATGAAAATAAGGGCGAATACTGTGTTGATAAGTAGAGCTGATGTGCAGGCTACTCAGCCACTGCGCAACCTCCTCGGCTACTGTGCAGCCTTCTGCGCATAGTGGCAGCAGGAGCGGAACGTTCTGTAAATTCGCTCACTTTTATAACTTGATTGTAAAAAAAAACTGGGTCCTATTTCCAAAATCTGTTAAGAGCGGGCTCATCTAGAGCCTATCACCCGTTGATAACTGCAAAAATCATGGAAATCGGCCTGGTAGAACGCTCAAACGAACTATGACGAAGAACATAAATTAACATTGTTTAAATTGGAAAATTCGCAACTTTACCACGAAATATAAAAAAAACCTGGGTCATCTTTTGAAAATCTGAATAGAGTTGGCTTTTCTAGAGACAATTGCCCGTCGATAGCCGCAAAATTCATGAAAATCGGCCTGGTAGAACGTTGGAACTAAGCGTTACCAGTTACACAAAATTAGGAGGTTTCGGATCTTATAGTATAGATGGTTAGGGTAGGTGGGGATAAGAAAACGCATTTTTTGGTTTTTCTCGTTTTTCCGTGACCGAATCGATTTTTAAGGTGGGACAAATGGTCATGCAGGCACTTACTTTAAGCCCTTGCACTCAAAGTCCCTGTGTTGTCCAAATTTAGAAATCAAATCCATGGCTGTGACGAATTTTTTAAAAAATTTTGAAAACGCGTGTTTTTTTAAAACAGGTATGCGCAGGTGAAATTTGTTTTTAAAAACATCTCCTGGGCTCCAAATCGCTGTTAAATCTCGGAAATAAACTGAAACTGGTCTCAAAGGGTTCCAGTAGTGCCAAACCACTTTTGTGGTAAAAAAAAAAATAATTTAGTCTCCACAAGCTCCCAAATAATGTTCGAAGTCAATTTTCATTTAAAAAGGAAAAGAATAAAATTTAATTGCCCAAATTGAACAAAGGAACATAAAAATTTATTAAGATACCTACTGAGTTGCCTACATTGTCTATTTTGAAGCTCCTATACACCCCCCCCCACTACGCCCCACTTTTAGGCGCGTACTTTTGCCCCATTCTGGCTGCGTACTCTTGCCCCATTTGTAAACATTGGACAACATAAATTAAAACTTTGAGCCCAAGGCCCAAGGTGTGAAAACAACTATGGATTATTAAAGCCAACACTATAAAACTTTGATATGGTGCCTGTCCGATTTCTTCCATTAACTATTCTACTCACAACAGACAATACAAATACTAAAAAAATCCATCTTTTTCACATGGAAAGTGAACTTGCCTCATAATTCTGTCAAAATACATCCGCTTCACACAAAACTATGTCAACAAGTGAAACTTAATGTTGCCAACAACCAACGCCCGGTGCCATCATAAATTCAAATAAAACGCGTGATAAAAGTGCGGTGCGTACTTTTACCCTGTGCGTACTCTTACCCCCACCTTCCCTACTTATCTCAGTAGTCCTTGATCAAAATATTTTTGTTTACATTTTGATCCATGCACCATTTTAAGAACAAGAGAAGTTAAATCAATACTTATGCATCTTGAGGAGTCAGATTTTATTGGAGGAAGAATAATTTTCAAACTTACAAAAGCTCTTCGCAGCGTTGCTTTTGTACAAAATTGTTGAATGTAATCTAATCTTAAAATTTTTTCAAGTTAATGGAGGCCAGTACTTTAATGACGTTTCATTTATGTTTTAAGGGTTCTCGATTGGATGTTTAAATTCACTATGAATGTTTTGGCGTCTTTATATTCTGTGGTACAACTTCTCACGTGATGTTTGAATTTTAATACTTTTTATATCATCGTAGGTACAACACTCAAGTCTGTCAGGCAGAAGTATAGCGACTATGACAAAATATCTGCCAGTGTTGGAAATCCTAGTAAGAAAGCGAGCATCCTTGGAAAAAAAGGAGATGATCACGTGATTCCAGTACCGAAGGGAATATCAGCTTATGATCGACAAGGCAATATTATAGGTGAATATTTTATATACTTTATTTTGTTCCAAATTGCATGATGAGAAGTAGTTTATTCTCTATCGAAATGAGGGCCTTTAAGGGTTCTAAAATACCTATAAATAAATACTAGATTTCAATCTTACTCAATTATCATTTTGAAAAAAAAAAAAAACTTAATGTTGGTGAGAAAATTAAATTTTTTTAGGACAGATCTGTTACTTACAAAATTCACTCCGAGTTTTTTTGTAAGGCTAGTAATGAAAAATTTTAACCATGAATGACTCTGTGTTAAACTCGTTCACTGCAAGCGTGTCCTTACAAAATTGTTCCTGAATTTAAAAAAACACACAAAACAACCATGGAATTAGATTGCTTAAAATTACGGTTTCTGCAGGTTGCTGCAGCACTTGTGCTGTGTGTTTTTGGCATATTTAATTAGTTTCTTGGAGGGCCTGCAGCCAGTTCTATTGCACAGGAACATTTCCTTTTTAAATACTGGCCATTGTGACCTTTTTTTACCCATACTGATCAATGAAAAATAGCAACTGTAACCAGCTTGGCAGTAAACCTCTTATTTGTAAATAATATTTCTGTCTTTTATAGGAGAAGTAAATGAAGAAGGCGAAAAGCTGGTAATTGCCAGAGGTGGTATGGGTGGATGCCCTCAAACTGGTTATTTTGGCATGAAAGGACAAATTCATAAAGTGCGGCTTGAGCTGAAACTGATCGCTGACATTGGGTTTGTCGGATTTCCCAATGCTGGAAAATCTACGTTGTTAAGAGCTCTATCAAATGCAAAACCTAAAATTGCTTCGTATCCATGTAAGTTTTAATTTGATAGCTATCCAAATTATGTAGTTGTGATTTGCTGTGTCCAGTTCTCAGACTAAGCTTTCAGCTGGGGTGCAGGGTCTGGCTGATCTTTTGATCAGTTGATTGTGGCAGTGAAAGAGACCAATGCGCCAATGAGGCCTGATTAATCAGAGGAAATTTTTGAAAAATGGATACCATGAAAACTGAGGGGCAAGTCAACATATTAAAATTTATTCAACATCAACCATGTTGAGGTAACCAAACCACTGCATCTATCTTAAGACATGTTTGCATCAGAACAAATTTTACTGGAAGTGAGTTGTTTTAATTTGTTTATTTGCCCCCTCATTTTCACTGATTTTCTTATTTGTCAGCTACCAACTGTTCTTTGTAATTATTATCTTTTTTATAATTCCTACAAAAATGTGTAAACATTCGGAGAAAAGGGGACCATTTTGGTGGAAATTTCGAGACTCAGTAAAAATTTTAAAGATCCAGGGAAGGTTCAGATTACAGCAAGTTGCTAGCATATCTTTGAATTTTCTGCCACCATATATGTTCAAACAAGAGGTTTTTAGGTCTGCTAGCAATGTAAATATTGCTCCTCTGAAAAAATTTTTACAGGACGTTTTCCACTGCAGGAGTGTGCACCATGGTTTTTCCACCTCTAACTCATTACTGAGTATAATACATACTGTCTTTGGTCACTTAACCTAACTTTTCCTGTGTTTGGAATGGAAATGAATTAATTTGCTTGTTTTAGTCACTACCATGATGCCCAACATTGGAATCATAACATACAAAGACCATCGCCAAATATCTTTAGCTGACCTTCCCGGCTTAATCGAGGGTGCCCATGTGAATATTGGTCTAGGCCACAGATTCTTAAGGCATGTCGAGCGAACCAAAGCCCTCTTGCTTGTAGTCGATATCAATGGTTTCCGCCTTTCAGCGGAGCATTTGTACCGATCTTGTCTGGAAACAGTAATTTTACTCAATAAGGTAATCCTGACTCTCTCTGTAAATTGATGCTAATGGACTATGACAATGAGTCAACTTCCTTTATAAGTTACCAAAATTGTATTTATTTTTTTTTTAAATTTTAGACATAGTGACTAGTATCATGTTTTTTCAGGTAAAAAATCCCAGAAAGTTTAGAGGAAGCGCGCGTAAAATCGATAGGTGTTAAGGAAAAGCCCTAAAACATATTAATGCGTGTCACAAAAAGTCAATTCTTTGAAGTTCTTTTATTTAAAAATACTCTGCCTCCTCAGTCAATAACAGGATGTATCTGCCGAATGCTGAGATGTGAAATGCTTCTTTGTTTTAAATTGATCAAAACCATGTGTCTCCATCAGTGTTTCAAAATGTCCGCACATATTTTATTTTCCTAAAGAAAGAAAAGCCAATTTTATAGCTCAGAATTTATACAGAATATTTCGCACACAGAGAAGAAAAATCAAGGAAGGTTTCAAGAAATTATGCTGATTATTTTTTCAAGGAAAAACTAAAGTAGGTATGATGGGAATTCTGCAACGTTGCGAATGGAGAAATGTGGTTTTGCACTTTTGTCATCAATATGTGTATCCTCATTGGAATGTATAATTATTTTTTAACGTTGCTGTCTCTCAGAAGGCTTGGGAAGGAGTTTATTCAGTGTCAGTATCATTAATGACAATTTTTATGATCATTTTAAAGTGGACTACATTTTGCAATTAGGAACTAAAATTTCTGGCTCGGTTAAGAAACAACAAATGTAACATTAGTTTCCCCACGTACGTAACTGTTTTTATGGATGAGCCAGAGATGGTAGTTTCTAATTGCAAAATGAAGTACAAATGAAACTCTGATACCTGTGTTATCATCTATGATATCTGTTGTATTCAGATTTTTGATATTTTACACAGTCCTTTTTCCTCTAAAAATTTGAAGAAACACTATAAAAGCAAATTCATCTAAAAGTGCAATGTATGAGTTTCATCAGTCTGTTACCATATTGCATTTAAAAACTCCATCTATAAGCATTTTTTCTTCTTTGATGCCTGTGAATTAGGAGCTTGAATTGTACAAAGAAGAACTGCTTGATAAACCTGCTATTCTAGTCGTAAACAAAATGGATTCACCAGATGCAGCAACTAAATTTAATGAAATTTCTGACGACCTCAAAAACTTATCAAGTAAGTAATTCACCTACTCAAATTCAGTTTTATTCTTCGATGAAGGAAAGAATAGAATCTTTATGCAGCAAAACAGGGTGTCCACAAAGTGTGGGTGCACCGAAAAAGCACGAATTTTATGAAAGCTGAATTGAAGTCCAGAAAACACAGGTATATTCACAGGAAGGATGGTACAAAAATCCGAAATTTTTGCGATAACCTGAGAGAAATAGTCTTGCTGGTGTTCAATTTTTCAACATAGGCACTTTTTATCACCTTTTAAGTCGGTCCTGCAAAATGTCAGTTTGATTCCACGTCTTTTAGTTGTTTCCTCTAAACCTACAACATTCAATTTTCCTAATCTAAATTTCTTCATCTTTTACTGAAGTAATAGCCCCACAGAATTAAAAATTTGCGTCAGATGAGAAAAAAGTTTGGGAAAGACAATGAAACAATATGGATTTTAGGAAGTGTTAAAATGTGAAGAAAAAGGAACAGTGGCGAGGCATGAGCGATGGATTATAGATAATTCTCAATTTGAAGCTGTGTTAAAGGATCAATTACTACGGGTTTTGTTTCAAATACCCTGTCTACTGATCTTTTTCCACAGGTTTAAATGGCAAATAAGGTGATATATTGCAAAGCACGTCTCGGTCACCACACCACTGAAAAGGAAGGATTTTAGATGATGATCTACCAGTAAACACTCTGTAAACATTTTCATGAGAAATGAAGGTGCAAGAATAGTTTATTGATCTTGAAAGCAACTCTCAATTATGCAGAAACATTAACACCTAGTTAGTATGACCATCAAAAGGATCAATAACGTTAGTTTGTCAGTTCTGAAGGGAAAATTCATACAAAATATTGGTAATTGCTCAGGGTCATGATTAATGGAATGCTTTTTATTAAATTGTGTAGACTAAAAGTGTTTGAGTTTTTGAGGGAAAATGCTCTTTGGTATATCATGCAATGAATTTTTAGTAGTTATGTTCATTTTTTGACAATAAAAGAGGTAAAGCTATATTTTGATCCACAGTTGGAAACTCTAATTTCGGCAAATTAAATATTCACAATTCTTTTTCCTGGAACTGCGTTCATTAAAATTCAACCTTCTAATTGTTATTTTTGTTAATTAATCTCTGCGTTATCTCATTGAGTGTGTGTTGATTTTAGGTCAAGTGCCTTATTCTTGATATCTATACAACTTGATGGTTTGTCACTTTAGTTTTTGTATCTTATTGAAGAAAAGAAGCTGACGGTAAATTTCTTTTCTTTTTCAGATGCCTTGGACAAAGTTTCAAAGGAATTGCGTCCTGAGCGATGTTTGAAGTTCGATGAAATCCTCCCCATCTCTGCCAAAACAAGTCCATCAGATGCTGAAAAAGTGAAACATGTCATTCGCAAATTTTTAGATATCTATGCAGAAGAGAAGAACTTTGAATCTGAAACGGAGAAAATCGAAGAATTGAAAATTAAATTAAAGCAGAGAGGCCCACTACTCACTTAAAGATTGATACCAACAGAATTAATGTACTTTGCTGTGATAATATGAGTCCTCTTTGTTCAACTTTTATCAGTCGATGGACCAATGAAGTCTGAGAGGTGTAGGTCTGTAGGTACTGTGAGAAACTGATGGAATGTTCAGTTGAAGATGAGTATCAATTCAACTTCATTTTTACAGACTTGAATGTCTAGAAGCCAAAATCTGATTTTTATGCCTTGGGAAAAAGAGGAACTACCACTTCCTCCATTGATGCAGCAATATATTGTGTATTATATATTTCCGAACAACATATTTCGCCATTTTAGCCTAGAGGCCACGTTTTTGAGCATATCAAACTTCTTTTGAACTTGATAGGCCAAAAAAAAAAAACAAAACAAAAAACAAGAAAACAAAGAATAAACTCCGCTTCGAATTCAAATGCACACTAAATTATTTTGATCCTATATGGTGCCGCTGAGTACAATTACTCGCAGTTAGGGTCAGGTATATTTCCTTCAGTTCTACGTCTTTTATCACAAGCACACTGCTTCCCAACTCTAGTGCATCTCTTTTGAAAAATTGTACCTTCTGATAAAAAATTCCAATTTGTGAGAAACAAATAAAATTAGAGGAAGACCTCGTAAATTTCTCTTGCTCAGAATAATTGGTAGAACCACTGGTTTAACTTTAATTCCCATGCTATTGCACATGGAATACCCATCAACAGATACAAGGCTCTTCTTTTTGAATTCTTGCCACCTGGGCGAGGACCCGCTTAACATTTTAGACCTTGATTCCAGATGATAAGTGCGAATTGCTAGAGAAACGACACAAAATGAACAGATTGTTTTTTCTTTTATAGCAAAATCACTTTAATTTAAACATAAAATGGACAAAATATTCATACTTCTTATGCACTTGATTACCTGTTTACTTACTTTAAGAGTAGATAAAATTTAACATGATCTATTCGATTCTCAATAAGAATCAATTAAACAATGATAAATAAAAATGTCTTCACAAAACTCTGTAGGTCTAACTAGGGATTTTTATCAACCAGCAAAAGCCCTGAAAATTTGATAAAATTATCAAACTTCTTCCTAAAAAACAAGGCTTATTCTCAAAATAAGACAATGCTCATTGGCTGAGGCATGATAATGGAGTCAACATGAAAATGTCACTGAAACTGATTAGGATGTATAAAAAAGTAACTTTTAGTTTTGGTAAGAAATAACATCACAAGTCATGTGAAGAATTGTGATGCTTATCAGTCTGTCATTAAACATTATCATTCTTATGGAATAAAAGGATTTGAACCAGGATCAATTTTTAAAAAAAGTCTTGCTACATCCTTTTGCTATTGTAGATTTACAAAAGCTTTGATTAATTCACCATCTTCTGTTTTTGGATAGTTGCTAATATTTTTTCTCAGGTGTACTAATTCCTCATCTTTAGTAAGGCCAACCAACCACCAGACCAGTTACGATATATTTTTTACTATAATGGGTGAAACTGAAGTATGCAGCTCTCGTATTGCGAAATTTGCAAACGTATCACTCTATTATTTTGTTCAACCTATCTACATATCTTCATTATTTCATGATATTCCATGTGCTATATCCTTTCAAGAATTTTCTTTAAAAATTTTACACAAAAATCGTAGGTAATATGTGAATTCTCTGGAGATAGTAAAGTATGGGCTGAAATTTTAAGTTGAACACTTTTCCTAGTTTTATCATCATCCATCAAGACATAATATGTAATCATCGAAATAGTCATGGAAAAAGATTGAAAGTTATAACTCTATGGAAGTTAAAATACGATCTACCTACCCGAAAATCATGAAGTGATCAGATTTAACTTTGGAATTATCGTAAACACTCAACAATAGAAAAAACTTATGATTCTTTTATTCAAATTTATATTATTTTCAGATTCATTTGGTTGTTACTTACATTTTCATACCCATTTATGCATTCTCTCATCAAAAATATTCAATGGATAGATTTTACGCATTGTACTTGGAATTGCACAGAAGTTAAACTTTATTTGCGGATCAAATGCTTTTTCATTAGTGGGTGACAATTTGAAATCCATTTAGTGTAGGTAATTTGCAAATCAAAATCTACGGAGAGTTAGCACTTGGAAAGGATCCTGCATAGAAAACCAAAGGATTCTGCTCTGGATAGAGTCTCAATTATTAGCTACAGTATCCTTTACTACTTCCTGAAAAATCAAACTTTGAAAGTGCCAATTTTGAGAAAAGCAGGGCTGGAAAATGAATTATAAAATCCTGTAGAAATGTTACAGCGGCTGATTGGTGATCAAAGAGAGCCAGTATGATGATTGCGGATTGGAAGGCTAAAATGCTAAATGCAAGTTTTGAAAGATTGATGTAGAGATAAAAAGTAAATTCATTTGACATAGTGGCTGATTCTTCTGGTGCCTACAATTTATATGCATTGGTATTGAAAAAATCCATCAGTGGCTAGATACTAAAATTATTGGTTGATAATCTAAGGGATCCAGAAAAAAGTGTGTAACATCCCTGAGAAAATTTTGAGAAACATTAAAAATGGGTAACAAAGACAGAAAAGAAATAAATTAGTAAGAAACTAGTATGGCTTGCTCCTCTTGTGTTGCTTAGTCTCTTTCTGAAATAAGTTATTTTACAATTTTTTTGAACATGGAAAGACTTCATCCTAAAGCACACCAAGAGAAAGGAATACACCATCACATGGAATATAACATTTAAGAATAGTGTTAGAAGTAGACATAAATTGATAAAAATCTATCATGGCCTCAGAGAAAAAGGAAAAAAATTGAGGCCGAAAAATTTTGGAAAATGTCTGAGGCATTTACAACATGACGATTAAGAGATGACTTGAAGCTTACAAAATAAAAGAATTGACATGTCGGAAGAGAGAAAAACTTTGAAATATTTTCAAATTAACAACTTAAAATGCAATCTAAAATTCAACTAATACAAAAATACATAAGTTTGATAATTAAAAAAGAGATAGAGAGAAAGAGAAAACAGTCCGAATAAAGTAACAGAGGTACCCAACTTTAAACGATTTTACCTATAACAGGGTTAATTATTATGGGCAAAGACTTTATCAAGGGATACAAAAAGAAAGGGAATGAAATGCGATGAAAATAATCAAACTGATAATCTTGAACTGATCATTTTTCTGGAGTTGATTACATCAATTCTTAAATCCTACGGAACGGTTTGAACTTCTATTCCTCTGATTTTTCGTGTCTTAGGGTGAGAGCATACCTTTTGTGTCGGAAATTCGACAATATGCTGAAAATAATGCACTCGGTCAACCGTTTAAAGCTAGTGACAAAGAATCTTTTTTCATTGAGTGACTTACAAGAATCTAATTTCTAAGTTTCAGAATATGAGAGCACCTGCCTTCCTAAGCTCTTATTTTTAATCTGTTAAAACCCAAGTGCCTGTCTTACAAATTCCAGGGAAAAGCAGTGTCCAAATTTAGATGTTTATCTCCTTTTAAAAATAAAATTTTCTCTTTTCATTCTTGAATTTCCCTAGTGGATGATATATCTTTGTCTGAATGAATTTACAGCTGTCCAATAATTAGTACACTTTTTCCTCTTGGTGTCATGCACCTCTACCATTTTAATTTTAGTGGTGCGGTATAGACGTACATACCACATTTAACAGAAACGCATCAAGTTTGAACTGAGAAAAATAATTCCTAAGTTTTCTTCCTTCACTTATGGAGGTGGTGTCACAGGATCATGTGAACTCTATCAGGTTCAAATTACTTTTTGATTGACATTGAATTTTTGACAGGAGAAAATTTACAACAGTTGAATTCAAAAGTACTCCTAACTCATTTTTTTTGACAAAATGCAACTTGGTCCTTTCTGTTAAACTCAGTTCAAATATTTTAAATTATTTGTATTATCATTTCAACTGCAGGTGACTCAGAAATATTTATTTTCCAGGATTTTTTTTTAGTATTTTTCAATTTTGAATTGTCACAAAACATAAGACTTGGCCACCCATTCATAAATCACCTTGCAATTTACGATTAGTACTTTAGTTGGTTATAAAAATGGTTTTCATAAATAGGTAATGATGATTCTTCGCTCTTGATAGGGTATTAATTCCAGTTTTACTTTTCAGGAAAGATCGATCTAAGAGTATAGTAAGGGGGATTGGTAGCAAATAAAGAGCTATGTTTTGAAGCTAGAAAATTAACCAGATGCATATTTGAGAGTTACAGATTGTATTGCTTTGTCTGCTAAATTTGCGCTTGACGTTCCCCATTCATACCAAGGTGAAAAGTATGGGGCCAATCATCAAAACTGTTGTTTTGAGTCAAAATCATGTTTCAAAAAACCACATGCATCATTCACAAGGAGGTAACAAAAACCCTCTCCTATAAAATTGTGAGAAATACAATCCAAAATCAATGTCTGAAAATGGTCTGGTTTAGTTTTTTTTTCTGCTTTGTACTTTTGGAAGTACATAGTCAATAGTTCTCATTGGCTTCCTTCGGGTATTTTAGGTAGAGTTATGACAAATTTAATTTGGATCGATTCTGTCAGGTACTTACGAGATTAGAATGTTAAGAGAGCAGTGATTTTGGAGATAAAAATTTTAATTTGAAAAAATGGAACTTATTTGAGTTAGGATAAATTCAAATGTATACACAATTTAAAAAAAAAAAAAAAAAAAAAAAAAAAAAAAAAAAAAACCATATGATGGAAAGATACGAAAAAAAAGGAAAAACTGATTCAGTGAGATATTTAATATCAGAGGTTAGATACTATGAAATTAAGGTCCACCATTTGCCATTGAAACGACAATTTCATGACTCTGCGTGGCAATCAATAGAATTTGCATTGTAATAAGAAAAAATTCAAATATTACCGCAAAGTAAACTTTGAAAACTTGAAAACACATTGTTGATATTGATATCCTCTTTTCCTGAGAAGGGATAATACTAATTTTTAACGAATGTAGACAGCATCAAATACTTCTTTACAATGGGCCCCACTAATATAAGTGACTTATGATGATGCAATTTTTGTGCACATCACCCTTGTTCAGGATGAGATGTAGAATTATTTAAAAATCAACTTCATTCATTCAGATGTGCTGTTAAAGTAAACTGATTCGAAAAAGAGCTAACATAATACCCAACAATCCATGTTGTTGAGGCTTTCCTTTAAGACATAAAAGGAAGCTTATTTTTTCCCCCGAAGCTCAACAATCTACTTGATGTGTTGAGATACTTCAAGTTATTTTAGAAAAAACTAAATGGAATCAGATGAGTTAACCTTGTCAATGCATTGCTCATTCCTCAAAAACAAATACACGACTTAATCCATTATAAATTAAAGTAGCTTAATCAGCAAGTCCTCTGACATTGCTCCTTTTATAACATAAAAATGACCATGAGAAAATATCTTGTGTTTTCCGTCCGAACGTTTCTTTTAAAATTCCTTAAAAAATGGCGTGATGTTACAGTATGACCCTTCTTCAAATTGGTTTGCCCCTTTGTCACGAGAGATTAATGGATCAACACTAGTAACGCAATGAAAAGTCCACTATGTCTGAGCCATTTGTGTGACAAGACACCAAATGGGAAAACTCATCCAACAAATTGAGATATTTTTTTGACTTTCCTCCTTCAAATCATTCATAGGACAATGTGATCCCTCAGATAGGAGCTTAAAATAACAGCAAGAAATAAACAATGAAAGCTCAGATAATAACAGGATCTTGTTTCGAGAGAACATCGGACACCCGGCATGATTTCAACACACAAAAGAAAGCGTTGGGAGAATAACTAAAATTTAAGATGTAAGACTGCAGCAGGAGTTCGTTTTTCGGGCTGTTTTGTAGAAGGCTTTGGACTGGATGCTTAAATTTTCAGATTTGGCTACGAGATCATCGAGTTTTTCACCTCTTTCCAGTACAGCTTCTATTGTGTTGTGCTGTAAAGATAGAGAAAAAGGATAGTACTTTTTTTTCATTTTATAACCAACCAATAGCACTGAATGAAAGTTTTGAAGAGGGTTCTTTAACACTTCGGAGAGCGATTTGATAGTCGATTAAACAACTGATAATTTCTGGATTTTAGGAAATGTCTTAAAAATTTCCAAGCATCACATCACACTTCAGAATGTCAGGTGTTTGTGCACAATATTTGACTGAATGTGAGATACATTTTGAAATAACTCCAAAAGTATGGTCGAAAAGAAAGTCGTAAATCAAAAGGCAGAAAGACTTGATATACAGTGGAACCCATATATAACAAAGTTTACAATTTTCAGAAAAACTTTGTTACATCCAGAGCTTTGTTAAAAGAAAATGTATATGGAGGCTTGGCAGCACTGGAAAAATAAAAATTACTTTGCTATACGTGGAACTTGGTTAAAAGCGAGTTCGTTATACATGGACTCCACTGTATTCATTTGGACAACACTTTTAAGTTTTTTCTTTCAAGTCCTTCAAATTTCAAGTCAAGCACAAACTGAAAGAAATTAATCAAATTTATTATGCATACTGCACCTTGTAATTCAATTAAAGGAGATAATAAAAAATAAGCCTAAGGTGCTTACTTTGATGTATACTAGCTTCGTAAAGATCAAAGCTAGTAAACATCAAATACGCATCTTTGGCATATTATTTATTATCTTATTTCACTGAAAGAAATTGGAAATAAAAAATAAAACTCAGAAAATAGTGATGTGTAAACTGCAATTTTGTGAGATAAGGATAACGGAGACAGTTTGAAAAAAATTAAAATGCAAACTGAAAATTTTATTTCAAAAGGTCACACAATTTTGGATCTCCCTCAGAGGGCAAATCTAATTAATAAAAGGTCGAATATCGACGGTGAAACTACCAAACCACGTATCTCGGTTTGCGACGTCGCAGACTTCCTGTCATACTTTATTTTTTAAACGAAAAACTACTTAACATCCAGTCTTGAAAATTTCTGTGATTTTTCCTCTTTGTGCGGAGAAAATTCCATGAAAATTTCAAGGAATGATATTGATTTGGTCTACTTCAAAAAAATAAAATGTGAGCGTAGATTTTTAAACACCGCAAACGAGATACGTGGTTTGGTAGTTTCACCGTCGATATGTAACTAAGGACTTGAATGTGTTGGAATTAATCCTTCCAAAAAGGAACAGTGAGTGTGAGTTATTTAATTTTTCTGATTTGAACCTATTTTCCTTCAGAACTCCAGTTTGACTGAACTCCAGTCATTAGAGAAATAAAAAAAAAAAAAAAAAATGTCCGATGCATTACATGCGAAAGAGATAACCTTGAAAGTAATAAAAAAAATTTTGAGGAAGGAGGAAGACTCAGAAGAGAAGGGCTTCTACAAAACTTGAACAAATGCATGAACTGAGTTGATGCACACTAAAAGCACCTACCAGAATAATGGTGGTTTCATCAAGATCTTCCTGCATTTTCGTCAATGCATCTGCCTCTCTAGGATTTTGATACTTTGCTAGATAGGCCTTCAGCTGTGGAAAATCTATTGCTGACTCTGTGGCAGTTGGCCATATTGTCGGAGAGATTTTTGCTGCAAAGTCATCTAGAACCTGTTTTGCACAAGAAACATTAAGACTCATTAGTTGTTCTGAATACGTAATAATCAGAGAAAATAAGGTTAGAAAACACGAGGTCCTGTGTCTAGGGCCAAAGTTGGAAACCGCATATCTCCGTTTGCAATGTTGCAGACTTCTTGTCATACTTTAATTTTTCTTTGAAAAACTAATCATCGTAATTTATTGAAAACAACCTTGATTTTTCTTCTAGAATAGTTGAATAATCTGTAAAAATTTCAAGGCATTAAATTGCCTTGTTTCTCTTTGAAAAATAGAATAGGATAAAAAAGAGCGACGCCAAGAATGGCACAATTTGGGCCAGAAGGGATTTTTCCTAAACCGGGCCCAAACGATACCTTATGATACCCTAAAACTCTGGTTAAAATTTTAGCTTGAGTATACGCACGGTTTTTGAGAAATGAGGGGGCAAAGTTGCCAAATCGCCATCATTCTGGACAGCATTTCTACAGCAAAAAGACGGGAAAAATGGACGAAAAAGTTACACCTTTGATAGGTTTCGGCTGTAAATGTTCTTATTGGGCTCCCAAGCATTTAACTGTGTTCAGTTTCAAAAATTTTGATCGCACAGTGGTCCAAAGTGGGGAGAAATCGTCGACAAATCAGGATTCTTTGTCAAATTTTTAAAAATGGAAATAAAATTGTCGGTCTGCTGCAGTTTTCATGGCTAACAATGTTCTTATCGGTCCTCAATGCATGAAATTGTGTTCAGCTTCACAAATTTACATCGCACAGTGGTGAAAATGACAGAATTAGTGGACAAATTAAGATCCTCTGTGAAACTTTTTAAAAGTGGAGTGAAACTGTTGGTCCCCAGTAGAGTTTAGATCCCCGAAAAATTCATGTATTTAATTTTCTTAATTATTACTGCATGTCAGACCGTATTGTCTATAGAACGTTGTTATAGAATAGACTTTGTAGCATTATCTCAATAAAATATGCAAACTTTCAGAAATTTAAAAAAAGAAGGAAAAATGGAGAGAAAAAATTAAAAAATGATTTAAACAGTCCAAAAAATAATTTAAATAATTTTTCCAGGATCTAAACTCTACTGGGGACCAACAGTTTCACTCCACTTTTAAAAAGTTTCACAGAGGATCTTAATTTGTCCACTAATTCTGTCATTTTGACCACTGTGCGATGTAAATTTGTGAAGCTGAACACAGTTAAATGCTTGGGGGCCCAATAAGAACATTTACAGCCGAAACCCATCAAAGGTGTAACTTTTTCGTCCATTTTTCCCGTCTTTTTGCTGTAGAAATGCTGTCCAGAATGATGGCGATTTGGCAACTTTGCCCCCTCATTTCTCAAAAACCGTGCGTATACTCAAGCTAAAATTTTAACCAGAGTTTTAGGGTATCATAAGGTATCGTTTGGGCCCGGTTTCAGAAAAATCCCTTCTGGCCCAAATTGTGCCAAAAAACGGTCGTTTTTGGCGTCGCTCTTTTGAAACACCGCAAAGGAGGTACGTGGTTTTGCACTTTGGCCATCGATGAGGATGAGCAATACAACAAACTTAGGAAGTGATTGATTAAACAGGTTCATTGAGACAACTTAGGAGGAGTAAAAGATTAAATGTGCACCGATTTCATAATTATTTTGATGATGCATGATAAATAACATTAAAATTTGCATTTCCCCCCTAAACTTTAAGAAAAATACATGGGAGGACTGAGATAAACCTCCCTCTGTTTGGATGCCACACCAGTGTTCCAACTTCACCTCCAAGTTTTAGGAGCCGTTTGGCCCATCAAGTTCAATTTTTAGGGGCCATTGAAGATTTTGTAGGGGCCAAATTGAATTTTTGCCTATATATCACGGCGCATTTAGTGAAAAGTTATACGCAAGATATACAGTTACAGGACTTGCAAGTTGCAGCTTGCAGCCATTACTTGGGAAAGGGAAAGGCCAAAGGAATGATATTCCGATTTAAAACAAGGAGCTTTTAGTTTACTTAAAGTTTGTTCAATTAAATAATACTTTTTCTGACTTCCTCTTATGAAAAGTAGTAGAACGATTCTATAGTATGTACCATAAGTAGTACGATTCTCGATCTGCTGAGCCGCTCCGCGACGAAGTTCCGCGCGCAACTGCTTGCTATGCGCGTTCAGCCCAGGCTCACTGACAAAAATCTTGAAATCATCAAACCGTAATTTAGGATTGCGACAATTTTTTAGGGGCCACGTTTGCCGCAGGGTCTTCATTTTTTAGGGGCCATGGGCGATTGTTTAGGAGCATTTGGCGACATGGCGCTTGTGGGGTTGGAACACTGGCCACACCACTGCTTAGGGTTGCAACATTGTGTCAAACTAGCTGGCTTAGGGTTAGTTATGTAATCAAGTAAAGTCCCTCTAAACTTCAGCACTAAATGGGGGGAAAAAAACACACCTTAGAGAGTAGAGTATGTGATACTCGATGAGGATAGTCATGATCTGAGACGACAACACCAGCCAAATTGTCAGCACGTACGTAAACATGACACATATATTCTGTGGAAAGACAAACAGAGAGTTAAACTGAATAAAGTCATCAGAATTGTAAAATTCCTAGTTGGTGACTGGAAAAATAAATCGGTGCGACCTACAACTTTTGGAGAAGAAATCTATACTTGACAGGTCAGTAAAATCTACATATTCAGAGATTATTTTCATTGATTTTTTCCCTGAAAAATAATTTGGAACTTTATCTAATTCAAATTACTTACAGTTGTTCCCTTTAGGTACTAAACTTGCAATTGAACAGTTGGTTATCGAATAGTGGTTGAAGACATTCTTAAAATAGGATAGGAAAAGAGACAAAGTTTTATTTAAAGATTGTTTCGGCTCACCTCCTTCCTTGACTGACTGCCTGGCACATGACATTGTCCTCTCAACCATGGTTTTACTAACAAAGGCCATGAACTCTTGCACACTTCCTCGCTGGAAGTATGAAAAAGTCCCTAGTTCGTAGGCAGACTTCAACCAACGTCCTGCATTCGGGCCTTTGTACAAAATGTTGATCGCATATAATTTCACCATTATCACAGTTTCAGCACACCTTTACAAAAAACAAAGGAACAGTTTAGTTCACATTCTCTTGACAGCTGCGACACTCATCAGTTAGGAGGCCACAATGTCACAGGATGAAATAGTTCCAAAAAGTAAAGAAAATTCATTCAAATTTAAGATATTCGACCTATGCAAGATGGAATGCAATTAAAATAACAAAACTTGTGACTTACTTTGACATTAGACCACTCAGACGGCAAGCTCAAAAATGGTATCCAAGTCTTGAGAGGGGCTAAAAAGCTTAAAAGCAATGTCACAGAGTACTTTCAAAGGTAGACATTCTGTGAAACGAATAGGGAAAACATGCTTGCGCCTCACCAGGATGTTTTTGTATGCCCCATTTTTGGTGTAACCATTATTGTGTCTCATAAATGTGGCTGAGAATCTATTTATGCGCAACCAGCTAGTTTCAAGCAATGTCTCTAGGACTTTAATTGACTGAAGAAGATAAAATTAGCCCTTACTAAGACTTGAGACCTGATTTTCCAGTAAACTTCCTAAACATATGACTCGGAGGCTGTGGGTACGCTTCATTTGGTAACGCCCTTGGATTTGGTTGTAAGTACTTACAGAAGAAGTATATAAAAACCTCTCATGCAGAAGGATGAACGGACCCTGTTAATGAGTGAAAAGAAGACGGACAGACAATTTTAATGCAAACCATAACTCCAACCTGTTGATAAATTAGGTGAAAGCGCTCTGGCCTAACCTAACAAAGGAAGATGGCAGCTTCATGCACTTACTTAAGAATCCTAAATTATTGAGAGCATAAAAGCTAAAGTCCGCAGCTGTGTTTTCAGCAAAAAAAGGTCAATTTAGTCTGTCTGACAAAATGCAAAAGATTTGACAATATATTGGCCACATCACTCTACAAACATTGATGATAACAACTGAAAATGGAATGTCAACAAAAATGTCAACTAGTGATAACAAACATGGAGAGGAGGAAAAAGACTCACGAAGTCACGAATTTCCTGTTTTTCGTCATCACACTTCAAATAGGTGTTCTCTATTGGTTGAAAACCAAAACGTTGACAATGACGTCATTTGGATACTTTGACTGTTTGTTGTTCGGATTGGACATGTTTCGGAGTTGTTGATAAGAGATAAGAAAGCGGAAAGCTGCGTTTACAAGCGTGTTAAACAGTTCAAATCATCTCTATTTTATTAACTTCTCAATTTTCTTTTCATACAGTTAGTAGTTAGTGTTTAAAGTTCCTCAAGTTTTGAATTTTCACCCTTCACTTCAAATGTCGCAGTAGATTTTGATGACAGTATGAGACCAACAATAAGTTTTTTCTGCTTGGTGTCCTGCGTTTTCATTTTCTCAAACTGCAATGGGCAAGTTAAAACTAAAGTAAGGATGACTTCCTGTTTATTTCAACTGAATTATTTGAATCTCTTTATCAGAGCACAGCCTACGAAATCCATTGTATTTCAGTTTTTATCACTTATTTCAACCCTCAGGTATGGGCAATTGATTAGCTGTGTGTCAGCGTGTTTTCAGCACTACAAAGTAGTCACTAGCTCTTGCCAAATTAGCCGGCAGTTCTCCCTAGTATGACTGAAAATATTCTGTATTCATTCCCGATTTTTTAGCTACCAGAATAAGTTCAGGAGCCAATAGGCATGTAAGCAGTGTGTGAGGTCATTTAAGTACTAAATTAATGTTAATTAGAGAGCATACAATCGTTATGAAGAAGTCGTGGTTTACTTAGCGGACAATTTCTGTGTCTTATCAATAACGTTGCAAGAATGTGGTCAGAGTTGTGTGCCTCCAAAAAACAACTAGCACTGAGGGCAGATTATTGAAATTTTTTGTTTATCTTGGAGGTAAACAAAACAGGACTTAAAACAAACAGAGCCATGTGATCGGACGGCTGCAGCGATGAGACTAGGTACCGTGTTGACCGTATTCAGGATTGAGAGAACTTTTTCGGTCTGAGTCAATAACTGGTTGTTGTTTATTTAGACCATTTGGGCGTGCCTGGCTTAGTCCAGTAGGCTCATTGCGGCAGCCGTTCAATTATGTAGGTAGTTCCACCTCATCTAAGCCTTGTCTTGTCCCTACAAACATGAGGTTCAAATATGGAATGCTCTTGCTTTTTAAACATTATTTGCATAAAAAAATCACAAAATTTGTTGTGCCTGTTCACGTTTGTTTGAAAGCTTTTGAGTTTTCCGCAGACTTCCAGCGACGCATAAGAGAAAGCAAAATTAAAATAACATTTCAAAGAAGATTATAGGTATTCTTCAGAAAAATGGGGTTGATTATGTTGACCAGACTAAAAACTTGCTGCATTTCTGGGGCCAAGGACTTCTGAGCCTTGAATCATGTATGTACCTATCAACTGAGCAGCTTCATTGCTCCTGAGTTTCTCTGACTTAGAATCATGATTTACCTTGCCCTTTTGAAAGGTTTTCATCCATATATCAACCAGTTTTGTGTTTTGTTTGCACAGAGTATCTCTCTTTCAGAAAGAGTTGAACAACTATCACAAATGAGCTTCAAACGCTCCGTTATCAAGTTCAATCCGCAAAAATTCAAAGACTTCGTCAAGGCAACACCTCGAAACTATTCTGTTGTAATTATGTTTACCGCTATTGCTCCAGCTCGTCAGTGCTCAATTTGCAGGTATTGTTTGCGACAATCTACAAGAAAAGAGATCCCAGTGCTCAACAACTTAAAATTGAGTTATTTTTATGAGAGCTATGTATATATTTCAAACAAAGGGTTTCTACCTAGTTCAAAAAACCTAGTTTCCTCTCTTCAGTCTCGGAGCTGCCTTTCATAATTTCGGCTCTCCTTTCATTTTTTAAAAGTAAACAAGGTAACTTAACTCCTCATGATTTACAGGAAATATTCTTCCGAGGGAGAAGAAGAATATTGAAAATTTTCAACAAACAATGTTGATGTGTTTTCCTTTTAAAAAGTAAACTTTCACAGGAAATTCGCAATAGCGTTGATCAAGAAATGGAGTTTCTGAGTTTTGCAAAGCTTTGACATTTGCATTTTGTTGTTCGTTTCTTCCTTGAGCCTCCTTGCTATAGGTTTTTCAGGGAGGAAACAAATTACCAGGTACTGATATTAAAAAGTTAGACATTCCCAAATTAACATTTAAATTACAAAACAATAAGACTACATACATTTAGACTCTCTCAAGTTATATTACATCATGCCTTTTTAGAAACCATGAAAAAACTTTGTTTCAGACAAGCGAGTGAGGAATTCAATATTGTTGCTAATTCTCATCGCTATTCCGCCACTTTCAATAATGACCTGTTCTTCGTTGTTTTGGACTTCGATGGAAGTGCAGACGTATTCCAGTGGGTAAGTCAATCTTGATCTATGATCATGTAGGCAGGGGGGAATCAGGAATTCATATAACTTTACAAGTTTTTTTTCCTGAAGTAAAAGATTTGAAAAAATTATTATGACACTCACTTTTATAAAAATTGGTTTAAATCAATTTTTATGCAAGTGAGTGTTGTAGTAATATTCTAAAATCTTTTACTTTGTTGAGCTATGATTATTCGTTTTCCAATAACTCTAAAAAAACTAGATAAGGCTGTGGTGAAGCAATGGGGAAGATTGGAGGACAAGGCGTATGAGTTCAGTTTTTCTATTTCAAGAAATACATGTTTGAAATTTCACAATTACATGGAGCCTCGAGGTAGGAAGGAAGTTTAAACTCACTTTTTGATGCCTTAAAGTAGGATTTTAGTTGAGTTCATAAATATCTCAATTTTTTCAAAAACTGCACGTATGCGCCCTGTCCTCCAAGCCCCTCAGTTTCGACAAAGAATCGTGGGTTTTATTTCATTATTGACTTTTGAAAGAAGATTCCAATTTATCAATCTCTTGTCCTTTTCTCTCTAAAATTTGACATTTTCAGCTGGACAGTCATTTACCTCATTATTTTATGTTAGAGAGGAAGTGCCAGATGGCTAAAGGCGGAACTCCAAAATCTTTCTGTTTAATTGCATTGTTTTGAAACTTCCGCGTATAGGTATAGTAATTTTTCACAATAAACAAATCAGCAATGGGATTCAAAATTTTCCAAAAATGACCGTTGAGTAGCAATAAAAAGTGTGGAAAAATATCAAGCCTGAATATGAATTGGTTCTCCCCCTTAGAGAATAAATATGTAGGTGTGAATATTTTGAAATGTTGTGATGGAGATACCCTGGTTTTATACTTCAAGTCATCAAGTTATCAGCTTTATTCAGGGTTGTCTCGGTACAGTCCATTGAAAGCAACAGAATCATGGAGTGAGCATTTTTTTCATTTTAAATGAACAAATTATGAACAAGGCTCCTGAATTTTCATCACACATACTCCACACAAATTTGAAACAGAAAACAAAAGGAAAATAGGACTATCATTCCTCAAGTTTATGAATTAACTGGGAGACACATTTTCTCCATTTGTCAAAAGAGGTAAATATAACCCTGATTTTATCAATTCATTTTTTCTCTCTCTCCCTCTCTCTATCTGGATTTGATCAGAAGTATTATGGAGAAGAACAAGGTATATCTAGATAAAAAGAGGATAAATTTCTAAGTAGAGAATACAATTAGTTGTCAATTGTCAACTTCAGTTTATGTGTCTCCATGCAACATACAGGGGTCCATTGTGCAGAGATTTGTGCATGTTTGCTGTATTAAAGCATTCTTCAATTCCAGATGAAAATCAACACTGCGCCAATGTTTATTCACTTTCCACCAAAAGGGAAACCAAAGCAGAAGGATACACTTGATGTACAAAGAGTTGGTTTTGCTGCCGAGGCAATTGCTAAATGGATTCACGAGCAAACGGATATTCAGGTATTTTTTCTTTTGAAAGTAAGTTTTTTAGGTTTCTTTGTAATCAAGGATACCGAGAGTGTCCAAGAAATTCAGTGGGCCAGTAGAAAGTTAGTATCTAAGCATTCTATCATATGTTTCGTCTTTAAAATTTAGGATTTCCTATTCTCTGAAGAATACAATTCATGCAATATAAATGACTGAATATAACTCCCAGCCGAGATATGAACATTTTTATTTAGCACCGGCTTTGCTTACGAACAACTTGAATTTCCTACTCACAAGAAGAGCCCGATACTCTGTAAATAAATCAAATTGCGCTGTAGCATGGTTTTGGCAGGCCTCTTAATCAAGCAGTGTCCCTTCGCCACCCTTTAATCTTTAAAGAGTAAATTAATGAAGATAAGAAAACATAAATCTAGAGTTGGGCCGAAATGGATTTTTCGCGTTACTGGATACAGATATCAATTTTTTTTACCCGGTCGGAGCCAGATACCAGATAATTTGCCAAGGTATTAGGCCAGAACCGGATAATACCGGATCCAGATAATGCTTCTTCGGGTGAAAAAAATCTCCCTATTTTGCGCAGGGCGCGCTGTAGGTTAGACCGTTGAGACCATCATCCACTATGTGTTTGCCCTCGTACCGGCAAGCTCCCTATTTTTCTGAGTCACTCAATGAGTCGGCCCGCCAAAACGAATTCCAAAAAACAGAATGACCTGGCTGATGAGCAGCATAGCTTTCATTGGATTCACGGTGTGATGGATCACAATGTGCAGGAAGAAAGATATTATCAGAATAGTACACAAGACAAAAGTGGAAATCAGCGCTGCCAACCTCACACTTTTCAGAGCATCATCACTGCTTGCCAGTCAAAAGTTGCAGCATTTCAAAGCCTGTCTTGACGGGAAGATGTTCGTTTAATCTCTGTTAATGAAAATCTCTAAATGAACAGGAAAAATGGATTTTTAAACTGATCACGAACTTAGTTGGCCTTTATTTCGATACTGCGATAACAAACTTCTGCAACATTGCAATAGTTGCGGAGTTCCGCTTGGACTAAAAACGTTACCAGTGAGGAACTCATGCGCATGTTGGTGGCTTTGTTTTTTTGTCTCTTCCACCTGCATCTTCGTTTTTGAAAGTGAAAAACGCGGACTTAAGGAAGTAAGGATCATGTTGCGATCATATTAATTTGCGGAAAATGTACTTAATTCCGAAAAGTTGAGCAATTACCATGACTAGTCAAAGTGCGCCAAAAAGCATCAAAATTTCACCGAAAAGGACCCCGCACACCTCTTATGGGAAGCTGCACCATGACCGATTGCCTTCTGACTTATATCATTCGATTTTCCTCAAGATGCTGATCAAAAGTTATAATTGCATCAACTTTCTACGATGCACCGTTTTCGTGAGAAACCTAAAGGAAGATTTAATTATTCGGCGATAAAAAGCCAGAAAGATTCCTCATTTCAGTACTCGAGTGAACAAATCAGGGGAACTCCCGCACCGACTGGCAGTCTTATCTCGGATTCTGCACGCTGTTTTGCTCAACCATCCAAATCAGATTCTTGAGGAGCATAAGAACAGGAAAGTCGGAACGTCAACCGAACGAGAGCGGGAGGGAGATAGCCCCAGAGTCGGCAGGTTTAGATAAGAAGACGGACATGCGCTACGTTTTTTCCTTATTTACATCGGGCCTGTTCTCAAATGCTTTGTTAGTTTTTATTCATTGTCGCCGAATAATTGAATCTTCTCTTAGGTTTTTTGCGAAAACGGTAAATCGTAGAAAGTTGGCGCAATTATAACTTTTGATCAGCATCTTGAGGAGAATCGAATGACATTAGTCAGAAGGCAATTGGTCATGGTGCAGCTTCCCATAAGAGGTGTGCGGGGTCCTTTATCAAAATTTTCACAGCAGGAAAAGCACTATCCAGCGGGTCAAAAACTGGATAGTGCTATTATCTGGCCGGATACGGATACCCGCAAAAATCTTATCCGGCTGGATAATCTGGCTATCCGGATAATCGCTGGATACCTGGCCCAACTCCACATAAATCATATTCCTTGAATTTGCAGCTAGTCTAGTGGTCCATTGGTAAGGAAAACTTAAAATACTCACACAGGACTCTCAGGAAAAATTGGGGAAAAGATAAAAATCTGCTCTGCTTTTCACAGCACTAATCTGCGTTAAAAAAGCGTTGCATCTCTGAAGAGAGCAAAAATAGTCGTTGCAATACGCTATTGTTGCTTTAGTATTGCGGTTGCCATCCTTCATGTTTGATATTCTTCAAAATTTTCCTATGCTGTGGAAGAGATGAAAAAAAATCTGTAAGTACTGGCATGGATAAAATAAACTCAATGCTGCTAAAATCTCAAAATGCTTTGATTAAGAGAGATGTATATGGGTGGATTTCAGCTAATGGGAGAAAATGGGCTTGGAAACAGGTTGAGAAGTGATTTGGCCGTATCAAGCTAAAGAGTACTTTACTATTATCTTGGAGCACCATGTTACAGGGCACAATGTCGTGAATCATAATATATTTTGACAGTAAAAGAACAAGGGGGTTTTCAAAACTTTTCAAAAAATTAGATAAAGCTCGCAAAAGGTTCTGGTTCATTTATATAATAATTTGATACCTTGACTACCGAGCAGTTTCGCGTCACCAAACTGACATTTTAAATCACTGTTTAGCACATTGAAATGAAAGTTTAGAGTTTTTAAAATCTCCTGTGGAATTTTTTTGTGGTTGATGTGAGACCTACCTCTACCAAAATAAACAAACATGGAAAGAAAAGATCATGATTAAAAGGGTTTAGCAGCCAGTTAAACGTCTTTCCCATATTTTCTCCCATTAGCTGAAATCCACTCATATCTTCAGGGATAGAGATTTTTTCGGTCTTGCTGAACCGAAATCCTTCACTGTACTCCAGAGTAACCTCCATGAAGTCTTTCTGTAAGGAAGCATTTAATGATTCTTGTTTTTTTCCCCCCCGCAGATCAGGGTATTTAGACCACCAAATTACTCCAACTCAGTTGCGTTCTTGTTGGTGCTTTGTCTCCTTGGAGGATTTCTCTACTTGCGGCGAAATAATTTAGATATTTTGTATAATAAAACACTTTGGGGTGTGGCAGCAGTGGTAAGCTTCACATTTCCCTTTTGTTGTTCATTGAAAGTGTATCATTCAGGCAGCTGTAGATGTTGAACCTGTAGAAATGTGTATTTTGGTTGTGGACTTCTTGTCATACATTATTTTCTACATCAATTACTAATAAACATGATTTCTTGTGAGCTCCGGTGATTTTACTTCTCTATGTAAAGAATATTTTTTTTTTTTTTTTTTTTTCTCTACTTCAAGTAGCCCACAAGGGCTAATCCTGCGCTTTAAGTCCCAACCCCCCTCCGTCCCTACTGAACCAGTCCCAGGCAACCATTGTTGGAGACCATCAAACTCGGGTTGCCTGGCTGGGAATCAAACCCGGGACCTCCCGATCATAGGGCTAGCGCTACAACCACTACTCCATAGGAGGCTGACAATTCTGTGGGAAATCAAGCCAGGATGTTTGTACTGTCTCCTTTAAAAATGTAAAATAGGAGCGGAGACTTTGAAACACCGCAACAGAGACATGCATTTTTGCAGTTTCACCATAGATTTGTACTATAAATACTAAAAACATATTTTAACACTTTGAAAATTTTCAGCGCTAACCAGTCGAAAGCCTGAAAAAAAAAATTAAAAAATAACCAAACTTTTCCTTTTGGCAAGGCAGCGCATTTCAAAAAAAGTGCCAATCAGAGGTCAGTTTTTAAGAATTTAATATTTAAAGTGCCCATGCAGTTTCGGAGAAAATAACTATTTCATGTGGTCTTAAGAACGCATTAATTATTTGTTTATTATTTTTTTTTTTTTTCTAGAAAATTGATCACATATTTCTGTTGCTTGTTGTAATTTAGTGTGATTTGTTTTCAGTTCTTTTGTTTTTCGATGGTCTCTGGGCAAATGTGGAATCATATTCGCAGTCCCCCGTTTGTGCATAAATCACACAATGGAGGCATTATGTACATCCATGGATCATCTCAAGGACAGTTTGTTCTTGAAACTTACATTGTCATCGTTTTGAGTATCCTTTGAAGTTTTATCTTCCAAATTTGTATGGTATTTTGATGATTGTTGTTTTTGAAGACACTGTTTTTGCTTTTTTTCACAGGTAGATTGAATCAGTTCTCTAACTTTTTTGAGCTCCATGCATAAACATACTCATAAGTCAGGCTTTGGCACCTGAAAATGAAATACGCAGCCAAGTGTGGTGTCTATTAATTGATGTTGCTCTGTTTGCTGGTGCATTTTTGCTCATCTTAAAAATTTATGTTGTATGATGAAAATTTTTGAGACTCCCTTTATTTCTTCTTCTTTTTTATCAGGTTTTATAAGCAGTTTTATGAATTGCAACCAGGGGGCAGCATCTGGCAAAGAGGGCCTGTATTATAAAACTACAATGAGAAGAAGACAAAATTAATAATAATTCGCAAATATATGTATTATGTATCTGTAGAAAGAGAATGACAATGTAAAAAAAGTGTAAAAGCCAGAATTTTTGTATTTTATTTTATTTTATCACAGTCTTACTCGCCTGGCAAGGTAATGGGTTGATAAACGATGCTTATGCCCCAGTCGAAGGGAGACAAAGAAGAAGAAGAATAATTATATTAAGCACTAACGAATCTTTTTTCTCTTTCAAGGGCTGTTCTTCAAAATCCTGGAAATGCTGCCAAATTTAGCCAGTCTTTATTGTCTACCCTTCTGTTTTCCTTAGCTCAGATTTTTTAGATGCTGCAATCGTAATTGGAATGATCATGATGATTGATGCTGCATCCAAAAAAGGCGGAGTCAGAGTGCGCCGCATCATGGCTATATTAGGCCTTGTTTTTGTCGCCATTGATTTTAGCGTTATTCTCTCAATCTTCAGGTCAAAAGCACATGGATATCCCTACAGGTATGATTCTCCCTTTTTCACTCTACACCAATCCTCTTATTTGATTTTCGCAGTCCTTTATTCACTATTGGTGGAAAGTTCACAATATATCAGGAGGGGGTTAAATTTTGGGTCTTTTTTCCCCGACTCTCTGCCGTTCTAATGTGGATCTGCTCTATCTGCTGCATCTAATGTGGAAATAGGTGATTCGAGCACAGTATGTGTAAGAAACTTTTGTGAAGAACTTTTAATTTCCAACCAGTCCATAATTAAAATTCCAAGTTATGCTTTGCTATCAAAATAGACGAACTGTCGTATAATATGGAAACAGTTCTTGTAAAAGTAACCTTTTCATTTTCTTGATACAGTTTATCTGTATGTTGTATGTTACTACTGTATGACTCAATCAAAATCACTCATCCTCTATCTAGACTCAAAAAATCATCATGCGCTTGGCTCTGCCTATGCGTATGTAATGTGGCCAATTTCAAATTGTACAAACAAAATATTCAAGAAGTTACAATGGTTTCTCAAAAGTTTCTTAACTCTTCTAACTTTAATGAGCTCAATAACATCTCCTGCAATGTCAGTGTAGGTTTTGAATTTAAATGTGCTCTTATACAAGTTTTATGTTATTTTGTATTCACGCTACTTTCTTGTCTTTTTCAGCTTCTTAATTTAAGAAATCAGGTGCAGAAATAGATTACTTATTTGACATTCTCAGTAAAAGGAAAGAAGCACGATATTCTGATCTCCAACTAATATTTTACATGCTGTAATTTAGTTTTAAATTTTTATATGTTTTGATTTGGGCATCTATTTATTTCTTAAATTTACTTTCTGGCAGTCAATGATTAGTGAGTCAGGGGTAGAAAATCTCATACCAAGAATTCTCTCCGTTTTTTTTAAAATTAATTTCTTGAAAAGGCTAAAGGTTGATGTGGTTAAACTACTGACTTTTTTACTTACTTACATTCTCAGGATTTTATGGATAGGAATGTATTTCCGAAACCTTACAAAATTCAGGTAAATACTCGCATTTAGATGAAGCTTTTCATAAAATTCCTACAAGATGTATACTATTTTTTAAGTATCCAAGAAAAAAGTCACATAAAAACTTTTTAGCCTCTTTGATTAATGTACCTATCCAAATTTCTAAGTGCTAAAACTTGATGCGGTAAAACCACAGATTTCGTTTACTTACTCACTTATTTAAGTATTTGTTAGAATTTCATATGTAGAAAGGCACAAGTCCATATAGCAAGATAAGTGAACAAATGATGGCAAGACATGATGAACAATGAGCTGATATGATGGAGACAAGGAAAATTTCAATTTTATGACTTACCCAAGACTTTTTCATATTTTTACTTAGCATCTCTGTGGATGATGTTTATCAACTTTTACCATTTTTCTCTTCAATGCATGGAAAGGAACCAATGATGAAGTTTAAAAATGTTTGGTGTGCAACGCAGGCACCTTTAAAAAATATGGTTAGTGAGGACAAGCTTAAACTATCTGCGATTCTGTGACAACCGCAGTCAACCAATGTTTGAAGAAACTTATCAGCTCTTAATCACCCGAAAATTCTATATCTGTCTAACATAGCTCGGGTTTTTTTTTTTTTTTTTTTTTTTTTTTTTTTTTTTTTTTTTGGAGTAGAAGATTTACTCCATGGGATTTCGATTTCAAAAGCCTAACTTTAATATTTAGCCAGTAAGTTTATTTTGTATACATTTTTCCTGTTCCTATCATAGCTGTGATTTTTACTTGAAAGCATTCAATAAAAAGTTGCTATTTCCATCTTGTATAACATTACCTAAGTACATTATGAAAAATAGGCAGACGCAGAAGTGGTTCAACTGTTGTCTATCTATGCTTTGATTCTCTTATTTTAACTTTTATTCGTAATTTTAATCCGAGTCATGTTTAGTCATGTTTTAGTAAGACTGAAGCGTTTGACCTTGTTTTTAAACTGTCCTGTTTGCTGTGGAACTAGATCTCCTTTCTGTAAAACAGAGTGAAAAATCGGTTTTTTTCGTTCCTTTGTCCAAAACTCAATTAAATATTTTGTTGATGATGAGCTGTTAACTATTGGTTCTCAACACTTAATTACAAGATACCTACTGAAAATTCATGGAAAGAAATTACTAAGAAGTCTGCTTGTTTTTGACACTTTTTATCTTAAAATATAAAGATGGTGAAACTACCAGACCACGTATCTTGGTTTGCAATGTTGCAGACCTCCTCTCTTATTTTATTTTTCAAATGGAAAACTGCTCAAAGTCAATTCTCAAATAAAAATTTCTGTGATTTTTTTTTCTATGTGTGAAGAATAAAACTCAGTGAAAACTTCAAGGAATGATATTGATTTGCTCTCCTTCAAAAAAATAAATTGAGAGCGGAGATTTTTAAATACTTACTGCAAACGAGATGCGTGGTCTTGCAGTTTCACCATCGATAATCAAGATTTTTCTCCCCTTTTATTGCCATCAATGTTTAAGTAGGTTGGTATCTTGATGTGCAATGTTGCAGATTTCTTGTCATGCACATTTTACTTTGTCAAAAGTGAATTATAAGAGGTGGTTTCTTAGAATTTCTACTGAAGTTCTTCATTCTGTTCTATACTTAATGATTGACAATTTTTAAAGATGACCCTCATTTTTTTTCTTTCTTTTTTTTTCAAGAAAATGTTACACCCTTCATGCGACACCAAATAATAGATTTTGAAACACTGCAATTTGAGATATCTATGTGCGTCCTATCTTTCACCCATGACATGCTAGAAAGACCAAAAATTTTCTCTCTCTCTCTCTCTCTCTCTCTCTCTCTCTTTTGTACAGATTTAAATACGAAGTGCATACATTTGTAAAACTCTTCTTTATCCATCCTTATATAGTTAGTACAAAATTACTTTTTTTGACCTATGTGTAGTACCTACTTGAAAGAGAGAAAGTGCCTTTTTCATTTTAGTAAAAAAATCATTCTAAGTTGTCAGACATTTTTCATACACTGGAGAGGGTATAGTGAGCAGGTAAATGCAACAATACGTCCAAATTGAATAGTTTTATAAAGCTCGATGGAGTATTGATTGAAAAAGTGTCTGTTTAATGGTCCCTTTGGAATGAACTGTTACATTTACCCTACTTACCTACTGAAATCTATAAACTCCATTTATTCACAGAAGTTTTTACCATAGATAATAAGATTTAGCAGGGAAGTTGATTCAAGTACATCAGTAGGGTATGATTATCTCTCAAGAGTACCTATTATTAACTAACGGGTCACTGTGAAGCCTCTTCACCCCTTTTCTCTCATCCTCTGAATGAATGGATGATCATTTGAATATGAAAGCAAGGAGGTGTGAACAATGTTAAAATAATTCCAGTTTGTGAGGAAGTAATCTGGCTTTTCTACGGTTTGAAGAGGAGATATTTCTTCACTTCCTGCCCACTCTGTTCCATCTTATTAAACTCAACGGCGGTCCAAAGACGGACGCAAGCATCGCAAGTACATAAGAAGTATTTTTAAATGAAATTTTTTGGACCGTTTTTGCGCGCTGCAGCGCAAGTCCCGCCTTCCTCAGTGATGCAATATTTCCCAAGCTCTTTACACTGTATTGATATACACATCTTTATGAACAATTTTTTTGGAGGTTGGCAACGTCGGTTAGCTCAGTCACCAATCCAAAATGGCCGCACTGTGTTTATTTTTCGATGAATTTCTGGTCTGACTGCTCAACAATACAACAATTCAACATTAATTTAATTTTTTATTTCTATTCGCTTTAAGTATTCACTCACGCTGCTTACGATTTCTTGAAGGCTTTAAATTGTGACCAACTAATTTGGAATCTATGGGTATTATTGTTCAGCAATTGTGCATGGTGCACTCCGCCAATCCTTAGTTGGAAAGGGGGGTTAGTGATCAGTTTTTCTTCTGTCCAGATTTTATCCTCTCCGTCCGAACGTCAAGCAGTCTTACACCTTGTATGAGTAATATTTCCATTATTGCATAACATATCTTCTTGTTTGACATGTGTAATCGCTCCTTTTGTCCCGCGTCATCCTGTCTTCATGTCGCATATGCCCGTCCATGCAGAAATTATCCACTAAAATGTTCTTCGCTTTGAAGCTTCTCATGGTCACTCATCATAGAAGAAAGAAGAAATTACGATCCGTTCACTCAAATACATAATTCATAGGTATGTAAGTACGTACAATCCTCATGATAAGATCATCGCCAGGCAATGGGTCTGTTGCAAACTTTTGCTAGAGCAAACATAAGAGTTATTTCTCATGGGAAGTGTCTCAAGAATCACGATGAGCGTATTGGCAAAGTGTGAAATGCTCTCCTTATTTCACAATTTGCATAAGAAATTTGTGTTTTTTCGAGCTTCCCGCCTCAAGAACGATACCAAGGCATAGGTGAACATTTCATTAGAGGAGTTATTCCATCCAACCCCTGCTCATAAGGATACTATGCAATACTCAACATAGCAGACGCCAATCTGCCAAAACATATGTGTGACGGGATGATAATGCTAACCACCTGATAATAATCGGCGTGTTTACATTCTCATTTTTCTCAAGTTGATAGATATCCGCCTTGATTGACTTTGTGCTCTTCTCAACTTGCGCGCGGAAGCGTCGGCCATGTTGAGCAGGGATTGAATGGGACGACTTCTCTAACAGAATGTTCACCTGTCCTACAGTATCCTTTTTGAAGCGGGAAACTTAAAAACACGCAAATTTCTAACGCAGGTTGTGAAGTTAGGAGTGCATTTCAGAGTTTGCTGATGCGCTCATCGTAATTTTTGAGACATTATCTATAAGGGACAACTCTTATTTTTGCCCTAGAAAAAGTTTGCAACAGGCCCATTGAGGTGAGCGTCGACTCAGCTATTTGTGCAATCCTTCCTCACCGTCTTTCACCAAAAAACTAGACTTTGCAAATGCCAAAAATCATTTTAGATGTTGTTTTGCATGTGCAAATTTCCTTCAGTGTTGCTGGATGAATATTTGCTTGTTGCATGTTAACCGAAGGCTCACAACAGGTGCCGAGAAGAGAGGCGTGGGAATTACTATGAGTTGTTTCAGGCACACTTTCCTCTGAAGCTTATCAATACCATCCACAAACCATGTGCAAATTCTTTTGGTTACTTCGTTTCTGCCCCCATGCGGTAATGCTGCTCTACAATAGCAGTACTTATGACAGTTATGAAATGACAATCTGTAGTGAAAAATTCATGCTGCTTACAGCTTAAATACCTAATTAATATTTCCTGTAAATGATGCTCAATTTTAGTCCTGTGCAGTGGCGAGGCATGAATGATCGAGTATCGCTATTTATTCATTTGGAACTATGGTAAGGAAGTGAATATCAAGGTGTTTGTTGCAAATATCCTACTTATCAATCCTTTTCCATTGGTTTTTTAAAGTGTTTAAGCACAACATTATGGTACCTAGTAGCACTTTATGTAACTTTTCGTTTTGTAAGGTAACCAGTGCTATGAGTTAAAATTAAGTTTTTCATTCAAGGCCAGACAGCTCCAAAAAATTAAATAAATACTTCATTTTATGTTAATACGAGGTAACAGCTTAATTTTAACTCGTAGCACTGGCTACCCTACAAAACAAAAAGCTTTTCCATAGGTTTAAACAGCAAATCAATTGATATACTGAACCGAAAGCAAGCCACGCCACTGGTCCTTTGACATTACTTTATTGAGACTCAGTTCAATCTAGGGAAGAGACAGCTTAGAAACAGAGGACTTGTTATGGCCCTGTTCTAAGATTACATGAATGCCAACTGCTATTTAAATGTTTGAGTGTCACTGTTTCTTCAACTTGTCTCATAATATTTTACATCCATTCGAAACTCTGTTTATATCTTTCACAGATTATGCTGTCAGAATGATAGAAAGTGTATCGAGGAGAGCCTTCGGGAGTTCTCGAGGAACGTACAATGTCCGTGCCTCCGAGCTAGCCCATGATAATCGCAAAAGACTAAAAACAATATCATGCAGTGTTGTTTTCTTAGATGACACCCAGCACACATTTCAAGTTGAGGTGAGTCGGTTGTTATCATTCTCTCAAGACCTCGCAAGAGAACAGTTTCAGATAACCTGTTTTCTCATGAGAAACTTTCCCTGTGACTTTTTCGAGAAAATAAGCTCTGAAAGTTGTTATTCTAATCTCATCAAATTTTGTTCAATAGAGATATGTGTGCCCCTACCAATGCAAGTAAATAGAAGTAATGCCCCTGCATGATAAAAAACAAAAAAAAAAATATCCGAAAGTGACCTTGTAATGAACAGACATTTCCAAAATGGAAACATCTTTTTCAGGATTTTAATTTTACAATTGCTGTGCTGAAGAAGAAAGCTGCAGGAGCCTTTAGATGTTGCCGTTTTTCCTTCGATGAAAAACAAATTTACAGGGGACATTATGAATGTTTTTCTTCCAAATTTTCAGACAATTTTATTCACAATTTATCTAAAGTAGGTAAGTATTTAAACATTTTGAGAAAAAATATGCATAACTTTAATCAGAATACATTTTATATCCGAGGAAATTCGGCAACTCTTGAACGTTCATATGGTGCCGTTCCTTAGTATGGCAGAATAATTATCTTACTTTTTATGGTACCTATCTTTATTTCTGTACCTTTTGGTATAATTTAACTCTATATTCTTACCTTTATAAATTAACACACCTTTTAAATACTCTTTTCAAATTTCATATTTATACATTGTCTCTTAGTTAATTCAAGTATTTGTTTTCTTTTTTTCCCTAGAAACGAGCAAAAGGTAACGTTCTTTTGAATGCAGTTTATCAGCATCTGGAGCTTATTGAAAAAGATTACTTTGGTCTGCAGTATTGTGAAAATGGTGCCATCCCTTCAGTTAGCAATCCAGATAATGTGGTATGACCATGCAACTCTTTCTCACTCTTATTCTAATTTGATTCCATTTTTTCTAGTCTTAATGATGGTTTTATCAATTTCAGAGGTGTAGGAAGCTCCAAGCCCTCTTCCCAATTCAATTGACCTTCCTTCGTCTTTCATTGTAATTCATTCTTTTTGTTTACGCTACTTCAACTTTTGCAAGGAAGATATTAATTAGCCCCCCTCAGTATAAAGATTATTATTGGAATGGGCCTGTTGCAAACTTTTGCTATAGCAAAACTAAGAGTTGTTTCTTATAGAAAATGTCTCAAAAATCACAATGAGCGCATCGGCAAAGTCTGAAATGCACTCATAACTTCACAATCTGCGTAAGAAATTTGCGGTTTTCTGAGCTTCCCGCTTCTAAAACGATACTACGGCACAGGTGAACATTTTGTTAGAGGAGTCGTTCCATCGTCAGCAATACTCATCAGTCATCATGGCCAACGCCAATCTGCCAAAACGCGTGTGATGAAACGAGATAATACCTAAACAGGATTAGACCAGATAACAATCAGCGTGTTTACCTTCATGTTTTCCTTGCCCGCCTTGATTGGCCTTGAACTCTCCTCAAATTACGCGCGGAACTGCGCAAGCGTAGGCCATGATGAATATTGCCGACGATAGCGCAACTCCTCTAACAAAATGTTCACCTGTGCCGTAGTATCGTTTTTGAAGGGGGAAGCTCAAAAAAACGCAAATTTCTTACGCAGATTGTGAAGTTATGAGTGCATTTCAGACTTTGCCGATGCGCTCATCGTGATTTTTGAGGCATTATCTATAGGAAAGAAATCTTATTTTTGCTCTAGCTAAAGTTTGCAACAGGCCCATTGGGGGAAAAAAGATTGGACTAAAGTCACATCAACCTGTATGCATCAATCATTAGTTGGCCAATTGGTTAGCACATACATTTTTGTTCAATGGTGCCATTCTCTGATGTGACATTTGACCCATCTTTTCTTTGCCCAGTTCTACAATTAAGTCGGAAGAAAGGATTAAAGAGCAAAGTTTAAAAAATTTATGATACTCTGAAGAGTGATCCAAATCTTTTTTTTTTTATTACTTACTTGTTCATACACAGGCCTTCACAAGCATTTATTAAAGACATGGTAACATCATGATGCCCAATTATTTGAAACATCCTGCAGGCTGAATTTAAAGTATCTGCAGTTAAGCTCCATTTTATCGTAGCTTATAGCCTAAAAATGGTGGTCAACTCTACACAGACTCAAGATAACCTAGAAAAATTGCCCTGTTGCTCTTTATATAATTCCCAATTTTTTGGGATTTTGCATTTTGTTCTTGGCATAAGATATTGCTACCAATTTATCATGCATTTAAAATTTCCTCCAGGCATATATTTTTAAATAGTTTTTTACTTACTACAATTAATCCCTCTGACTATTTTTCATCTTTTTCAGAGATGGCTAGATCCAACGAAGCCAGTCAAAAAACAGCTCCGAGGTATGTAAAATTTTCTATCTTGTTTTTTTCAGTTCTCTGCTAAGAAAGTCCATTGGACTCAATAGAGATAGAAAACCAAAGACATTGAATAGAGTAGACCGTGCATTCCCTGTCTCTGCCGTGTCAGCTGAGCGAGGCCACTTTGGTGGGACTCCGTAATAGGCGGGCGTGGTGGGAGCTCGCGACTGAGCCCCACGCAGCACAAGCTACCGACTACCGGCAAGCACAAGCCGGCATTGTGCATATCAGATCAGTTGATTTTTCCATCAGGATTTTTGCGAATTACTCGTTTCCACTTCTTTTTTCGGCAAAATTTACAAGGATCACATGTTAAGAGCATGAAATTTCCTATTCTTCTGAACTATTTTCGTATCTCTAGAGTCATCATTACTGACTGAGAAAAACGCTTCATAATTGAAAATATGAGGAAAGTGACCTGCGTATCAGACGAATGTTCTTATAACGCGTGCAGCTTGTAAAGATAACGGTGTTGACAAGAAGTAATTTTGTAAAAGGTACCAAAAGGATTTGAAATGAGGTCAATCATATAAATCAAGGGTAAAAATGAGGAATAATGTTATGTATTGTACATAAAAGGGCATTTAAAAGTTACAAGAGAGTTCCTTGAAGCTATTGTCCATCTTGATCTAAGAGAAGGATTTGATGGAAAGCTGAAAAAGAGGAGCAACGATTTTGGCTGTTTCAAAGTACCAAGATTTAAGTTTATTCCACTGAAAAAGGTAAGCTCAAGCATTATTATCAAACTAATTTGCGAGTCGCAACTTAATGTTATTTAATCTGCTCAAAAATTTCAAAATCAATGCTTCAGTCACTTGTTTGTGACTGGCGATCGTGGATACTGTTTATTTTCAAAAAGTATGGGTATGCAATGGCTCTTAATTCCTTTGCATTTTTAGGTGGCTCTGTGATTAAGTGGCTGCGCTTGAGAAAGGCACCTCTTTTTAACGATGTTCCAGAATCTATGCCGCTCATATTAGTTTAGTAGAGTGGTTTCTAGGGCTGTGCGAATAGTGAATTTTCCGAAGGAAGCAAATAGCGAATAATTTAAGTCAATTATTCACAGCTAGGAATAGGAAAACGAATAATTAGAAATGACTTTTTTAAGTGTGAAAATTTGCGAATATTAAGTACAAAAGTCGACAAAAAATATGTGACTAATTTTTAAGAATTTTCCATTAGCTCATACGCCTGCACAGAAAACAATGAAACACTATGATAGTAGCCTAGGCTGTTAAGAATTTGTTCAAAGATCCCTGGATGCTGGCTTAACTGTCCCTGCAGTTACGTATGCATTTCCAGGATTTGAAGGTAACTGCGCGGGCAGTCAAGCTAGTATCGAAGGATCACTAGACACATTTTAGTATTTTATTTTGTTCGCTGTAAATAAAAATGTGTTTATGAACTTTTTCTTTCAATTTCAGAAATTTCTGTGTCTTTCAATCCTTAATTTGGGCTCTTTGCTTATTCCCCAATCGCAATCGCGCTCGCTGTTCGTAAACTCGGCAAAGTCGGTAAAGATCAAAGGAGATCCGCCGTTCGCGATGTCTCGGGTGGAAGGAAATTCGTTAATTTTGATGGCGCGAATATTTGAAAATTCATTCCTCGTGACGGCGCGAATATTTGAAAATGTCAGTTCAAAAATTCACTATTCGCGACGTCGCGATTATTCGCAATTTGCGAATAGTGCGCGAGGCAGACGAAGCGAATAGTCGGAATTGCGAATATTCGCACAGCCCTAGTGGTTTCTAATGGTAATTTTCCAGGATTTTTTCCACAGAAAATTGCAGAATCATGAAAAATACCTCAGTAGAAATTTCAACGAAAACCATGCATTTCCTTCACTGATGAAATATTAGCAGAGATTTTGAACCACCGCAACCAAGAAGTGCCATTCTTGCACCCAGTGCCTCAATTTTTCTGCACATTGCAGTGCAAAGGATTCTGTGAAATGAGTTTTTATCATGCCCTTACTTTCCTCTATAAAATTAAAAAAACCCAGCACTTATGTTATGTTTTCAGCAAAATGCTGAGAGCATTTGCTTAGTATTACATTTATCACAAATAAATATCACAAACTGAAACAACACTTATTTAAAATCGAAGACACTAAGTTGACTACAATTTTCAACGAGGAACTGCTATTTCTGGCTCATTTTAGAAAGAACAAAATGTGCCATTAGTTCATGATCCGTTGTTGTGTCGTGTATTAGTTTCCTGTGTAGATAGGTATAATAAAACAAATGAACCAAAAATAGTAGTTCCTTAAGGTTAAATGTAGTCAAAGTTTAAAAATTATCATCGGGACATAAACATTCTTGTCTCTTGCCTGGTTCATCAATCTTCACGAATTTGCTCATGTAAGCATACCATAAATTGAGAGTTGTGTGGTGTTTAATCATGAAAACTAAAACACATCTTCACAGAGAAACATTTGATTAAAGAACACATCAGCCGAAAATATTCGCACTAATCAATTAATAAGTAAAAATTTCGGAGCCGAACCATACCAACCTTGTATAAGCGCATTATTCGTTTACCTCGAGCTGGGGACGGCTGGGGCTCACTACCTTGCCGGTGCCATTTCTGTGTTCCCGCACTCATCGGTCAGAGCAGCATGCGAATGGAAGAGAAGTGGCCACCGCTCAATTTTACAGCGCACGGTCTACTCTATCCACTGTCTTTGCAGAAAATATGCCTGAAAAAGCACATTATTACAGTCATCAAAAATCTGTCTCGCCGATTTTTGTCAGATTTTTGGCAAAGTCTTGTCAGCAATAAAAAAAAGAAATAGAATAAAATAAAAATATTAGTCTCTGAACTCTTACAAATAATCCTCAATTTATGTTATGAAGTTGAAAATGAAAACTAAGTATTCATTACAGAAATTTTGAGGAAACAAAAGAAAATTATGTTTAAATCATACCACATAGTTGATTCATCGCAGTAAAAATCACGACAATTGCAAAATTTAGACTAAGAAGTTATTTTATGTTCTACAATGCAACAAACAAGAATACTGTATCAAAGCTATCAATTACCGTACAAAATAAGTTATGCGTCGGTCCCTTTACTCATCTAAACATTGGCAAAACCATGATCTATAGTATAATCATTGATGCATCCTAAACATGGATGCCAAGTTGACTGTCAGCTTTGAGCTGTTGGTTCAGAACTAGTTCAGTGCAGGGCTAACGGCTGAGAGCTGTCACTTAAAGTCTGTGCGCTATACTAATTGAATCAAAGTTTTGTTAAGCATGATCCAGGTTTTGTTTTAGAGGCTCCCCATTATTTTAAGTCAAAAGTGTCCAAAAATTGCGTTATTTATATAAATGAAAAAACATTTTGCTTTGTGAAGTCAAGCGTCTACTGTAGCTTTTCTTGTAAATTTCAGGGGGCAGTTTTTATTTCCGAGTGAAATTTTATGTCTCCGATCCGAGCAAACTCCAAGAAGAATACACCCGTTACCATCTTTATTTACAAGTCAGAAAAGATATTATGCAAGGTCGCTTGGTGGTGCCTCCGAACACCGCATGCCTTCTAGCAAGTTACACTGTTCAATGTGAGTATCAGAGCCATTCAGAGTACTCACAAATATCATGCTAATGCATCAACTAAAAATTGTCTCTTTGATCGTCCGTCTGTTTCATCAACAAGAATACTACCTTCAGACATTGCATTACAATGTTCACTGATTTTGAAGAATACTCACATAGTCACATGACACAAGTACTCACACGCATATCAATGGCTAAATTGCAAAATGATGTATCTCTGTTTTTGGCGTTGCAGACTTCCTATCATACTTTAATATTTCTTTGGATAACTACTCAGCCTAATTTCTTGAGAACTTCCTTTATTTTTTTTCTGTAAGCTGAATATTCTGCATAAATTTAAAGCTACAAAATTGGCTTATTTATCTTCAAAAAAACAAAATAGGGGTGGACATTTTGAAACATTGCAATAGAGATGCACACGTAGTTTTGCCCTTGAGCCATGGATATTTGTGGCAACAAAAGTCAATTTATTGCAGTGCCTGCTCCAAAAAACTGCTCTGTAATGGGAGCATTTTTATTGTCATCGACTTTAGAATTTGAGGCAATTTGCTGGTGTATTTGAAGTGTCATATACTGCTCTAAGGCCCCATTACGCCCATTTGAGTGGATTTAGAGAAGTTCCTTGCAGATTTTTATCAATATGTACATTGACAAGAAATGTAGAATGGTTTCCTTACTGGCCTGCACATAGGGTATTAGTGTAGTGTTAAAAACAGCGTAAGAATCTTTCAAGAAAGTTGCCACGAAGTATTGTACAGAACAAGTTTATCTATTTCAATTATTTCTAAAGTATTGATTTCTCATATTTTTTAGCTGAATTGGGTGATTATCACCCTGATGAACATGCACCTGGTTATTTGTCAGAAATGGCGCTGATCCCAAATCAAACTGAGGACATGGAACACAAGATTTGCGAACTTCATAAGCTGCACAAGTATGTTTTGTTTCATTTCACTCTCTTTATTTTTTTCTGTTTAAGCTCATAAGCTTTTCTTAGCTTTTTACTGTTGCTATAGCTCCTTCAAATCTAACGAGAGATACTGCAAACAAAAATTTCTCAAATAAGCTAACTTATTTTTTAATTCTGTTGTTTCTTTTTCCTTTTCAGGGGGCAAACTCCGGCAGATGCTGAGTTCAATTTTTTAGACCATGCAAAGCGATTGGATATGTATGGTTTAGATTTACACAAAGCTAAGGTTTGCAATCTTCCTCTTATCCTTTTCTTCTGTTCTTTTTTATTGTGCCCAACGTAATCCAATCTGAAGAAATTTTAGGATAAAATATTCATGGTGCTTGTTAAAGTACATTATTTTTACCCCCTGCTTTCTAGCCTACGCCTGATATTCAAAGGAACAATTAGTCCGTAAGAGATAAGCTAAAATTTTAGAAAATAATTTTATTCTCTTAACTTTAATTTCAAAAGCATTTTTGAGATAAAAGACGGGTAATAAATTATCACCTTTCGTCCAAAGTATCACAAACACCACCATTGTTAAGACACTGCTGCTTGACACCTCTGTATTTCTTTAATTTTCTCTCTAGAAAATGTTGACCTACTTTTACGAAAATTTCAGGGAATATACTTGATAAAATTAGAAATATCTGGTAAAATTTTCAAGTGATTCTGTAAACCATTAAGCAAGTTTGAGAAGTTTGGTTACATATTGCCTCGGCATATATGGCGCCTGTGATACTTCAGTCGAAAGGTGACAAAATAGGAAACTGAAGGTAAGCAGCCTTGCTTCACTTGAAAAGACTGAAAAAACTTTATTTTTAATACTGTGTAGCCTCTCACTGAAGCAGTTAACTGCTGCAGTGTCTCTTTTTTGTCTTGATTATGATTGCGAATTTATCTCAACTTTGTTCCAGGATCAATCAGGCAAAGAGCTACAGCTTGGGGTGACTTCAACAGGCCTAGTTGTTTTTCAAAATAGCGTCAAAATAAACACGTTTTCTTGGTGTAAGATTGTGAAAATATCCTTCAAGCAAAAGCAGTTCTTCGTTCAGCTAAAAAGAGAACCAGTATGTTTTTTCTTTTGTTTTCCAAATGTGCTCCAGGGTGTATTTAACATTTTTAAATTTTTTTTTTCAATCAGACGTATTTATGCAAAAAAAAAAAAAAAAAAAAAAAAAAAAAAAAAAAAAAAAAAACCCTCGATGAAATGCAATTTGCAAATATTTCAAAAGGAAGGATCTTCAAGGCAGAGGTACCCTCTTCTATTTAATAGGAATTTTCAATAATTCTCTCTAAAAAATAAGTTTGAATAATCTGGAAATTCTTCAATCCAATTTTTTAATTATCAAATGATGGAATTATCTGATCAAGGATTGCTGACTTTCTTCAGGTAATCCAAATCTGTAATTTCTTTCTTTTTTTTTTTTTGCCTGCAGTCGGAAAATTATGATACCCTTTTAGGCTTCAATTTGGAATCATATCGCTCAGCAAAGCAGCTTTGGCGAAGTTGTGTCGAACACCATACGTTTTTTCGTCTCCATTCACCGCAACCAAGATCGAAAAATCGGTTCCTGCCACCGCCTTTTCCGCTGGTTGGCTCAAGATTTAGTTATTCAGGAAGGACAGAATATCAAACTATAGAAGAAGGGAAATCAAGAGGCCTAGAACGCTCTTTCATCAGGTAAGATCTCTCTATTGACAGTCAGATAATTTATTTATTTTGTATTTATTGATCATGTATTTTTGCGTAAATCTACATGTACAAGTAAAATTTAAATTTTAGAGTTCTCAAATATTCCCAAATTACGGTGCTATAAGATGATCGGTCAAAACTCTTAGGAGGAAAATGCGATTGGAAATTTGCAAATTTGAAAACCCAGGTATGTGGTATGTAGTCTCTTTTGAATGGCTACTGTGTCCTTCAAACTACAAAAATATTTGAGAAAAAATAAGTGTTTGACAAAAAATACCCTATCTTTGATAAATTAGTAACGCAAAGTTTTTTTCTGTGCAGGTCAAGGAGCAAAAGTAGTACAAGCAGGCTCAGGCAGTCAATGTCCGCAGTCGTGGAGGAGAAACCAAAGCAACTAATTTTGTCTCGTACTCCGAGACCGTATGATAACAAAGTAACATCTTTGGGTGCGCGGGAGCCACGACGAGCGTGGGGTGACACTCCATCACCCCTCCCTCAAGGCTCCGATGACGAAGGAGGGTTCCTGGAAAGAACACTGACTGAAGAACGACAGACGGCTTTCTCGCCGCACCTACCAAACCGTACAGCTCTCACATTTGTGGATGATGACACCGTCGATTTGATCACCGACAGGATGTATATGGACTCAAGTGAGCCAAATTATTGTGATACACATGAAGATAATTTTGTAGTCATCCGAATTCTGCCCGATGAGCAGGGTCGCTTTGGATTCAATGTCAAAGGTTCGTTTGCCTCTCTTTAAACAATTGTTGTATTGTTTTACTTTCCTTATGGTTGCTATGCAGTCCAACTATACATGGGTGTTCTGTGTCCTCAGAGGCTTTTTTGCGTCAGTACAAATCCTGGGTCATTTGAAGACAGTGAGTGTATCTAATGATTATTAGCTGATAGCTGAAAAATAATGGAAATGACCTCGGTAGACATTTGGATATTTTCACCTTCCGGCCAAAGTATCACAAGTACCAAGCTGACAAGGAGAATACAGAACGACTTTTTGGGGCTCAGGACTTTTTTGTTTTAAATAAAACAACTCAGCTGTCAAAAAGTAAAACTTTCAACTTTTCAAAAAACAGCTGTTGGCCATTGTTTTTTTCTTGTCTAAATTTGGCTAAGCAATGTAAAACATGTTTATTACAAGCGCCACAAGGCCTCAAAACGGGGTATCACAAGTGATAATGTGAGCGGGTACTTAACTTTTCTCCTTGTATATTGATCTAAACCAGATGATGGAGTGATTTTCAATATGCACTCAAAATTTCAAGTCATTGTTGTATTTAAAACAGCCGTGATTAACTTTTTCTGTCGTTCATTAGTCTTGTAGAGATTGCCATTTAATTGGCACTTGTCATACCTCGGCCGGAAGGTGAAAATACAAGTATTAGAAAAATGGAAATTTAAGAGGCCATAGAGCCTATAATACAAGAGCTACTTGAAGCCTCTCCTAAGGATGAGATGAAGTTTAAACTTAAATTTTGAGAAAATTGTTTTAAAATAAAATCTAGAGCCTCGGGAGATTTTTTCTGGCAAATCGCTATAATAGCTTATTCAATGGTTCCAACATTGAGAGAAAGCTTCAGAATTTTGACTTCTTCTGTACTAAGCCCCTTTTCCTCCGAGTTGTTGCTCTTTTTTTTATGAGTGGAAATTCAAAATGAATTTTATTGCTTTGTTCAAGCACTAGTCAAGTTTTGAGTAGTCAATTGTGAATTTTAATGTCTTCAATCTCTGTTGCAGGAGGATCTGACTTGAATATGCCGATTCTAGTCTCCCGCGTAGCCCCAAACACTCCCGCCGATAAATGCTACCCGAAACTGAACGAAGGCGATCAAGTCATAATGATCAATGAGATCGACATCAGCAACATGTCTCACGAGCAGGTTGTGAATCTCATTCGTGCGTCCAGAGATACTTCCATAGGAGAATTGGTTTTAACGGTAATGCTCAGTTATTTTTTCTACTTTTGAAATAACAACGTATAGAGAATTTGAAAGTTTCTGTTCATAAAGAAGGTAACATTTTACAATTGAGTGGAAAACAAGTCTACTGTAAAGAGTCCTTAAATTCATAAATTCAAGGGAATTGCATGAGTATTCTTCAAAGTCATTGAATTTTGTCATCTGGTGTTTTAGTTTACAGCCATTTCAGAAGATCGCTTAGTTCTTCTCGTGCAATTGATACTCAGGAAATATTGAAAAGCGCTGTCTTAAGAATGCTATAATTTGACCTTTTGATGTGCATAGTAAAGAATAAAGATACAGGGAGAAGAAATTGAAGTCTCAATGGCATCCTGTAACGCTTCTAACTTTTTTATTGGAAATTTTCTATTTTACTGACACAACTAAATAAGTCTCGAAAGTTTTTGATTTTGGTTTTGAGAAACTGTTTTGAACCCTGGTTTGTAATTTTCTATTTAAAATATGACTCTCTAAATAATTAAGAAGCGGTGATTTACTTTCCAATCTCTCAAGGAAATCCGGCTGATGATTGGAAAGTGGGCGTTGTCATAAGATACTTTAAAGAAAATCAAACAGTACACATCTGGATGATGGAAAGTTCCAGTTTCCTTACCGCTCAAAATGGACCACTAGATAAGGTACGAATTTCAGCATTCTGATACATGTATCTTAACCAAAATTTTACGTAAAACACGATACACACAATAAAAATTACCGAAATTAACTCCTTACGAAGATATTTAATGATTCTTGATGCGTGAATTCAAACCAACCGCTCATGAAAACTCAATGCTCTACGTGATTCACATCGCACGCTAAACGTTATCATGACAGTCTCTGCTATATAAAAATCTGGCAACCTCAATCTTGACGCTTTGGCTCAGTTATAGCAAATTGCTAATAGTTTGAACAACACATGGTGGGAAATGAACATTGCTCGATTGAGAAGCTTGCTGAAACCGTTGTAGTGGGCGATTTGATTCACGTAGAACTTTGAGTTTCTTGTGAGCGGGCAGTTCAAATTCCTCGTAACCAATGTGAAATAAAAACGTTAATATCTTCGTTAGGAGTTGGTTTCAATAATTTTCGTTGGGTGAATCGTTTTCTACGTGAAATTCTGGTTAAGGAACATGTATCAGATCGCTTAAATTCGTACCTTGTCTAGTGGTCCATTATTTGTTTCCATGAAGCTCCTGAATGACCCTTCTTGATTTTCAGTGCAACTTGTTTTAGTAAAATCAAATTCTCTGTCCAACAGGTAAAGCCTAATTCTGTCTATGAAGCCGGAGGTCATGATGTTGTGGAAGAACCACCATACCAGTATGTGCCTGACCCATCATTAGGAATCGTCTCGATCAACGGACACAATGCGCTTGAGCAGTCTATGCTTTTATTGGCTGACGGTCTTGCAAGCGGTGCTCTTGTAACGCAATTTGAGAGGTTGTATCGGAGGAAGTCAGGTTTAACAATGAATGTAGCCAGGAAAAATGAGAACGTGAACAAGAATAGGTATCGTGATATCCTGCCGTATGATGCCACTCGAGTGATTCTCAGCGAGTTTGAAGAAGATGATTACATAAATGGAAATTATATCAACATGGAAATACCTGGTTCAGGCATAATTAATAGATATATAGCCACTCAAGGTAACTACTCTTTTCATTTAGTTCTATTCTTACGTCTAATTGTGTGACTCTCCTAAATCAGTGCTAAAATTTAAAGAACGTGTAGTGTTTCAAACCTCCAGCTCATACCTTGAGAGATTTTTTTTTAGATGATTTTTATCAAGGGAGTATCGCCTCACATTCATACAAGAAATTTTCAAGGAATATTCTTTGAGAAGCAAAGGAAAATGGATTAAAAGTTTGTGCCCTGCCGTTGATTGGTCATCGTTTAAAATTAAAAATAAAATCTGATGGAAAATTTGCAGTATCTCAAACTTCGGTATGTTTTTCTAGTTTTGCCACCGGAATATATTCTCATCATTGCAGTAGGTTTACCAGTCTGGAAGAGCAGAAAAACTGAGGAAACATAAAAAAATCTCTGAATATTTTTTCTCTCAAAATTAAATATCTCATTACTTACATTATTTTTATACTACATTATTTCTGAAAGAACTGTTCAAAATACCTTTTACAGATGACTTTTCATGATTTTTAATTTGGATCCTAAGTAAGTAGCACAATATGTTCTATTCGACAGGTCCGTTGAGTAACACAATAGGAGATTTCTGGAGAATGGTTTCGAAAGTAGGAAGCGGCCTAGTCGTAATGCTCACTCCTCTGACGGAGAGGGGTAGAGTGAAATGCCACCGATATTGGCCACCTTTAGGCGAAAGTCTATCACTCCCACCGACGTCGCTAGTCGTGACCACTACCAAAGAGCAGAGCACGGATGACGGCTCTTGCGTTTTTCGAGAATTCAAACTCAAAGACCTACAAGTAAGTGATAGCCTCGAATACAATCAGTTGAAATGCATTCAAAACTCTCAATAGGGAACAACGTTTTGCGCTTATTTCAGCGAAAAATTATCTGCCCTTGATTTCCCCAAACGGAGAGATCAGAGATTACACTTTTTCACAAGTTTCTGACTCTCTGAGTTTTTCGTCATTTTTTTCTAAGCCACTACTAAGTATCATAGAAATTTAAAATTAGTTCTTGTGTTTGCTGCAAAGAATTCAGTTCATAATGATCAGTGCCCAATAGAAATTACAATTTTTTCCATCAAGTGATCTCATTGGTTGAAGGCTTTCAATATTAGGCGTTATTGTCTGAGTTTTTATACTACCCGACCCTGATTTGCTTGTTATTAAATTTCCTACTGCATTCATAATATGCTGTAAACTGTGAACCGTAGATGAGAGGAAGTCACTCTATCGATTCTTTAATATTTCAAGGTCCTTTCAATATAAATCCTAAATTAGATGCTCCTTTTATTATTTTCATGCGTTTTGCCCCTCTCATGGTTAAATTTGGTCCAACAAATGCTCCTCTGAGTAAAGGAATCAGGAGCTAATTCTGAGTATGTATTGTATTTTTTTTTTACTTTAGAGGAGTATGAAAAAGAGAATCTCATTTTCAAATTCAAATTCTCAATGATGAGGAACATCATTTATTTTTTCGAAGAAATATTATTGAAATCCTAGTTCAGTTGTGTGTTATTTTGGAGCCCCACTTTTGAGTACTGAAATTCTCAATCCAGAGATCAACTCTCTTTTTTGGTGCTACGAAATGCAGGAAAACAAACATTCAAGTCTCGCAAGCCCTTTTTTTTTAAATTCAACTTTGCATCTTCGCATTTTTGTGCCAAAATTTATGTATAAAAGGGAGTTGTGGAGCAAACAGTCCATATGAAGCTCCATGACGATCAGAATCTGCGAAATTGAAGCAAATGCGAATTTGTTGTTGATCTTGTAAAATAGTCAGCAATAAATTAAAGTTTTTTTAAAATAAAATAAAAAAAAAAAAAAAAATTCCGCTGAAGCATTCTATTAAACTTTAGACTAACTAACTTACTTAAATCGCATTTTGTGCGTGAATGAACATTAAATGAAATATATTTTACACTATATCACGTGATTTTTTTAGTCCCCACAGTTTATTATATTATTGGATGCCCTCTGGCATTTTTGTTCCATGATTTGTCAACTTGATTTTATTACTGAAGATGGGTGGAAGCCTGAAATGCAGTGATAATTGAATAAACTGCATCAACCAAAAAATCGCATCTTATGGTGTAGAATTGTAGATGATGCTTTTTTTAATTTTTTTTTTTTTTTTGTGAATAACTCCTCTCACTAAGGACATTCAAGTATATACACTTTGCTGGAAGCAAGAACCCTGTTCTGTTATAATTTCGCTCTGATGACTCAAAGAGTTCAGCTCAAATCACTCATGAGCCCTGGGAAGTATGGAGTTGTACGGAAGATAAGGCTCGCAGTTCAGCCTCATATCAGTGATGCATGTTTAGAGGAATAAAGGTTCCTAAATTTGAATTATTATTTTGCAGACTGAAGAGGAACGAGATATCAGTCATATGCAGTATCTATCCTGGCCGGACCATGGGGTGCCGGGAGATGTGGTACGGTTTCTGTCATTCACAGCAGAGGTACGCGCTCTCCGCGCCGGCATGGTCGAGCCTGCCATCGTCCACTGTTCAGCCGGCATTGGTAGAACAGGTGTTTTAATTTTAATGGAAACAGCAATGTGCCTTGTCGAAGCAAACCAACCTGTCTACCCTCTAGATATTGTTCGCCAGATGCGTGATCAACGTGCAATGATGGTTCAGACACCGGTAAGATCCTTGTTTCCTTTGAAAACCTTACATAGAAGTAACTCAGAAGTATAATGGATCACCATACGTAGGATTAAAAATCGAAAACCACCACAATTTTGTTGTCCTCAGATGATTCTTCTTTGCAATAGAAAATATTCCGTTACAAATGCTTTGGTTTAGCAGTTTTGTTGGCTCAATTCTACTAAATCTTTTGAGGAAGAGCATGTAGCACGAGGGTCGTCCAGAAAGTAAGTTTAGCTATTCATTATCTCCCAAACTGAGATAGACAGAGAAATTTTGTAAAAAAACTATGACAAGACACTACTCTGAGCTATCTAATGCGCTATAAATTTTTAAATTTGGTTTCATAAAACTCTAGAAAATTGGGTTTTTTAAACCCATCTCCTCTCTGAACAGGTCCAAAATTTCAAGGAACATTATCCGCAAGTGAGCTGCTATGTCCATTGCTTATGACCAAAATTTGACTTAGAGGTGGTTGAAAAAAATGTAAAACATGAGTGAGGACATTTCTCAACTATGAAATAATAGGATTAACCAAGTCTACTTCAATATCAGTTGTATCCGAGCAAAATTTTACTGAATTGTCAAAGTTAAGTCTCACTTGCTGACTGAATCGTTCATAAGACTATCACTATTTCATAAGACTATCACTATCAAACTATCCCGCCCATTCTTGAAAAAATTTTGTCAAGGATGCATCATCTAGAAAATTATGCAGCTTTTACAATTTCTTTCCTGAAAATGTACCCAAAATTGAGCAGCTAGGGTCACTTTTCTTGGCGCGTGAATGCATAATAGAGCTGAATTCACACACCGAAACCAAATTCAGCGCTACAACTCCACGATTTCGTCGAATTAAGCTGAAATTTCCATGCATTGCAGTCCAAATCCACCAGTGATCGATGTGAACACAATCAATCTTGCATTTTTCTAGTTGAGGAGTGTCCTCACTCATGTTTTACATTTTTTTTAACCACCTTGAAGTCACTTTTTTTGTCACAAGCGATAGACGTAGCAGCTCACTTGCCGAAAAGGCTCCTTGAAATTTCAGACCCTTACAGAAAGGAGGTTGGTTCAGAAAAACCCTATTTTCTAGAATTCTATAAAATTAAATTCAAAAATTTGTAGCTCATTAGAAAGCTAAGGATAGTGGCTTTTAAAAGTTATTTTACACAAATTCTCTATCTGTATTAGTTCAGGAGGTATTGAATAAGTAAAATTACTTTCTGGATGACCCACGATAATTGCCTATCTCATTTTTTTGCACTATAGTTGTGATCAAAAAGGGATAAGTAGACCAAATCGGAGGTCAAGCATTAAAATATATGATTTTTCTGTACACATTCAATTTGCATTTTCCATACTTTCTTCCAAAAAAATGTTACTTGAGTCAAATTTAGGTCTTAACCAGTTTTAGTCACTTTTATGGTGAGATTATTTTCATGTCATGCTGAATTTTTCTTGATAAGTTCGCAAGTACTTTGTTTCAAAAGAGGAAAACAAAAAAAATTGTCCATGAAATATCACTCAGGTCATTTCTTGTACGTTTTAGTTTGTTTTATTCGATGGCTAATTTGACCCACGTTGGCTGTGGTTTTATTAAGAGCAATAAGTTTCAATTGACTGCTCTAGACAAAATCTCGATTTGTCTCCTGAGTTGAAATATGAAATGAAACTTGTGTTATGATGGTTTGAAGTTAGCAGTCCAAAAAAATGTAATTCCAAGAAAAACCTGTTTAAGTTTTAATTTGCTGTGTTCAGGACTTAGAATCGGTGACTAATGATTTTTCATGCCCTCAACTGAAGTAGAAATGAACAGAATGGGCCTGTTGCAAACTTTTGCTGGAGCAAAACTAAGAGTTGTTCCATACAGATAATGTCTCAAAAATCACAATGAGTGCATCGGCAAACTCTGAAATGCACTCCTAACTTCACAATCTGCGTAAGAAATTTGCGTTTTTTTAAGCTTCCCCCTTCTAAAAGAATACCACGGCACAGGTGAACATGTCGTTAGAGGAGTCATTCCATTCCATCCCTGCTCAACATGGCCGACGCTTCTGCGTGCAAGTTGAGGATAGCACGAGGTCAATCAAGGCGGACATCTATCAACGCGAGAAAAATGTGAATGTAAACACACCGATTGTTTTTAGATGGTTAGAATCATCGTCCCAACACATGCGTTTTGGCGGATTCACGTTGGCTGTGTTGAATATTACGTAGTATCCTTGTGAGCAAAGGTTGGATGGAATGACTTCTCTAACAAAATGTTCACCTGTGCTGTGGTATTGTTTTTGAGGCAGGAAGCTCGAAAAAACGCAATTTTTTATGCACATCATGAAGTAAGGAGTGCATTCCAGACTTAGCCGATGCTTTCATCGTGATTTTTGAGACATTTTCTACAAGTAACGACTCTTATTTTTATTCTAGCAAAAGTTTGCAACAGGCCCCTTATTTTCAACTTTTTTTTTGGGACTTTTAAGTGCGTATTTTATTGGATTCTCTGACAGAGTGTCCACACTCTTGGTAGGAAAACATTCCTTGATTTTCACAAAGACAATTTGCATTTGTAGAACTGAAAATGAATAATTATTTTCTGCATTACTTTCGAAGCAAATGACAGACACATGTGAACCTTTTCCCCTCAGGTATTAATCATTAATTTAACTAAAATTGCATTATCTTATTGAAAATTGATAAATTATTTCTCTGTTCAGAGTATAACTTAGAGCATCGAACCAAGACGCAGATTGATTGTTCGGGCAACACTAGTGTTTTCCTTTCCAGATTTCAAGTCTTAAGTTTTTTCAAAATTCCAGTCTCTTTCATCAAGTTCTTTGACTTTTCCCCGATTTTCCTGACCTGATAAAATTCCCTGATATTCCCCGGTTTTTCTGGTTTTCCAGACTTGGATACACCCTGCCTCATCTTGATTGTTTAAAGCGGGTTGACAAAAAAACCTTCTCCTGAGCGAGTTGGCTCTGAACACGAAGTAAGATCCTTTCTTAGTAGATGTCGACTTACTTAAGATGTAATGAAGGAGGAGAACATGAGAAATGTAGAATCTATAACAAAGATGATGAGTAATGCTATTTTTAATCTCGGATTTTTTCTCTTTCTCTTTTTTTTCAGAATCAGTACAGGTTTGTTTGCGGTTGTGTTCATCATGCCTACGTAGAAGGAATCGTGAAACCCTTGCCTGAATTCTGTCAGTGACAGAAGTCCCATATCGCACGCCTTCCTTCCATCCAAACTCAATTCCGTTCAATTTTATCATCCCTCCTGATAAGTTTAGTACCTACATAGGGAACATTATCGTGTTTGCACCAAGCTAATGAACAAAGTGATTTTATTGTATCAATTTTATAGTTTTTCATGTATCTTGAAATTTTATCATTGCTAGTTGTGTTATTTATTTCTTGTATAGTTTGTCCTTTTTTAAAGAATTTATTTATGATCCTTAAAATCTGTCAAATCTAGGAATCAAATCAAAAATTGAATTAAAAATGTTTCAGTGAAAAGAAACTGGTATTCCAGATTTTTTCTGTCCAAGTTCCCTCCGGCTCAGCCAAAAAGATGTGTACTTCAGTCATGAAGTAAATCTCCTATTTTTGTTTTCAGAAACTAAAAGTTAAAGAAATTGTATTCTACGTGAAATCTTACTCGAAACAGCAACCTAGGAGCAGAAAATCAGCTATCGACAGCATGAGGAATTTTTTCTTTAATGTCGGAGACTTGGGCTAAAAGTTTTGCTTATTGAGCCTTGCAGGAGAAGAGAATTTTCAACTTCTTTATCTTCGTTTCAATTTTAAGATTTAAGTAACGCAGTTCCTTTGTGTTAAAATTAGTTTGATCAAAGGATGTATACATTTATTTTTAAAGATTTCTCATCTGCCGGTAAGTATTAAAAAATCATGCTATTTAAAATAAGGGTAGCTTCATCAAGAAAAGAAAACTGAGTCAAGCAAGTAGCTTGTATTTATTTTAAAAAAGACCTTTTATAAAAAAACAAATCTTACTAAAGCTCAACAAATTAACCCTCACAATAAATTTATGGCGTTTGTGCAGCACACCTTATGATTTGACAAATGGTGAAAAAATCTAGTTTCCTTTTAAAAATATAAATTACCTAGGTAATAGAAATAGTACCATAAATTAAATGCTGCTAGATTAGTATCTGGGAAAAGTTTTCTGATCTTCACCAGGAGTGGTTTCCTGATTTTCACTTCAGACTTAGAAAATGCCACTTGTCGACTGAAAAGAAAAAAAGTCAGCTAAGATCAGTTACAAGCTTTAAGAAAGAGAATATTAATGGGTACAAGAGAAATAAAATATCCGCCTGATTCAAAATTACACACAAATTCCGATTATCTACGAATAGTGCTATCCAGTCTTTAAATAATCTGAATAAATTTGGCAAGAGCATGCAGTTCAAATGCAGACCCCAAAAGTGCGGTAAATACTGCATACAGTAAATAGAGTAATAATAGTGTAATTTCATGATGCCAAAGTTTGAGTCATAGTGAAATAAAGGTGCAAAAATCATAATCCGCGCATACTTTGAAACCATTTAGCAAGTTGTCGAGCAAAGTGGTTGTGAAAACGTTAAGGAAACATTGCTTCAATGTTCCTCACAAAGTTAGATGAAATGAATTAAGTTTAATTTCATGTCTTCAAGGAGATAATGGTCATGTTTGCTTATATTTAGTACTAAACAAACCTTAGAAAGCAGGTAAACTTACCAATGTCATCTATAGGTTGAGCAGGACCTGGTGCGGGGCTGTTTTTCAAAACCTCCTCTGCTTTACTGTACTCTATTTTGAATGGACTGTCCGTAACAATTGTATTAGCTCTGAAAACAAAGGGGAGCAAATTATTAAGGCTTGATCTCCTCAGAATAGGGCAGATTTTACGCTTTTCCCAAGCGGAGGGATTAGCTACGCATGGACTTATTATTAATGAATATGTGGGCACTTCTCAACTTTTAGCAAGATAGCATCCACATTTTAAAAGACAGACATCCAAAAAATGAATGACATTTAAGACAATAAAAGCGAACTTGCACATCAATAATTAAAATATTTTGGCAGATGCATGCCAGGTTCTGCAGACTGATTTTTGAAATTGATAGTTTGACAAAGAAGACACAGGGAGTGTCAAGCGATCATATTGGTTGAAACGGGTGGTTCTTTTAGACTAGAGGTGAAAGTGATGGCTTAACTGTAGGGTCTCTTGTCGGTCGTCATTGGTTAGTTTACTACTTACCTTTTTTGTCCATAGCAACCACCCACTTCCACCGATAGGATTGCCCCAGTATGACTACGACTTTTATGTCTATCACTTTCAATAAAAAGCAATAAAAAAATAAGCACTACATTAATAGTTGTAGCCAAGGAATTTTGAGCAGCGAGATTTTCATTGATGTAACTTACAGAGACATGCCACCAGCATCAATTTCCTTCTTCATCACAGAAAGCCAGTGCTTATTCACTTCAGCAACGATCTTATTGGCAAACTCAGCGTTCTTTGCTTCTCCGTTGAATGCAAACTTATTCTCTGGTTTGCCATCAGGAATTTTATAAATTTTGAACCATTCCACAGTCGCTTTGAGGAGTCCTGGGCACAATTTTTCTACATCATCGATATCTGCGGGAAAGCACACAAAATTAGAAAAGAGACTAGTTCATGAAAAGAATGGGAAGAGTTCTTCAAAAGCAAACAGAACTTTCACGTCTAAATCCAGAAAACATTTTTAGAAAGGTCTTCATCACTAATTGATCTTGCCTATGAGCACTTTTCTCAAAAATTATTGACACGACAGCTCTGCAATATCTTAAATCAAAGAGACAAATGACGAACGATGATGAACAATGATGGTGATCAAAGAAAAAGAACAGGAAGAATAGGTACAGGAGATTAAAATAACTTAACCAAAAAATAGACCATGAGAGAGGATGCTGCAGTGTGTTAGCTCTAGATCCTCTTGATTAGTAATTGAGGAGTATCCCGGAAAAGGGGCACATACGCGCGTATGTGCCTTCTTTCCGGAAATAGCAGAAATGGATTCCTCGTATCCTAATTTACGAATGTCCCGAGTTTCAGCTTAATTAATCAATTTTTGGATCTAAGAGACCAAGTTTTGTGAGGCTAAGTCAGGGGTTACAGGCGTACTTCATCTATTTGCCTCTGGGGACGGTCGCCGCGACATTGAGGAGATAGCGCACAGGCAGGCAGGCAGGTGATGGGTACTGATTAGGATCCTTTACTACAGATGCATCGCCCTGATTCTGCTACTCAATACAAAATCATCGGGTTGCAGTGATTGTCAACGCGTTGCACCGGTCACACGTTTATTTTATGAATAGTTCAACTTTTAATGATCTCTTGTGAGTTAGAATTTTTCGAGTTTTTCGCGTGTTTCGCTGTCTTTTTCATTAATAATGATCGAAGATGATCCTCCCGCACGTTCACGATCGAAATTATTATCTATTAATTTATCAGAATTGTTTATAATCGTTTAGAAACTTGTTAAAGTCTCAAAAATTCAGCTTTAAAATCCAAAACCTATGACCAACGGTCCATTTCCAGAAAAAGGGCACGTAACGGAAATTTTTAAAAAATTCTTCACACAACACTGAAGGAAGTGTAAGTTTTACCAATGGTTGTTATTCATTCTAGGGAGTATGAATGTTGATATGAGTGCCCCAGTTCCAATGTATGTCATCATCAGTGCCCAGAAAGTAAGAATGAAAACTTCAAATGCGTTTTTCTCACAACGCGTTTTTTCGGTATGTGCCGCCCTTTTTCCGGAAAGCTCCTCAATTCTTATAGTTCTAAAATACACTGAAATATTATTCAAAGAAGAAAACGGTAGCTCTGCATTTTTTCTTGACCAGTTAACAGTTTTTCATAATGCATGTTTAACAATGTTGATGGTGCGACATTGTAATTGTAAATAAACATTGAGATAAGTAGCAAAAATCAACATACCTTTCAATTTCTCTGCTAAAGGATCCTTGACATCTATCGCGATTACCTTCCAGTCAGTTTCACCTGGAAAAATTAAGTTTTATGGAAATTTTAAAAACAATTATTATGAAGCGCACCTATTAGTTTCACAAAAATAGTGATCAGGAAAATTGAATTTGAGTCTTCCTACAGATATGTGATACCTTAAAACTTAAAGATATAAAGTTCCTTACAGTGTGTTCATTAAAAAACATTTGACCGACAATGATACGCAGCTCTCTCTCTGCGCTCAACACAAATGCAGAGAACATCAATATGCAGAGAAGCTCTACAGGCAAAAGAGGAGATGCAGTGCTAAGTTCAATGTCAGGTCAGTTATAGCAGTGACCATTTTTCCGTTGGTCACACTAGACCCAAACAGTCACAGTTAGAGTACCTATATTGAGAGAGTATGGCCACTGGTGTTACCACCTCTGATTGGCTCAGCCATATTAGGCTGAAAGGAGCCCTTAGGACCCAAAAATGGCGGACACCGTAAATTAATGTAATGCAAAATGACTCAAAATGTAGTTTTCTTTGCTCATCGTAACGAGAAATTTACCCAATGGCACTATTGCGACTTCTTTACATATTTTTAAGGCTAATCGTGTGCAATTTTTGAGAAAAATTATCTTAGATGCAGTAAGGTTGGCAGCAAGTGCGGTTGGTGAAAACCGTCAAAAGTTGGCAATGACCCCCCCTCCCATCCACAAAAACCACAACAAAGCACCGCCATTTTTGGGTCCTAAGCCTCTCCATGGGGCCCAGTGGCCATACTCTCTCAATATAGGTGCTCTAGTCACAGTGATTGGCGTTTTGTCAAGCACATTTTCATCACACTGCTATGCGATAAAAGCGCTATCAGCAGGCCTTTCACAGAATTAATTACAGAACCCTTGCATCACAGTAATAAGCAGTAACTGTGGTTTGGAGAAACTACATTTCACTGATTTTTTAACCCAATAAAAACAATGACGTAAACACTTCTTGGCACATAAAATTATAAGGTGACAATCAAAGGATGCAAGACTTAAGAGGAGTCGGTTAGGGTGTGTCTTATTTTTGAGTTTTTCGAAATCCGAAAAGCGCTACCTCTTAAAAGTTTCTCTCTGGTGTAAAAATAAACATGTTTTTTGAAAAATTCAAAAATTTAATTTTAACTCACCTCTCACGGGGCCTAAAGGGCCTAAGTGCAAAATTTGAATTTATGGAATTTTGAAGTGTCAATCTGAAGAAGAAATTAAAAGTTACGGCCCTTTGGGCGGAAATTTTGTCCGTTTTGCCGTATCGTGCATTTTAAAGGCATAAATAGCCTCTGAAACGTATTTGCTGCGCCGCGCGCGCAGTGCCGGCCGCGCGCTTGCACGCAGCGCACACACCTTTACTTACCTGACGCGAAAACGCGACGCGACGTCAGACCGCGGAAATTCCTAGTGGACTTTTTGTTCCTTTATTAATTAAAACTACCTATAAATAAAGTGAGGCACATCAAAATCCATTATGCACATCAGGTTAATGAAAGGTTTGCTACGGAGGTAAAACACATTCAGCCGAAATATTTGGGTTTATTCAGACATGAAAGTATCACAAACACTTCGAAAATTTACAGGCTTTTGATTTTTTTTTTCAAGTTCATTTTCTTTTTGACATATTGAGAAGTTCATAGCAAATCTTGATATTCATGCATCCTCTTTTACAGTTATTGATCGGCTTCATGTTTGCATGCGTCGAACTGCCCTTCCAGCGGAATCGTTGACCACACGCAAACTTTTTACAACTTCCTAAAAAAGGAAACTGTCTGGAATTTGTAAAGTACTGAAGAGCGTTTTGCTATTCGTTGCAAAAAGATCGGGTAGGCTGGGACATTCCTTAGCATAAATTGGTAGGTAATCGATTAGAAGGGTCAGGAAGACCATGGTTTTTCGTCAAATTGAAATGCAAGCAAGTATCTCTTTCCTCCGTGAAAAGCCGCATATCAAATAGAGGTGAAGGAATTAAAGAGTCTCACTAGGTGACCATACAGGGTTTGATAGTTTTCTTAAGGCTAACGTGACAGCGGTGCTATCAATTTTGTTTGTAATTATGTATTATTTTGTTTAATTGTATTTTTATTTTTATTTTTTTTTGGTTTATCAGGCACAATTTATTTGTTAAGACTAGCAAGTTAGGCAATTCTAAAATTGCATTTTAGTGTTAATATTTAACTATTAATAAAATATAAATATGAATTCTCGAAGATATTGGTGTCTTATATTTTGTTTTTGGTGTTTGGAGAGGATTAATTGGAACTTCTTTCAGAATGATTATTCGTTCATGAGCTCACAAACATTGGGTCTTTTTCAGTAAATGAACATTTATACAATGTTGTGGTACCTTCTCATGCATTCATTCAATTATTTTTTTTTTAAACTATGCCTTTGGTCATCGGTGGGTTTGGTAATTGACTTGTTCATTTCATAATTGGTGCTCCTGAAATGGCTTTTCTTCTTATCTGCGGCTTTTCACGGAGGAAAGAGATACTTGCTTGCATCTCAATTTGACGAAAAACCATGGTCTTCCTGACCCTTCTAATCGATTACCTACCAATTTATGCTAAGGAATGTCCCAGCCTACCCGATCTTTTTGCAACGAATAGCAAAACGCTCTTCAGTACTTTACAAATTCCAGACAGTTTCCTTTTTTAGGAAGTTGTAAAAAGTTTGCGTGTGGTCAACGATTCCGCTGGAAGGGCAGTTCGACGCATGCAAACATGAAGCCGATCAATAACTGTAAAAGAGGATGCATGAATATCAAGATTTGCTATGAACTTCTCAATATGTCAAAAAGAAAATGAACTTGAAAAAAAAAATCAAAAGCCTGTAAATTTTCGAAGTGTTTGTGATACTTTCATGTCTGAATAAACCCAAATATTTCGGCTGAATGTGTTTTACCTCCGTAGCAAACCTTTCATTAACCTGATGTGCATAATGGATTTTGATGTGCCTCACTTTATTTATAGGTAGTTTTAATTAATAAAGGAACAAAAAGTCCACTAGGAATTTCCGCGGTCTGACGTCGCGTCGCGTTTTCGCGTCAGGTAAGTAAAGGTGTGTGCGCTGCGTGCAAGCGCGCGGCCGGCACTGCGCGCGCGGCGCAGCAAATACGTTTCAGAGGCTATTTATGCCTTTAAAATGCACGATACGGCAAAACGGACAAAATTTCCGCCCAAAGGGCCGTAACTTTTAATTTCTTCTTCAGATTGACACTTCAAAATTCCATAAATTCAAATTTTGCACTTAGGCCCTTTAGGCCCCGTGAGAGGTGAGTTAAAATTAAATTTTTGAATTTTTCAAAAAACATGTTTATTTTTACACCAGAGAGAAACTTTTAAGAGGTAGCGCTTTTCGGATTTCGAAAAACTCAAAAATAAGACACACCCTAACCGACTCCTCTTAAGTCTTGCATCCTTTGATTGTCACCTTATAATTTTATGTGCCAAGAAGTGTTTACGTCATTGTTTTTATTGGGTTAAAAAATCAGTGAAATGTAGTTTCTCCAAACCACAGTTACTGCTTATTACTGTGATGCAAGGGTTCTGTAATTAATTCTGTGAAAGGCCTGCTGATAGCGCTTTTATCGCATAGCAGTGTGATGAAAATGTGCTTGACAAAACGCCAATCACTGTGACTAGAGCACCTATATTGAGAGAGTATGGCCACTGGGCCCCATGGAGAGGCTTAGGACCCAAAAATGGCGGTGCTTTGTTGTGGTTTTTGTGGATGGGAGGGGGGGTCATTGCCAACTTTTGACGGTTTTCACCAACCGCACTTGCTGCCAACCTTACTGCATCTAAGATAATTTTTCTCAAAAATTGCACACGATTAGCCTTAAAAATATGTAAAGAAGTCGCAATAGTGCATTTGGGTAAATTTCTCGTTACGATGAGCAAAGAAAACTCAAGAATAAGACACACCCTAGAGTCGGTTGTGTATCCCTGCAGTGTGCAATCAAACCACTTCATATACAATGTTTTTAGGATACTCTGGATGGATTTTGAGGATTTTTCTGTCCTATTTCATTTTAATTTTATTTTTGCCTGATTCCTTTGAATTTCTCCATTCATTTGACAAGTAATGTATTGGAATCTTTGAAAATTCGAATTTCAATAGATTTTTTTAATATTTAAAATTAGAGGGGGGAAAAGATTAATCTTGAAAAATAATCTGGTAAAGTTTGAATTTTCAAATAATCAAAATGATTATATTATGCCGAATAAAATAAGATATTCTAAGAAATGAGGCAAAAAAAATTAAAAATGAGTGCAGCCCGAGAAAAAGGTACATGAAGTGGTTTTTGCCTTTACATTAAAAGGATTACACAACCGACTAGACTTGGAACTTCAAGCTTACCTTCATCAATTAAAGCCATGATTCCTAGTACTTTCACTTGGATAACTTCTCCTCTTTTAGCCACCTGGAATTGAGTAAAATTGAGAGCAAAAGATTATTAATCTGAGTTTACTACTTATAAGAGGAGTACATAAGTTTAGAAGGAGGTCGGCTGGAATTTTTAGAAGAGATAGGGTCTGCACTGATAGAGTGCGTCAGAACATGGGAGTCGAAAATGTCATTGTTTTCAACGTCAAGACCAAAAAGCTTGTCTGGTATCATCATGTTAACAGCATGACCGAAGAAGATACTTGAATGGGTTCTTCCTGGGAGGAGACGAAGGGGACACCCAATGAAAGGGTGGGGCCAGGGGGTTTTAGAGGAAGTAGGGGAGTGCCAACTCCCTGAAGGGCTTTGGTAGGAAAGAGAACTTTGGCGGCTAGGTGTTGCAGAGCGTCAAAGAACGCTATGAAAGCTGTTTTCATGTATGTATGCTTACTAATTAGGATCAGAAAATCAGATAATGCTGAATTAACTAGCAAATAAAAAATATACAGTAAACAATAGGACGCCTATATGTTGTTCTTCAGTTTCTATCATTACCTTTGCCTTCATACTAATCTTTATTTCAAGGTCTTACTTTTAGACTCCTTGTATAAATGAATAGTAGCTATATTTTGACAATGAAATAAAAATGTGAATATTGTTTACGGTCTTTTAAAAACTCCACTTCTTAACATTAAACTTAGTAAGTTAGTGGAGCTTAGTCATATGATTCCCCTGTAAAATTTTACAATAGAAAATGATGTACACACAATAATTTGGGAATCAACTACCGACTGAAACGGTGATAAAAGCACTCAAGTTTCTACATTAATCTATTTATTTACTGTTACTTCAAAAGGCGATTATTACTGGACAAGTTTTTATGCATCATTGCAAGATGAATGTTGATTGGGAACTAATTTGCCTGGCTTGGGTAATTTTTTTGGTTTTCATGGAGAAAAGTTTAAAATTATTCTTTTGAAACTTGACAGAAAATGATCAAAGAAGTTTTTTAACCATTGCACAGTTATAGGTAAAAAAGAATGAATAGCTATGCTTCAATGCCACTCAGCTTGATAAGATTCATAAAAGTTGATTTACGTTTGCTCACCCGATATCCGATTTCACACACGTCGATGGGATCATTGTCTCCTTTACAGCCGGTATGTTCATCTAAGGCATCTGGGTTCTCCCAAGTCTAATAAAACAATTAGCGAAAATAAGACTGTATTTTCTTTTCTATTCTAGCAGTGGTAACATTATTCAAAATTCATTTTTCCAAGAAAAAAAGGAAACAAAATTGATTACCTTTGAGATATCTGATAGGATCTCCATTACACAGAAAATCTCTTGAGACTCCTTCTAGACAGTGGAACATTAAATAATATTCTCCAATATGAAACAGGTATTTTTATGAGCATCTTGGTTCCACCTATTTGACTCAGGAGTTTCAAAGGAGTTGATGATTTATTAAAAAAGAAAATTGCTCATATGTACAAAGTGAACATGTAACAATGGACCACATGCTTCAGTGAGATGAAGAATTTTTTAGAATCAGAACTACATTTTGCAATAAGAAACTGCTAGTTCTGGCTTGTCCTTTTAGCACCTATCTACATAGGAAACTAGTGGATTGTGCATTGTTTCCAGGCTGAAGGTCCAGTTACACGATCAAATTGAGCCATCTAAGTGAAGCTCTGATCGGTGGAAAAAGACCTGAGGTGAGGATGCGACCAATGAGAGGCCCAATTTGATGGTTCAATTTGATCGTGTAACCAGACCTTGAGCCAGAAATTGTAGTTCCTTAGTGCAGAAAGCAGTCCAATGGAAAGAGATACTTTTTAAAGAGAGCTTATAAGCCTAAAATGATAATTAAAATCTCTCCTATTACATGGCAAAATTTAATCTCTTTCATGCAAACAGCTAGACAAGTATTATCAAGTAATCAAACAGAGAGGTTGGGAAATGCCCACTGATTTGAATAAATATATGCTTTCGGGGTGAGGAGAGCTCCTAAATAATCGGAAAACCTAGAAAAAATAAATACATTGCCCTGAGATCCAAGAATCAGGAGAGAAAAAACATTTGGAAGAATAGCTAACTAATTATCTTTCTCTTGGTGAAGCAAATTATTGCGATCTTGAGAGGACACTTAACTAATAATTAGTATAAGGTTATCAGAGATCAATTGATAGAGCTGGTGATACCAAAATTGATGCATATGCTCGATACTCATTCATCATTTGCATTCATACGGAGGTATATATCTACTCACTTGAGGAAGAGCTCCGTAATTCCAGATGTAGCCATGGTGGGGGAAGCAATTAGCAACATACCGCAGCTTTCCTTTCTTTACATCTTGCTTGATTGGGTTCAGTATTTCTTCCTTGTTAATCTGTCAAAAAAATTGGAGAATTATTAATTTGACCTAATGAGATGAGTAGAGAAAACCAAAACGCATACCTGCTCACAAGTAAAGCAGATCATAGGGTATCTTTTTCATTTAAATTCAGTATGGCTATTAACTTTTCAACATATTCCTCTAGGCATAGGATAAGGAATGAGTTGAGGTACTAATTAATGAACTGATAGTGCATTATCATAAATTTGTCTCGTAATGATTGAGTATCAAACACGGTGACAAGTTTTTTTGAATTACTAAATTTTCTGACTTTTCCAGTTTTTTGGACAAAATAATTCCTGCTTTTCTCCTGATTTTTAGAGAATATTGGAGGCAAAGATCGATGGCTAAAGTGCTTAACAACGTATCTCCTTTATGGTGTTTTAACATTTCCGCTCCTGTTTTAGTTTTCCAAAGAGAAACAAGTCAACTTTACAATTTGAAATTTAAACAAAATATTCTACTAGTATAGAAGAAAAAAAATCTAAAAAGTTTTCAAGAAATCATGTTGAATAGTTTCCGAAAGAAAAAATAAAATTTCACAAGAAGTCTGCAACATTATAAATAGATATACATTGTTTCGCACTGAGGCCATCGAGATGTTCTTCACGAGACAAAATTAAAGTAAAATTTGAGCTTGGCTGATAGCTTATATTGTAAAGATTGAAGCCATTCAAAATTTAGTAGACTAATAATTTTCTGATCATTGTCGAGTGAACATTTACTGACTATTCCAAGTTTCCCCTGGCTTTTTAAGTTTTTCATTCAGAAATTTTGAGGAGAAAACAAATGCTGTAGTGCTTAATTTCTAATCTTGGTAAGTGGTCCATTGTTGATTTGTCAGTCCATTAAGACATACCTGTTACCGTCAAACACATGGATCGCATTTATCAAAAAGGAACTGGCGTGATTACTTACTGTGTTCTCAAAATCGTGCAAATTCTTTTTTTCTTTTAAAAATAATAAATATGATGTACAGTAATAAAATTTACACAACTATTTCCCTTTAAAATTAACGATTTATGATGGGATGCAAAAACTACTTCCTATGTTAGGAGATTTTTTGGATAATTAAGTAAGAAGAAGCAACATTTTAACAACACTGTAACTGTGCTGGTTCTTTTTTGCTTGATGCGATTTACATATGATATGATTTGACATATTTTCAATGATTTTTGTCAAGATAACTCAGTAAACAAATTCATTTTTATCACATTCAAGAGAGAAAAACTTTTCTGAGGACAGTTCTCATGCAATACTTATATTTAACGCGACTCAAACTCAAAGTGTTTGGGGCATAATTGAGGTACCACTTGAGACTGTTACTCAAATAGATAAGTAATAGCTCAGATTGCCTGTGATTCACACTGTCTAATCACCTTTAGAGGGCACGGGAGATCAGGCAAAAGATTAAAAAACGATTCAACACACAGCCACCAAGCAGAGTGCCTATGTTGATATTTTTTTTTTTTTAAATGTCTTGAATAGGTATTAGGAGAGGAGGTATTATCCCCCCCTTCCACCATTTTATGGAATTCCGGTTCTAGAAATTTTTTTTTTTTTTTAATTTGTAATTAGGGAAAAGCCTCTACACATATCTTTCAATGGATTCTGCTTGCCTAAGATCATCTTCCAAAAAAATTAAGTGGTTCACTTCTAGAATGGTTCAACTGTCATAAGCCAAAAACTTATGACCAATTTCAACATCATTCTGATTTGGAGGGTTGAGATTTCATAAATTTTGGAGTTTTCAAATTGATTTTCAACCTGCAAAAATGTACAGAATGTGCATCTCATATTCCATGCGATTCCAAAATTTTTTTTACTTTAAGAGACAGGATCCCCTTTGGCACACGCCTGTTGAGCAGTTGCAATTTACTGCTTCAAGTATTTTTACAGGATTCATTTGACCCAAGATTGAAAAAATAAAAAGTTACCTCCATTTTGGCATTTGACCATCGGGGAATCTCAACAACCATGTTTAGGACCTTGTTTGCCTCATCTGCATATAAAGGAATGTCATGAAATGGAGAAATTGGGCCATGTTCATTTTCTGTGGGGAAAAAAGTGGAAATAAGGGTTTAACATTTTGTCTTGTGCTTGTCATTATGTACAACACTTGGATATACTTACATTTACACTTTCAGTTGTAATTACTCTCCTCTAGTAAACGTAACACTTTGTTTACTTTTTAACAGTATTTGTCTTGGATAATCTTGTTTGTTGTAAAAAAAAAACTTTTTTAAAAAAGATGATTACTGAAAAACCTTTGTATGAACACCTTTAGACAAGAACATTCGTCTTGAAACAGGTTTGATACTGTAAAGATCAAGAAGCATCTCATATCATATCTTAAGGTGATTCAACGGCTTCCATTTTTTGTGTTTAAGCGAAGTGCAACATAGTGCATACATTTGTTCCATAATTTCAGCTACTTGTCATTTTTTTTACTTTTGAGATCGCACTTCTGTTGTGATGAGACTGAAGAATTCATGTCAAGAAACTCAACGTACCTACCTAATAAAGGCAGGGTTTTTTCAGAGGAAAACTATCGCATTCGATACTGATATCGAAACTGCACTCGAATGCAGTATTTTTCCTCTGAAAAAACCCTGCCTTTATTATGTTGAATTTTTTGGTCAAATTTGGTACATGAATTCTTTAGTCTCATGACAACAGAAAGGCGATCTCAAAATTCGAAAAAAATGACAAGTGGCTGAAATTAGGAAACGAATTTAAGCGATATACCACTTGTTGCTCTAACACAAAAAATGGCAACCGTCATATCATCTTCAGATTTGCAGAAAATAAGAAAAAAATTAGTAAGTACATTAAAATTTTAGACAATGGAACCCTTAGATTCTTCCTATAAAATATTTTTTACAGCATGTGAAAAAAAAGAAAAAAACCTGAATAGTCTCCATGTTTAATTACTTTAAAGAAATGGAGGAAAACCTGGATTACTTCCAGAATGAAGCATGGGATAAAGGACCCAACATATTGATGGCCAAAGTGCGCACATATATGTCCATTGCGGTGTCTCCTAAAGAAGAAGAGGAAGAAAAAAAAAGCATGACAGGTAGTCTGCAACATCGCACAGCATACTTAACTTCACACTTTGGTCATCGATATAGCATTTTCTAGATCACTGAAAAAATCTTGCAAGGAATTACTGATATGTTGCAATGAACTGTGGAAGTAGATGGCAAGAGTAGAGAAACTACTTCATCATCCCTCATACCGGTTGACTTCTTCTGGAAGGAAAGAAAATGTACTTTACGCCACAAGATAGAATGAACATCGCAGTGGAATGGCAGAGACATATAAATGTCCATCTGGGAAGTTAGCATGGTAAAACCATAGAATACAATAGAGTTGCAATGTACTGGAGCGAGAATGAAGTCAACCCATGGACGGGCCATTCCGAGCCCCTTGTTTGCCGAAAAGTGTGAACCAAGTGTGAACTCAACGGCATTTTGTAACGCGGCAGCTTATGGAAGAATCGCGGGATATGAGTGGTTTTCAGGATATATTAATTTGAATCAATAACTATATTCGCGGATTTTAGCAAATTATGTTGACCAATGTCATAACAGATTAAAAAAATGTACAGAACTTCCAGTTTTTATGGAATACATTGTATACCTGTATTTTCTGAGCGGAGCCCAGAGCTCCGACCTCACTCATACGGCATTGCTAATCGCCGAAAACTAGTCTCAGGAGTCCTAGACAAACCAGCCTCAAAAAGTGACTTCATCCGCACTCCAGTACATTGTGACTTTGTACTCTATGGGTTAAACCTAAAAAGGAGCCGCTGAAATTGCCTAACCTTCCTCACTCAGATAGTCATAATAGTCTAAAAGCACAGGAAAGGCAGTGCCATGGAAACAGTACTTCTTTGGAAGAAAGCATGAATTGAGAGGTGATTTGTTGATGGAGCTGAGTGTCAATACGATGAGCAAGCTTTAATGCATGGAAAATAATTGTTGAGTAAGCCCTTGCAAGATGGACTGAGTGAACTTTGAACTTACTGATATAAAGTCTGTAGTCGATAGAATTTGGAGATCCACGTTCGATGGTAGAGTACGGCATTTTGGAGGAAAACTGTTTCTGTTGGCCTGAGTTAAAAATCACAAAATTGTCTCTTTTTCCGGTAAAATTCACTCGCGGAAGCAAGTAACGAGTGACTGGAAAAAACCGCAGCATGTGTTTCATTATCAGTCAGTGTCACCGCTGCTGATAACGTCAAAATCTCTGGCTTGTGCATGTTCAACAACCTTGTGTCAGATTTTGTACTTTCTCGAACAACGCTGCTCAGTACGCCGAAGACTAATAAGCGGCCGATTCGAAATTTCAGTCGGAAATGTCGGAAATTATCGACTTAAATCCCTAAATTAAATAATGGAAAATACAAATTGTCAAAAAATGCACCAAATACTACAATAGAACATTGGTAGTCGGAAATTGCCTATGTTTCCAGGGGCAGAATACAGGCAAACGTATTGCTCCGCCGCTCCGGAGGTAAATTTTAGCATGTGAAATCTGCGAGTGTCTACTCATCATCGAGTGCGAGTCTGCGGCCCTTGCTTCGTTTCCGAATTCCGAGAGTAGCCATCTTGAGCAATTGTGCCATTGTGGGACTGTGTGTTTGATAACGGCTGAAGTTGTTGGAAAAACGTCAGTGTAGCTTTACAGAATCAGATATGGCATTAAAACGAATTAATAAGGTATTTACTTGAATAATTCTTCTTTCTAAATCATCCATTACCTTCCGTAGGTTTCCTCTCAGCCGATTGTTTTCGTCCAAAGTAAGCTGTTGAATTGGCCCCAAGGCGCCTTCCCCGTGAAGGTCTCATTTTACACAGTCTAATTTTATGGATTCTCAGCGATCAATACTTACTTCATCTACCCATATTACGATTGAAAATTGAATCCTGATTATTGCCGCTGCGTACCCAGTTTTTCTCAATCCACGAAGTTAGGAAGAATCTCGAGATTCAAGCATGAGATGGATCAGGTTTTTAATGCCTCAACAAGGAAGTAAAGTGTAACTAGTGAATGCGTCTTATGAAATGTTAAAAACCAGAAGTTTTAACTCTCTACGTCTGAAATGACTATTTTTAGCCCCATTATTCGCTGGAAGGCGTTTTGTTAGCTCATCTTACTTAATCTTGCTTGGCTGTTTTACCCTCTTTACCATAACCTATCGGGCCTAGTAGAGACAAATGGTGTCGCAGGCGCATCGCCTTTGATCCACTGTGATTCCTAAAGTCAGCACCACTAAATTCCTTCAGTGAGGTCACAACTTGGTGTTGAACCATAATCTAATGGGCCATCTGAACAGGGTCCAATTCCTCTGCGAGTTCAATATGACTCATTCAGTGTTGAAGTAGCCTCTGATTTTGGTCTTTTGGCAGTCATAACTGGAGAAATGGATTATCAGGGCTGTGTCATTCATTTTGGCAAGCATTTTTTAATGGAATTACTTCAGATGTTATTCGCAAGTAAATGATCAACTGATTGTGGAGGAGCATGCAGAAATATCTTTCACTTCTGTGTTACTTCCTTTGGAGTAGCTCTGTAAGAATCTGTAGGAGGTCATTACCATGCGTTACAAACCAAGCTGTCAGTTGATTCTAGAGCCCAGATCTGTGTTGAGTTGTCACTGAAATTTGAGAAAGTTCGTCAGTTATCCTTTGAGAAACTGCCTGTTGGATAAATCCATGAAATCACTGGGAAATTGAGAATACACCTCTGATAATTCTATTGATTGGAACCCATATTGTAAGTTGCTTCAATTCCCTTGATTTAAATTTTAAACTTTTCTGTGAATTGCACATATTTCACTTAATTCCCTCATCTGTGTCACTCTGCATTTGTGTGCCAGTCTACTCACTGCTCTGTTTTCCTCAAAACTTGACATCAATTCATCTAAGTCAGGCATTCGCTAATAATTTTTTTTTCCGACAGGAACTGCAAGACCTAGGCAGAGACCCCCCTGCTCAGTGCTCCGCCGGACCAGTCGGAGATGATCGTAAGCATTCTTTCCTCATATTTTGCGTTTTTTGTAGAACAATTTCTTGCAAAAAAGTATGGAGGGGGAAGTTATGGGCGAGACAGGAAACGTTCTTTATTTATGTATCTTGACTATTTTTTCTTATCAAATGTTATAATATTATGAACTTTTAGGCGACGCTTTTACTATCAGGCTCTGATTATCTCTATTTTCTAATATATTTCACTAGAGGGGTAGCTTGAGGATGTTAATGAAGCCTTATGTGTGAAAGCAGCGATGTTAAGTTTTGAGATAATTGCATTCCATGTTTTGAATGTCCTTGCAGCAAACAGGGGTAGGTCAAAGAATTTATTAAAAATATATTCTCCTTTAAAAGATGAGCTAGGATAATTTGATACAAATTTCAAAAAGAGAAAGTGATTTTAATAAAAGACCACATCTACTGTTTTTCCAGAGAACATTTTTTTTAAGGCATGAAATTAACTACGTAGCTAATAAAAGAGAGGTAGAGCGATAGATATTGATCATATTATGATTACTCTTAAGCCTTTTAATGTTTTTTTTTTCTTTAAGAAAAAAAAATCAGGTAAAAAATTGAAAAAAAAAAAAAAAAAACTACTTATCACCAGTTTTTTAACAAAGTGAACAAATTAAAAAGGGTGCCATCTCCCCAGGACCTACGTACAATAGGTCTCATTAACTTGGAATATTATTTTAATTTGCTCCTATACACAACTCCTGATGAGATTATTGTGCTTCAGTGAATCCTTTAGCTCAATATTTTTTATTTCAACAAATTCTGACTGTTTTCAGATATAACATGGTTTTTATTCTTATCTTAATGAAAAATTATTTCAGATTTCTGAAACTTGGTACCAACATTCTGGAAGGTTAGCGGATTGTAAAAAAAGTTATCACTGTGTGTGTTTAAAAGTGCATTGATGAAGTCTGTGTGCCCAAATTGCAGGAGTGCTACAAACTTATTTTGCACTAGTAACTGATTAATTAAATGAATGAGGCGTAAGGAAAGACAAGTCATACCTCTTTTTTCCCCTTTTTTTTAAGCATGGAAAAAAGTGCGTTTTAACCAACCCAAATTTTTTCGGCTACTTCCTAAAAGCAGACGAAGGTAGAGGGATGTGCCAGCAGATAAAATTATTAATTTGGAGGATGTCCAAAGAAATCAGTTATTTTGTGGTACAGGGATGTTCATAAAATGTTATTGTTGTTTTTGGCACTGGAAATTGCCAGCAACCTAAACCTTATCGGTAGATCATTTAATTTTGGGATCAGCAATTCCAGTCCAAGTTGAGAGACCTTTCCTTCATTGCTTTGCCCCGATTGTGTCTGGAACTTTTTTACTTAGATTCTTTTTCTTAGTGAGCCTCAGCTACAGGAGCACAGAACACTCAACACTTCTCAACAGTGTGATAGTGATAAGAGGAGAGTTGTAGTCAATTTTTGAAAGGTAGCTCCCAACTGTATGTTGCAAACATTACCACTTAAAATATTGGTTGTGAATATCGGTATATGAGAGTTTTCTTAATTAATAGAAATCAAGTTACATGTAAAGTTGATAAAGCCTATCTTGTTGTCTAATTCAAGCAAAATATTCTTCCTTTACCTGCTACGGGAGCGAGAAAGTAAAAACATATGTACAACCTTTAAAACATCTACCCATTTTAGGCCCAAGACAACCCCCCCTGAGCTGCACAAAGTGTTTGATCAGCCGATCACAGAGCAATGAGAAGGATCCTGAAAAGGGGTAAAAAATTGTAAAGGCACCTGAAAAAACTGAAAGAAATGTGAAGGCAGAAGTTGAAACCAGCTAAGCGCATAGTTTTTTGTGTAGGAAACTGTGTAAGGCCCACTCTTATGCAAAGGAAATAGTTAAGCATGCTCTTTTATGCGAAGGAAACAGCGAAGCGCGTAAGTCTTATGTGGACAGCAGTGTGAAGGCAACCTCAAGAAATGCGAGGGCCCCCTCTAGAAATGTGAAGGTGAAGAACTTTTTGCACCCCTGTGCAGACGGCTGAGTTAACCAAATCTGATTTGACCCCCTCTCGTGGAAACTCTAACATTTAGGTACTTGATGGAGTGATGACTTATAGAATTTTCAGCTGTAGGTATTATAACAGTTGGAAAATTACAAGGAGCCAGTATTGGTAACTTCTTGTTCAATTCAATTCAGAAGCTTAAATCAATTTGTTCCTTTTTTCTGCTCTACTTACTCTTCTTTTTATTCTATAAGAATAATGCAAATTACAAAAAAAAAGGAAAAACTTGCAACAAAATTGTTATCAGTTGAGGAGATTGTTGGATAGCCTGGGTTGGTGTTTACCAGCACAGGTTCGCAACACTGGCCCCCCTAAGGTCAGAGGACCCTTGATGGTGTTGACCAGCGAATTACTTGCAATTTAAACACGTTCGTTTTATGCATTAATCCACATCATAGTTTTCATTCTTTTTCACTCACCACCTCTAAACAGAGATGAAACTCAAAGAAACCTTTTCTTCCCATAAATTTCACATAATCTTAACAGAAGAAATTAAGAAATATGAGTTTTTCCAAATTTTATATTCACTGCACATTTTTTCACGCACGAAAAAAATGTGATAAAATGATTCCAAACAAGCTTTTGTACTCTAGATTACTCTGGACATTCAACTTAGTAGCATTGAAACAAGACATTTTGCATGGATTTTTTTCATTTATAAACAGCAAATAAAGGAAGAAAAGATACATAATTATTTTCCTTATTTTAATTTAAATTTACGGTTTCAAACTCACTAGTTAACTATGTGGAAAAATGGCACATTCAATCAAACATTTTCAAAAATCTAAGCAGATCCATGAAGTTTTGAGTTCAAGTCACGTAAGAACAGGCATCTTCTTTCAATTTTTTCACTTTTCTTTTTTAACAATGATAGTGCTCCTATTTAGATTAAGGCTGTTAAATCACCTTTATATAGAATAGTTGTCATATCTGTCTATTCGGCTCAATTTCATCCTTTTTTTCTTCTTTTATTTTGTTCCTTTAGCGGGTTTTACTCTCCCCTTCCCCCTTATTTTGATCTTCTCTACGTCTTGCGCTCTTTTCTTTTGCTGTTCGGCTTTTTTCTTGGATCTCCTTTTTTACTGATTATCAACAGATTCTGAGAAGTTCCAAATAATATAAGGTGTGCATTAACAATTCTTAATTAAGCTTTAAATTTAAATCAGAGGAAGTAAAAATGGTAGCTTGATGTACTGACAAGAAAAATAACTTGAGCTACAGATTTTCACTGTAGAATGCAGAAGCAGCTTGGCTCTACGTTGGCCCGATGCAAAATCAAATCACATTCTTGACCTTGGCAATAACCTAACTAATCCAGACCGATGTCATCTCTGTCCCTCTCCCTCCCCGAGTTGAAGCTCATAAATTTGTCCTAACACCATCCTTATCACCAATGTTTTCCCCTAAACCTATGAGGCAGAGTGGGCAGAGGAAGTTGAAAGAGAAATGATGAATCACTAGGCGAAGAGAGAAATCAAAGATGGAGCCAAATCGGTGTGGGTGTGGATCTGCTCATAGGGAAGAGAGGGAGGGGAGAAGCCTTGCCCTAAGTGTTATTGTTATATCAGTTTAAATGAACTGGGTCATTGATGATGTATATTTTCAGTTGCTTTACTCCCGGTGCCAACATCAGATAATCTCTCCTCTCTTTTTATTTCTGTCATAATTCTCTCTCCCTCTCAGCTCCCTCTCTCTCTCTCTTTCAACTCTCTTTGCTTTAGCACCCACCTGTCCGACTGTGCTGACCCTTGGCCTCACTTTTCTCCCCCTTCACCTTGCTCCTCTTCCCAATAGTTGCCAAATAGAGCTGAAAATCAGCATTTCCCCTTCATTTAAAGCACTTTTTATTGCGCAATTGACAGCTTTGGGCTTCCAAATCCAGTCTATCTCTTTCATTCATACTGTCTGTAATCCCAGTCTCCCTCCAACCCCCCCCCCCCCCCCTCGGAAATCATCCTGGGCCCATCAGTATATCCCGGGAGGGGGGCGGGGCAACATGTGATCTTGCACCCTCCCCCCCCAACTGAAAGAAATGATCTTATACCCATCCCCCCTCCCATTTGAAAGAAATTATTATTTTTTTTTTTTTAAACTACTGTTTCACTGAAATATCCAACGCTGTAATTTTCCCCTGGTGAAGTATTCCCCCTTTTCCTCCCCCAAAAATGAAAGCAGTTTGTAACCTTGCTAATGAAAATTTGAATGGGATTTTCAATTTTGACATTTTTCAGAATGACAACCACTTCGTTGAGAATTGAGAAAAGAAAAATTAATTTCGTGTTCAGTTGAATGAAGAAGAATGGATTGTATTTTTTCCAATTCTCATAAATGTTGTTTCTTTTTTTTTGTTTCAGTATTTCACTGGCAGGCAACCATAATGGGGCCAGTAAGTATCCCTCCCGTTCTTTTTAAGTTACTTGCACATCATAAGCAACTGGAGAACAGTGAAGCAGAATTTCCTTGCTTACTTTATTTGGTCAAACAGAAATTGACCTATCATGTTTCTCCTTTAAAATTTTTTTCATCTCTGCAGTAAAATGGACCTCTAAACAAGGTTTGAATCAACGCTCAACGCTACGTGCTTTCTCTTCAAAATTCCACAAAGAAAACGAATCACACAGCAGGAAGCCTGAAAATCAACTCCTGAACAAGGAACAAGAAATAAGTGTTTTCTATTAGCATTTCTTAAATGGCAAAACTACATACAACGTCATTTGCTTGGCGGGACTTCCATTTGATCTGTGTTTAAAAGGCTTGTTAATATCTTGTTCAGGAGTTGATTTCGATACTTCCTGACTTGTGAAGCGTTTTCTATGTAAGATTTTGAAGAGGAAATATGTGACGTTTTCTTTTACTTCAGACCTTGTCTAGAGGCCAGTTCCCAGAAACAATGGTCAGCAGTTTCTTTTTTGGTTTTATAAAATAGATCAAGAACAAAATGTTTGAAATGTAGCAATGCTGCCTGTAGTTTATAGCTCAGAAGTATTCAAATGTGCCGCTTTTCATGAACCTAGAATAAGTGAAATATTTTGCACTCTCATTTTCGGAAAAATTAGTTTTGGAGCATTTTTTTTAAGGAAAACAAGGAAAGGTTTTGTTGGATGAAGAGGGTTGAAAAGATGTTACAGAAGCAAGAAATGAGTCTTTTTCATTCTACTGATTCCATGGTCTCTAGTTGTAGAAGAGCTTCCTGGCAACCAATACGTTGATAATTTATTTTCAAAAGTAGAAATACCACTCAGAACATAAGTAATGGGTGAATTCCTCACCATTAAGATACTCAGTGCACTGTTGGATCAAATGTCTGATCAAATATAGTTGCATTAAAATGTTTCAGCTTTTCGGAAGATCTTCTCCAGAGATTAGGGATCCCTGCTGCTTTTTGTTTGTTGGAAGTCTTTGAGTATTGACTGACTTACTTTCTTTTTCGCCCGATGAATTTTTCGGTTGTCACTGTTTAAACTTAAACGATGGCCATTTCGGCTTTTGTGGAAGCCATCATCAGGTAATTAATAACTAACAACGAAAATAAAAACAAAAACCGAAGCTAAAAACTGACGTTAAAAATTCCATGTATTATCGCCGGCAACGCTTCACGATACTAGTCAGTGCGGTATCTTGCCGGTGATCAGCTGACTGTGTCGCGTCACTGCGTCTTTGAGTACAAACACTTCAACAGTTGCTTACATACTTCTGCGTTTTGTTAGTTCATCTCAGTACTAGGAAATTTTGAAGTCTCTACTTCAGCGCAGATTAATAAAATATTGATTTTTTTTTTTTTTTTTTTCAGCCCGACAGTCCATTCCAAGGTGGCGTCTTTTTTCTAACTATCCATTTTCCCACAGACTATCCTTTCAAACCACCAAAGGTAAGTGCCTATCTAGCATTCAATTTATCAATCAAGTTTTTCTCTGGTAAGCGTACTACCCAGGCCTCAGAACCCTTCAGAAGATCCTTCTTACTGTCCTTGCATCGAAGTGCATAAGGCTATCAATTTAGGAAAACTTTTAATGGGTCACTAAACCATGAATGAATTTTGACTTGCGAATATAGTATTCTGAAGGAAAATGACCCGTAGAACTTGATGCGCACATTAAAAATGCAAACAAGTAACTCAATAACTGAGAAATGCGCAGTTCAAATCGCTCAACTTATACGCAAATTTATAACGCCCCGGTTTCGCGCTGAATGATGTCATCTGGCACCAATCAGAAGAGGGCACTGGTTTCCACGACTTCCATCAAATGTCTATCTACTCTTCGTATATGAAAAACAATACTAAAGTCAAAATTATATCTTTTGAATTCACGACTTGAATCTCATTCATATGTTAGCTGTAATAAACGAGCAACAATTCCACATTGAAAAACGTTTTATTTTAACAAACATCAGAGGAAAATGAGAGAAGATTGCGATATGACTATCGCAGTGCATCAACACCGTCAGTTTCCCGCCATGCGGGCGCGTTTGAAATGTCTTGCAGTTTTTAGATTTTTCAAAAGCGGGTTTCTCCGCGATTTCCACTCCATAAAAATGCGGAAAAATCACCGCATTATCTACTCACAATGTACTTTCAGAATATCCAATAAAATAAACAAGGTTTAGTGACTCATTTTGGGAGGTTTTAAGTGTTCAGTGAAAAGTAATATGTACTAAGTAAAGTTAGAATCGAAATAGTGTAAGAAATTCCAAAAGTTTTATTTATTCCTCACACTTGCCCTTTTTTGTTTGGTCAAAGCCTTAAGATCAACATCCTTGGCTAAAAGTGTCTTAATGACTGAAAAGTCTTACCTATTCATTGTTGAGGAAAGCTGTTTCACTCCTTTTGCACAATTTTTCAATTTCAATCCTTAAAGTAAAAAAATATAAATCCTCCTTCCCTTTGCTTGTTAACCATTCTAACAGCACTTAGTAGTACAATTTTTTTTTTCATCCTTCATGCCCAAGATAGCAAATAATTAGTCCATGTTTATTATTTTGGTTGCCTCTGTGATTACTGACTTGAATTTTTTCTACACAGGTTTCATTTACCACAAGAATTTATCATCCTAACATAAATAGTAATGGTAGCATTTGTTTGGATATTCTTCGATCGCAGTGGTCTCCTGCACTCACAATTTCTAAAGGTATGTCAATTTGAAAGCTCTAACTTTACTGTGTGCATTTCAACTTTTTTTAGCTCCAGAATATCTGTTGTAAAGGCAAAAATCTCGCAATAGGTCATGATCATGAAGCATTGGAAAAGTATTGATAATGTTTGTTCTCCATACGAAAGGTCTGGAATTTGTATATTGTGTGGGTCAGTGAAAAGTTGAATCATAAGAGTAGCCGAAACAAGGTAGTGCTTGTAGCTGACTTTAGCCAATCAGGAAACACTGTCTCCCCTGCCTGCTTACATCATCAGAGCCAACCATTTCAAGCGGCTCCCATTTTTGGCATTTTTCAAGTAGAGTTTCTTTCATTATGTTGGTCATTTATGTTCAAAAAAAGCTGAATAAATTCCGAGGAGCCTAATTAGCTTAGTAGTTCTCTCAGAAAATGAATTGGGGGAATTGGATGAATTTTGGGTGATCCTAACCTATTAAACAACTTGCAGCTTGGAACATGGGATTTTAAAAACATATGTGGCTTGCTCTCAGAACTAGCTTTTCTACTCTACAAACTCTATAATATGTATTGCAATCCAGGATAGCTTTGCAATGTTGGGCCAAAATATTCACTTCTCTGGGCAGTGCCACGGACTTGTTCATTTTGAGTTTTTCAAATCTCTTTTGTCATGATGTCTCTCCACATACATTAATACTTGAATTACAAGGCACTACCTCACCCAACACTTGTATTACTTGATCAAATATTTTTGATAGATTGTGACAAGAAAAAGATTAGGGATCCTCAGTCAATCTTACAAAATTCCTTCTAAAATAAGGAATGGAATAACTTTAAAAATTTGAGTTATAGGATTGAATAATCTCAAGAATAAAAGAAGATAAAAAACCAAATACCTACACCATTAGTAAATTAATTGTAGAACTGTGCACAGAATACCAAGGAACTTGGCGTTGCCTAAATTTTGATATTTTCTTTAAGGAATATTCCTTACAGCTTCCTAAGTACTTTGAGTTTTTAAAATCTAACTCCCTATGTACCTATCTTGAGAAGAGCAGGGCATATAAATATTTCTAAACGCAATTTCTTGTTGAACGCTTTCAACATTTCATTGGTGATCAAAGAGAGATTTTGTTTCCTTGCAGGACAAGGAGCTTAGACAAACGAAAAGCATTTAATTCCTCTGAATGATAACAGCATCAAGCCGAGCGTCCACACACTCATAGCAACAATCTTACTAACCATTAGAAAATGCATGTACGAAGAGCAAAAAATTATTTTTTCAGCCTCGCTTTTTTCGAAATTGATACACAGAGAGTTAGATTTTTAAAGCTCATTGTGCCCAGGTAGCTGTAAAGAAATAGTATCAAAATCAGCCGGTGCTGAATTTCTAACTAACTAATCTTGTAAATTAGAAATAATAATTTTGTTACTGCTATTATAACCAGCACCAAGGTATCATCGACTCATAAAATCGATGTTTCAAGGTAGCCATCATGTATTAGTATGTCAAGGAAAAGAGTATCTCCATTGTTCTTTTGATTTGTTTTTGAAGATTGTAATCAAATATTGGACAAGAAACAAGAGCACGTGCAAGAATTGTAATTTTACTCGCCCAAATTTCTCACAAATCAAGCTGACCATGATGAACTATTTTTACGTTTTGTGTTTCTGAAACTAGGGTTTCGTTAGATCCAAAGTTATTAATGGAGTTTCTCATTCGACGACGACATTAAGTTTGACAAAAGAAGTTCTGCTATATTGTCTGGATTCTTTTCAATGTTGGTTATCATATATATCTCACCTAATTGTTTCCCTCTTATTAGTCAGTAATTTTGATAGTACTGTATCCTTGTGTTTGTGTTGTTGCAGTTCTGTTATCAATCTGCTCACTTTTGTGCGATCCGAATCCAGACGATCCACTAGTGCCCGAAATAGCTAAAATATACAAAAGTGATAGGGAAAAGTACAATGAGATGGCAAGGGAGTGGACTCGCAAGTATGCCATGTGATGAATCAACAATCGACTCTCGGTATTCCGTCGCTCCATCAGACATCTGTCAGTGGTTTTTTCTTTCTTTTTTTTCCATTTTTTTGTAACTCCCCCTTCCCCCAATGCTCCGTTCTCTCCTCAGCCACCTTGCGTGTCTGCTTCACAATTGCGCAATTTTTTCTCACCTCATTTCTACATTGCTTGGAGACAAATCAGGAGAATTTTATAAAAGGTAGTCTAAATTGAACAAATTAAAATTTAAAAAGAAAGTCAAAAAAGCGTTTCTATGTGTTAATAACTGCACATTAGTAAATTTGGACAGGATTGAAAAAAATATTTAATTCTTCAAGTTCTATTTTCTTATGTTTTTTTATCATCAATTCTCTGATTTTCAAAAGAACATAATTTTGCCAGTGAAAAGGCTGTGTAAAGTTTCGGAAACTCGTGTTCAAAAAGAATAGCCTCACGAGGTTATTGACTCACGAAAAATCTGAGTATGTCGAGCAAAACTCTCCTGACTATTGAAAACTTTGCGTGATTTCCTTTGTTCAGTTTTTTAAAAGCTAATTTTTTTAGTAATCTTTTTCTGGATCGTTCCCTGATCAAAATACATGTATCACTTGTATATGTCTCAAAAAAATTTCTATTTGTATATATGCTTGTGTACTATGCATATCACAAGCACTTGTTCATAACGTACGGAAACCTTGCTATTAGTGTTTTTCTGCGTTTTTTTTACTCAGGTGTTTGAGGTATCCATGGTAGTGTAACAGTGCGTTACATCAGACAAGAAAACAATAAAATCTCATGAAGTAGATGGCTAAGTTGGATCGGATCCTCAGAAATTAAGTTTCGCACTCCCCTAGAAAATCCATTTTAAAATAAGAAGGCATTCATCATTAAGAATGTATTTTAAATTTGTCTCTCTTAAATTGCCTCCCAAAATTCTGAAATTTTGATCCTGGCAGAGGAAAAGTTGGATATAAATGTAATTATTCAACACAGGAACATCATGGTAAAGCGGTTTCTGAGTTTTTATCATTGGGCAATGAAGAATATTTTACTCGTCAATAATACTTGTTGATTTCGTTTTATGATCCTTTCTTCTGCACTGACAATTTTTTTTTCATGCTTGCTGTTGACAGTTGCGGTGATCATTTCACTTAATTGATTGTAAATCCCACCAGAATGATACGCAAAATATTCAGACTCAGTGAGAAGTAGGGGAAACAGCTGAGAAATAACCGTAGTTTTTTCGACCTTTTGAGAGATGCTTTCTTGCTACAGAGTGTATTTTGAAGTATGAGTAGTTGTTCTGGTTGCCCATCTTTTCATGATCTGATCATGTGAGTACATTCACATTTTCCTCCGTACCTTCTCTCTAAGGCATTGAAATACTCGCATTTCAGTTGATGAATCCACTCTGTAGTGTAGTCCAACAACAGAATGTTTGTAGAAGTTAGTCCGCTCCAGCAGGCACTGTGGTGATATGCATAAATAAGTCCTAACTTGTTCCTTTTTTTTTCATTGCCTTTTGTAAAGATTTTCGACTCATTTCACACTTCTCGGTGAGTCGGTCTTCGCTAGCAGGATTATAGTTTTTATGTATTAAGAACGAGCTGATATACTTACTCCGAGAATTTTCTCTAACTCCCGTGTGCTGATTTAAGTCGATTGTACTGTTTCTTTTTTAGCGTACATTAATTCCTTTTTCATGAGTTTCTCTTGTAATAAATTTTTTATTTATGTTTATGATTTTAGTTCTGCAGATTTGTTAACTGTAATAAAAAATGAAAAAAAAAAAAACAAAAAAAAAGATTTTTCTTCACAAAACTGTTTGTCTCGACTAGCAAATGAGACAGTTTCTGTTTTGTATTTTGTCGAATTATTTGATAAGTGCTACATCTCGGCTAAACCAGCCGTTGGAACTCTGAAATTTTTGTACCAATAAAGAAAAATCAAGGAACAAATGATCTTATACTTCATTCTATTAACCTCTGCGCTGTTGGAGAATCGTGTATGATGTCGATAAAAATGAGGATATCTTTTCGTAAAACATCGGTGAGAGCAGCTACCTTAAATCATCATTCTAGGTATCTCCTGAACCGTTGTACCAACTTCCAGCCCTGCCCTTCCCCCATGAAAAGTTTGAAACTTACACTAGCAGGTAGATCGCTGAATCTTCATCAAACGATGTTGATTAATAAATTCTTGCTTTGGCAATACCATTTATTAATTAAGGTTATTTGATAATGACTGAACAAACAAAGTACACCCATTTCAGTCAAAACGGGGTGGGGAATTTTTTCCCCCTTCATAATCTCAATTGCTATCCGTTTCAAACAGTCGAAACTTAAATCTGAAACCCTTGTGCGAACAGCTGCTATTGAAACACTGTGCCCTCTACATTGACTCTGATGGTCCAGATTCTGTAGAACAGGTGCACCCATGGAATTTACATGTTATTCATTGTATTTTATTTATTCTGTATTAAATTTTTTCTTCTAACCTTGTTGTGTACCATTTTTCTGGTCAGAAAACATACTTTGGCAACTACTGTTAGCAGCACCACCCATTAAGCATGTTTTTGTACATCCCCTTCTAATTGTAATGTTTCTCCTTACCTAATTGTTGAATCGGACAGGAGGTTAAGGATACTTTCTGACCACAAGACTAGGAGGAATTTATTGAAAATGTGAATACAGTTTAATTGCAGCTGTTACTAAGCACACACTCAACAGGGTGGCAAGCGTCAGTAAAAATCTTTAGAACCAGAAAATATGAGTATCATTGGAAACTAGCGGTATCAAAGGAGCAACATCATGTTTTTGGAAGAAATAAGGCAGAAGTCATTGTGAGTAACCCTCGCTTCAGGGTAGATTCAATGTTAATATCAACTCTTCATCCTTTCTCATCAATATTTGAGTTTCGAGTTTTTTGTATTCTTTCTAATTTTTCAGGAAATTGTTTCTTCTTAAGTAGTAAAAATTTCACTGAACTCTTTCATTCACTGTGAAATTTGAAAGCTATCAAAAAGTGAAAAAAATGAGATAAGCAATCAAGGATTCAAACTTCGGTCGAAAAGCAGGGAAGTTAAAACGATCAACTTCAAAGTGCGAAGTTGATGTGTTTCTGAAGTGAGAACTCAAGAAAGTTTAGGGATGATTAGTTTTTGAAAAATATTTTTTACTATTAGTGATTTTTCTCTATTTCAAGAAATGTTTTTTCCATGCTTTCACTTGACTTCATTAAAATTCAGCGAGAAAATTATTTTGTTTTTCATCATGAGAATTCATGATTAGATGTATTCTAATTTTATGTTTCTGACATTGATGTCTAATTGATGCCAATCCACTGATCTTGGCATCGAAATGTTTTAAGTCAGTCATTTCCTAGTTTTCCAAATATAGGCCCATAGAAAAGTTGCTGTAGGAATGATTAAAGTAGGCGACATCTCTGTGATTTTGAAAGAAGTGTATCGAAAGTCGATCAATTTTTTGGAAGCTCATGACTCGAATAAACTTTCAACTCGAATTTTGAGGTGGAAGTTGGTGAAGTAAGTACAAAGAAATTTTAAGCGTGCGAACAGAAGAGTACATTCATATCTTCCTGTTTGAATGTGCAATGAGAAATCAGGCTGGAATCTTCCTGTTAAATGCTCCAACAAGTAATCAGGATGCAAGTAAGTCACCATTTTTTTAGTATCATTTAGTAGCATCTGTACTTTTCAGTTCAACTCTTTGTATCTCATCTCCTGTCGAGAATTCGTCTAGGAATGAATCATTTTTTCTTAAAGTTTAGTGGAAGAAATCTCTATTTTTCAGTTTCAATTTGATATCGATGGTCTCAACCCAATAAACTCAGTCCTGTTTGCTGCATCAAGCACAAAAAGAGCTACCTATTAACATTTTGAGTCTTTTTCAGGCAATACTAGGTATCCTTTTGTTATAGGATTTGTTAAGCCCCTCAGAAGTTTCAAGCCTCAAGATTCACAATCAGCCTCTTGATGACTAAAACGGAAAACCACTTATCTCTGTCAGCGTTGCCGCGAACTTCCTGTCGTACTTAATTTTTTTTTGGGAAACTTCAACGAAATTTCTGAAGAACTTCCTTCATTTTTCTTCACTGTTAGCAGAATATCCAATATTAATATCAAACCAGGAAGTTGGCTTGTTTTTCCTCGAAAAAACGAAATAGCGTAAATTTTGAAACACCGCAATGGAGACACGTGATATCGCATCTCTTTTTTTTTTTTTTTTTTTTTTTTATTTTAAACTTATTCACCTACTTATACAGCAATTGGAATATTTACAATATGATTATAACTACACTTGAGACTAAGACTTTATGCTAGTGCTATTAAAATGTTATGTCCCCTGGATAGGGGTAGGAGGAAAAGTATTATACAGTGGGGCACAATAAATTCAGCGCGAACCGCCGGGCCTATCCGTGCGCGGGTGGTACCGGCTCGACCGTCCCGGTCCCCCGACGGCGGGAAAAATATAGGGATCGGCCGGCGTTCCCGGCCCCCCTCGCCCCCTCGGGGAAAACGGTTGTCCCGTTGGTCCCGTCGGGAGATGCGCGGTTTTTCCTTTTTCCCGTCCTATTTTTCTTCGGTCTGATGACTCGGCTGCCCGGTTCGTTCGTTTCCCTGGAAATGGCCGTAGATGATGAATTTACTGCGGAAGCGTAGTGCACCGTCGTCGACCGTCGTTGTCTCGCAATTTTTTTGTCTTCAGTCAAGGAGAATCCGTATTTAAAGCGTGGGCGTCCTGCGAGGCGTGGGCATGTTTTTCGCAACCCCTCCTTGCGGCGCATCGAGAGGCGTGGCGAAATGCGACTGCGGTGCGTGATTTACCTACGTATTCGTTTCGACGGAGCATTTACGATGTTAATGAAAGAGATTCTTATAAATTTAATATATATCTAATTATATTAATACTGAAGCTTAATATTGAAGGAATGAATTAAGAACGGAAATTTTGAAACACCGGAATGGAGATACGTGGTTTCGCATTTCAGTCGGTGCGATACGGACATCCATCAAGTTTAAAAAAATGCATCAAGTCCCCGTCACCGCCGACCAACTCGTTTGTCGATCGAATCAACTACAGGTATTATGCGTAGGAGGTCAAAACGCCTTCAATTTTTTGAACGCAATACGGACATCCGTCGAGGTTGTATAGTTGTAGCAAACGCGTCCCATTGTTTATCGTTACCTACATACGAATATAAGTTGAGAGAAGCCAGTCATAATGCCTTCAATTTTATACATACTTATTTTTGGGCAAAATGAGAGCGGACGTTTCTCCTTTTATTGCGACGTTGCAGACTTCTTAAGAAATTGTAATATCCTTTCGAGAAGCTGGTCAACAAAAAACGTAAGTAAATTCTCCACGATTTTTCGTATTCGATAGCAGAAGATTTGGTTCAAAATTTCAAGTCGTAAATTTGGATTTCTTCTCATGGAAGAGATTAATTAAGAACGGAAATTTTGAAACACCGCAATGGAGATACGTGGTTTCGCACTTCAGTCGGTGCGATACGGACATCCATCGAGTTTAAAAAAATGCATCATTAAGTCCCCGTCACCGCCGACCAACGCGTTTGTCGATCGAATCAACTACAGGTATTGTGCGTAGGAGGTCAAAACGCCTTCAATTTTTTGAACGCAATACGGACATCCGTCGAGGTTGTATAGTTGTATCAAGGCGCCGTAGCAAACGCGTCCCATTGTTTATCGTTACATACGAATATAAGTTGAGAGAGGCCAGTCATAATGCCTTCAATTTTATACCTACATACATACTTTTGGGCAAAATGAGAGCCGACGGTTCTCCTTTTTCGACGTTGCAGACTTCCTTAAAAAATTTATTTTTCCATCGAGAAGCTGGTCCTATAAAACTTAAGTAAATTCTGCATGAGCAGACCTAGAGATGCAAAAGCCATACAACTGTTGTAGGTACCTCAAAATGTTGGTCATGAAAATGGGTTTGGAGAAGAGGTCGCGAAGTTGGTCATTGATTCCAGGCGCGGCAAGTCGGAGAAGACCATTATGACAAAATGGCCGTTCACCTCGCTTCTTTTTGAAATGCAAGGCATATCACATTACTGGCACTTCACATTTAAAAGTCCGAAATTAATTTCCGGAATAATTTAATTTTTCCAGATTATAAATTTAAATTGTTAATAAATGATGATAAATTCAAAATTCCAATTTCATTTTCCAAAATTTCAGAGCATGTTATATCTTCTTTCAAAATGTATTGTCAATTCAAGTTGCTATTCAATTATAATAAACAACTTGAACGTGGTTGTTCTACGATTTCTTACGAGCAGTTCCCTTTCAGTGTTTAGTGGCCGCGTAGCGGCCTCAGGCCCCTAGTAGTAATTATAATAAGATAAATATTGAATCGGAATATTATGAAGACCGAATGTCTTTTTACTATTTACCATAAGTTTAAGCTTATACCGGATATAAGACACTATATAGATGTTGGCTTACTGTTTTACAGTTTTTTTAAATTCTTACAAGCTGCAGGTTGATTATTTACATGATTATTTAAAGAGAGTAAAGTCAACGGGGGCACAGGAGTTGTTGGTGCTCTAAAGTTGAAGAATGAAAGAAAAGTGTCTTTTAATTGCAGTTATATGTATGTACTTAAATCGAATTAAATGAAAAATTAGGTAATAAACAGAGATGGTAAATGGATCCTCCCTCAGAACCATGGAAAAGATGAATAGGTATTATGCACGAAAGTCAATTTTTTTTATATAATGCATGCATACAAAAGTGTTAAAAGTGAACATATTTATATGTAACTATTATATAAAAAAATGTCATACCTAATTTTCGTGAGCTTTTCGCAAACAACATCAATATAAACTTTGAAGGATTCAGACTTTCAGCGATTCTACCTTTTTCTATTCACTCGAGAGGTTGCCAGATTGTGTGATGAATGTGAATATTTTACAAGGATTTGAATTGGGAAACGTGCTAAAAGCAACTTATCGGGCAATTAACAATTGAGTCCGGGAGGGACGAGAGGCTGCCTTCCTGGGAAAACCCATGATTTAGCCGGAAATGTCATTAAAACAATTTATTTCGTTTGAAGCATCAATTTTATACTAGGGGAAAGCTATTTTAAAATAATAATTGTAAATGGACACAGATGCTACATATTAGGAAGATGAGGAGTGGGCCGAGTACCGAACCTTGGGGAACTAAGGCCAAGATTGGCCTAAAATCCGATACCGCATCCTCGTATCTAACTCTAAATGATCTATCAGAAAGGTAGTTTATTAGTAATTCATAGTGATTATAGGGTAGACTCCGATATATTTAAAGAGCCAACCCCTCAATCCAAACCTTATCGAAGGCAGCTTGAATATCAAGAAGGCTGCCGCGCACACTAGCCCCCCCTCCATAGTTTTGTTGATAAAGTTAATGACTCTATGAATTTGTTTAACAGTAGAGTGTTTCCTGCGGAAGCCGAACTGATGAGGCGGGATTATTCTCATTTCTTCTACTATCGCGAGCGCATCCCTGTAGGTATGTCATTTTTTTACTGCGCTAGGGCGGAGGAAGTGAGCGAAAGCTCACGTTTGTAATTCCCGCGCCTTCTGGAGACAGCTGACTGTTGAGTGTTCGCGGTCACTCTATGATGACGTCATTTCGTCTCACTTTTTTAGGTTAAGCCCAAGCCAGTATATTATATTGACATTATTGATCCCACGTGCGAATGCTCCTCGTTCTTTCGACATTTCACGTTTAGGCAGTAATTACACTCAATTTTTTATTATTGACTTTATTTTCTTGTGATGTGTAATAGTAGTTAACCGCACTACCATGGGAAACAAGAGTAAAGTCGGAAAACAGCGGAAGGATAAGTTTTATCATCTTGCCAAGGAGACAGGTCAGCCCTTCAAAAATTTTTTAATTCTCGTCCGAAATAAATTTTTCAATGCTTTTTCAGCACAGTGCTTACGAAGAGGAAGAATACTATTAGATACGTTATCGTATACTCGTCCGATTCTGTTTGGTTCTTCCTTCTCCAAACGCAACCCAACAGTCTCGTCGACCCCCAGAGATCGTTGAGCGTTTGGTAAGGGCTTTTTTTTTTATCGCGGATCAGGGTGGAACGCACTGGATCGGAATCCTGAGCGATCCGGACCGATCCAAGTGTTTCAAGTGATAAAAAAATCCAAACTTGGAATTTAGTTCGATTTGTTATTGTTTTGACTTTTTGGGGACGGCAACTTCCGTGCATTAGGTTAGGATCACAGTGGATCGCGAGCTCTCCCCACCTCGGAAGAGCGATCCAGCGTTCCACCCTGATCCACCTGGAACGCTTGGATAAAGCTGAGGAACGGAATAAAAAAATACCGATGTTCATCGCGATCCACCGCGTTCCACTGCGATCCGTATTAAAAAAAAGCCCTGTAGAAACATTAGGCTTCTGTAAGTAAACAAAGAAGCCTTTGGGTAATTCTAACAGAATCCAACAACACCGACCGTTTGGAATGGGGTAATTCCTCCGCTGAACAATCGCAATCAGTTTATTAAGACAAAGTGGCTATCGATTCCATCTTTCTTTCAATCTCTTTTACTTCTCAGATGCGGGCGGTTTTAGCGCTGGCTCTGAGATAATCAGGAGGTCCAGGTTGAATCGTAGTGTAATAAAAAACTTAATTAGACTTCGAACAGGACATGGAAACTTCCCATCACATTTAAATAGACTAAATCTGAAAGACTCAGATTTATGCGATTGTGGACTAAATGGTGACTTAAACCATGTACTATTTGAATGTCAAAATCTAATAAATCGGGTATTTTGATTCAAAAGCTAACCGAAAATAACTACTTTCCTTCATTTAATGTCTCATACATACTTCACACTCCGGATCCCAAGATATATAAAATCATCGCTAATTTCCTGAAAGTCAATACTTAATATAAATCTTTAACAGGAAAAAAAATAAATAAAATAAGAAAAAAAAGAAAAAAAAATAGTAAATAATTAGATTTTTAAGTTATAACCAATTGTAGTAGTTATTTTGTAGGAGTAAACACCATCTGGTTCGCTGCGGGTAGTGGTTGCTTAGGAATTTTAACTATGTACAGGAAGACTATAACAACCTTACTTCTTGACTATATGCTTTGATGAACTATCTGATATCCTCTTCCATAGACTCGTAGTTAATATCCTCATCTTCCTAAATCTTAGAACCAAAAAAAAAAAAAATATTATAAATCCTAAATCCACCGTATGTTCACTTTGAATGTTATCCATGACCCAGTATTCCCCGGTATAAGAAGTCGCTTAGAAGGGTCTCTAAGCGTGAAAATGGTGATGCTAGAATAAACAAAATACCCTACCTTCTACTCATTTCCTTATCCATACATGTTTATTAGTACAAAGTTTGAAACTTTGTCTACAGATGGCTGTAGGTTCCACATCTGGAATATAAGCCAGTAAACCAACAGAAGAAGAAGGAGAAGAGGAGGTCCAGGTTTAATTCCTGGCTAGGCGATCGGAGTTTGATGATTTCAAAGAACGGTTGCTGGGGGGCTGGTTGTGCAGTATAGACTGAAGGGGGATGAGGCTCTAACTGAAAGCTCAGGATTAAGACTTCTGTGAAAGGACCTTGCACACCTCTTATGGGTAGCTCCACTATGACCACCATGACCGAATGCTAATTTATTTATGTCGTTCGATTCTTCTCAAGATGCTGATCAAAAGTTGTAATTGCGCCAACTTTTTACGATGCACCGTTTGTGCAAACGGTGCATCGTAAAAAAACTGCGGAGAAGATTCAATTATTCGGCGATTTAAAGCCAGAAAGATTCCTCATTTCAATACTCGATTGACGAGCGGCTGCATGACAAAAAGGAAATCACGGGAACCCCTGCACCCAGCGGCAGTCTTATCTCGGATTCTGCACGCTGTTTTGCTCAACCATCCAAATCAGATTCTTGAGGAGTGTAAGAACAGGAAAATCGGAACGTCAACCGGACGAGAGCGGGAGGGAAATTGCCCCAGAGTTGGCAGGTACAGATAAGAAGATGGACACGCGCTAGGTTTTTTTCTTATTTACATCGGATCTGTTCTCAAATGCTTTGTTCAAATTGTCTTTGTCAACATTTTTATTCATTGTCGCCGAATAATTGAATCTTCTCGGCGGTTATTTTGCGAAAACGGTGCATCTTAGAAAGTTGGCGCAATCATAAATTTTGATCAGCATCTTTAGGAGAATCGAATGACATGATTAAATTAGCATTCGGTCATGGTGCAGCTTCCCAGAAGAGGTGTGCGGGGTCCTTAGAAGTAGTTAAAAAAAGAAGGAAAAGATGATTCATGCTGTAACCATAACTATCCTTGTCCTGAATTGCTCTGTGATGCTTTAATTATAATACCTGTCACAATGAAATGACCCGCTACTAACTATTACAAGACTCCTTTGTTCAGATTGTCAACTATCTGATCAGTTATTCCTTATTCAATTTTTAAGCTTTTATTAACTTCACTTTGCTATTTTTCCTGATGTAATTCCACAGGTTATCGTTCTCGAGCTGCCTTCAAGTTACTGCAATTAAACCGCAAGTATGAATTTCTGCAGAAATCTCGTGTTCTGGTCGACCTTTGTGCTGCACCAGGAGGATGGATGCAAGTCGCCAAAACAAATATGCCCGTATCCAGTGTTGTCGTAGGTAAGTGCCTTTCAGCTTTGTTGGTGTGAAACCGACTGATCATATAACTTTGTTAAAGGTTTTTGATGTGTCAGTATTATAGATCGACACTTATTAGATCAGACGTTGGCTTGTTTTAATTTTTTACATTTTGTGAAAATTGAAATATTATCATCCCAATTCTTGTGTCTCTCTTGTAAATATTGCCATTGAAGGGTTTTACGATTCTAAGTGCATGTTGGGTACTAGTTATCCATACATCATTTTTAAGCTTATGAGCTTATGACTTCATAATGCAAATAACCTGCCTTTTCCACTCAGAACTCATCATTTTTCTAACTTTCCAGGCGTGGATCTGTTCCCAATCAAACCAATTCCGGGATGCATATCACTGAAGGGTGACATTACAACAGAGGATTGCAAACGAGAAATCTTGAATGAGTTGAAAACTTGGAAAGCAGATACTGTTCTTCATGATGGTGCTCCCAATGTTGGTGAGTCAACAAATATTTTGTATTCTTTTTTAATTTACATTATGTACCCTTCGAATACTTGACTAATTTCTTACGTGTCATACCTATCAGCATCATCATCAAGCTTTTTCTTTGAGGTTGGATCGTATTAATGATCAAGCTTAATTTGAATGGAAGACTGTCACTCAAAATTCTTTCGGGCTGCATTTGCTGAGACTCAATTCCAAACAAGAATGGAATATTAAATCAAGAGCTATTATTCAACTTCCAGCTCATCATTGTAATGTTCAGAGAAAAGGAAAGTAAAAGTAGACAAGAAAGAAACTTGAATTCACAAATTAAGCAACCAAAATGTCGGGATATTGCCGTCTCAACTTCTGGGTGAAATTCAAAATTTAAAAATTTATGTGTTATTTAGTCAGAGTTCACCTCGAAGAAGAGACCAAGGCATCCTTAAATGCGATGTCTTTTGAATTTTTAGTCCACAACTTGGAACTTTTTATACATTTCTGATCATCTGATTGCCTTTCTTTTAATATTATCATCTCTTAGTTTTTCCCCTGTTTCTCCTACCAGTTTCAGTTGGATCGCATTTAGCAAAAAGGAACCAGCGCGATTACAGTGATGTAAAAATGTTACCTCTCCATAATTATCCAATAAATCTCTCAGAATAGCAAATTTTTTTCGCTTCCCTCCAAAAATTGTTAATTTTAAAGGAAATAATAGTGTAAATTTTAATACTGTGCTTATATCGAGTATTTTTAAAAGGAAAGAAGAATTTGAACAGTTTTGAAACCACTGTCATTGTGCTGATTCCTTCTTGCTAAATACGATCCAGTTGTTCACGCCTCTCTTGATTTTGTCTCTAAGGTGATTCCTGACAGCATCACTGAGTTTTAGATATAATTATCTCAGTATTTTCATTATGAAAGCGTTTGATACCGTCGTTTGTAATGCAAGAAAAAAGAACCGAACATAGGGTGAAGAGGAAAATAATGCATGGAAGAACTGGAGTGATAATGACAGTGGAAGCAAAACATTAAGAGAGAACATATCTATGGAAACTTGACAGTGCTTGCAAGTGTTGTTCCAGTTCTTATACAATTGAGGCTATTTTCGGTTAAAGGGTCCATGTCATGAGATTTCCAATGCTGCTAAGATTTTGCAGTGTAGTTCTCTAGCTGTAAGTAGCTCATGGGACAGTTCTGCCATGAATTTTTGCCTGAATCTGCTCCAAGTTTTTCCTCACTATAGTAAGGAAATAAGTCGGCTGTGAATGAATTTCATCTGCTACAAAAGCAATAAGAAATTGCTCAATATTAGCAGCATTGCAAGCCCCATACATCTTTTTACCAAAAAAGTCCTCAAATATAAAATCAAAGGTTACGGAAAATGATATGGCAAATTGACAGAGAGAGGCAATTGTGTAGGCACAAATAATCTTTAAATCAAATTCAATGAAACTGATACAAGTCATTTAAATTTCCATTTCAGGTGCTAACTGGCTACACGATGCTTATCAGCAGGCTTGTCTGGTCTTGAGTGCTCTGAAACTTTCATCGGGTATCCTACGAGAAGGAGGATGGTTCGTAACCAAGGTCTTCAGGTCCAAAGATTATAACCCACTGATCTGGGTCTTACAACAGTTTTTTAAGAAGGTGCGGTATCTCTAAATTCTTCCTTGTAATGAAAAATGTTTCCGTACAGTGGCTAATATAATTATGTAAATGTGTCCCCTCAAAATCAGGGTGTCTATTGGTCCGTAAAGTCTACAAATAGTTCTGATTTTTCAGAAGCTGTCTGGAAGTACTGATGAAGTATGGGAATTTAGCAAATAGGTTGTGGACCGCGCATGTGTTTTAAGACAGCTTTGAAAGTATGCAATCCTTTGCGCATTGATTCTTAGTGCAGTATTTGCTTGTTAGATTGTGTTTGTCCAGCTTGTGTATCTTCAAGCCACCAATGAGCTTCGCATTTAATGGCTACGTCATTTTTGTCGCAATTTGCAAATTTCGTCACATAAAGGTACTGAAAAAGTACTGAATTTTTTGAGCAAGAAGGTCTACATACTTTGAGAAAGAACTAAAAAAATTTCTCCAGCTAGTTTTAGTTGACACCCAGAAGATCTTTTTCCAATACATATTCTTTGGTGTTGCTTATTCAGCACGATTCCTCATTTTTTCTCTTTTTTTCCTGTTGCATCAGTCGATATTTGCACTATTTTTGTTGTAGGTTCATGCCACCAAACCGCAAGCCTCCCGTCTTGAATCGGCTGAGATTTTCGTCGTTTGTCAGCACTACCTCGCTCCTACTAAAATCGACCCAAAACTTTTCGATCCACGCCATGTATTTCAGGAGTTAGACCTGGAACCCAAAGTCAAACTTTTTGACACGCAGAAGCCAAAAGCGGAGGGATACTCAGAGACTTACAGTGTGTATGGTACCAGAGTTCCAGTCTCAGAATTTTTGAAGAATGAATCTCCGATGGTCCTGTTCCAGCATGCAGCTGAGGTATTTATTTATATTTTGATCAGTAGTTGGTCAAACGTTTTTCAATTCTTCCAGTAAGTAAAAAATTAGTGTGATCTCACAGGTTTCAAACATTTAAAACCGTGGCTTTTCATCACAAGTGGCCAAAACGAATGCCTCAAAACCTAGGTAAAATTATAAGAATAGTAAATTACTCAGCAGCCAAAGGATTTTGAACATCTTTTTAGGTCTCAATTATCATAATAATTTTAAACAAATGTGAAAAGAAGGAAGACTGAACTTATTCGAATTCAGCTCTGTGTAACACATTAATACTTAATTAAACATGATTGGAGTACCATTTATGAACAATAAAATAAGGATTAATACATGAACCTTGATGCTCTTGCTTGTTTTTACTTACATAATATAGTACATGCAGAGATGGGAGTCGAAGCTTTTTGAACGTCTGGCGTTCATCATCAGGGCTAGCATACATAATAACAGCGAAAGGGCAAAATAACAAAGAACAAGCACTTATAATCTACATCATGCACAAAAATGAATTACATAGCTGAAACAGTAAATAGCAAAAGTTTGTAGCTGTACAGGTAAGAAAGGAGAGAGCGAGTTGACTAGTGATAAGAGCTGTTTACATACTGCATGAAGAAACTATTTGGTGAAACTTTGAGCCTTGTTATTAGTGAGGAAAGATTTCTCTTGGAAGAGGCCAGAGTCATGCTGTGCTTCATGGCTCACTACTGTCTCAAAAAGTTGAAAAGTAAATATTGGAAAAAATATGGTGTTAAAAATATTGGAAACTAAAATTGTTCAACGTTTAAATGGTTTCCAATCCGTTTTGCACTTTTTACACTGGTTATATATTATTCAATTTCATTTAACTTTGACCTAAATTTACCGCGTTTTTATGTGTTATATTATCTCAAATATTTTAATTTATAACCCCATCTCTAATAGTAAAATATCCACTTGATCAATTATAACTTACGTTGTACAAATTACTTTTATGACAAAGTAGGTATGTAATCAATTAAAAACCCTGTATCAACAGTAAAGGCTCACTGAGTTAAGAAATGCAAAGTACAGATTTTGACCAACCTATTTTTCCCCAGATCACATTTGATCCAGAGACAGAAAGACATCTGCTAAATCATCCTCTAACAACGGACGAAATCAAGGAATGTTGCAAAGATATTAAAGTTCTTGGTCGCAAGGATATTCGTAACCTGGTCAGTTGGAGAAAACATCTAGTTGCAGCTCTTCTGAAAGAGAAAGAAGAAGAAGACAAGAAAAATATTGTCCCTGTGGAGACTAAACCAGAAATAAAAGCCGATTCTGACAGCGAAGATGATCTGGATGAAGATGAGAAGGATTTGGAAACTGCTTCTAAGGAAATTGAAGCAATGCAGGTAATTTATCAAAGAGCAAGAAGTTTAGTGTTCATTTTGACCGAAGTAGACCAAAGGTTTTTAGAAGCAAGAAGTGAACTCATGTAAACAATAAATGCTTTTTTTCCACTAATAGTCAGGATTTGGAAAGTGTTAGTACGCCCATCATACTCAACGTAAAATTTTGATAAGGAGCACATATTGTAGTGCTAAATTTTTTACTCGGTTTAGTTGTCAATTAATTATGATAAATCACCAATGAATGGTGTCTCCAAATAGCTTCAACTTTTGAAAGTCGCAGCAAATGATTTGGCTGTTGATGTTACTTCAATTTCAGATTGTCGATTTGGTGATGTAATCAAAAGTTTTTTCAAGACTTGGTCTATCATATGAGGTATTGATTTTTAAAGTTTTCTTTGTTAATTCAACTTTTGACATCTTGCTTTCAGAAAGAGCTGAAGAAAGAGGCCAAGAAGAAGAAGAAAAAAGCAGCGAAGGAGCGGAAAAAACTTCAAGAGAAAATGAACTTGAACATGATACATAAAAATGATCTGGGACCTGTAGAAGAAACCCCTGATGATTATTTCAGCTTAAAATCCATCAAATCTAGGAAAGAGATGAATGAAGTCCAGGAAACAGCCCCAGAAGGTTTCGGTGATTCCGATGAGGAGAGTGAAGATGAACGACCCAAAAAAGTACAATATAGCAAAGACTCAGAATACTTGGATGATGATGGAAGGTAATTTTATTTAATTATTTCTTTGAATGTTTTTTTCAATAATACTGAAAAATTCAAATATCAATTAACTCTGAAACTTTGGAGATAAAAGGTAAGTAGAGGTGTTTAAATGAATCCTCATCGGTAAGCTATCAGTACTATCTGTATCGAAATATGGATACACTGCGAGAAGGTTACTCTTGGAGGAAACAGGCAACCCTGTCTTTTCAATGAAGGATTAACAAACCATCAAACCATTTGCTTGAATCTTTGATTAGCAAGCACTTTCAACATTTCCTCTTTTATTTGATGGAAAATCAAGCCTGTTTATCCTTCCTATCTTTTGTATTCTCTTTTTAAAATCTGGTTTATTATTTATTAATGTTGTTGTTGATCGCAGGTTAATTGACTCAGATAATGATTCTGATGAGGGGGCTGATGGTGGTGATGATGACGGTTTCGATAGTGACAATGAAGGATTGGGGTTTGACATGGAAGGCGTAAGCAAGAACTCCTCTAAAAAAAAGAAGGTTTCCTTTGCAGCTGATAGTGCGCCTGACACTGATAATCCTTTGATTACTGATCTAATGGACAAACGTACTCGAAAAGAGAGGCGTCTGCAGATGGCTGAGCTTTGGTTTGATAAAGTGAGTTTTTAAGTTTAGTAGTTTTTTTATTTGTTGATATGCACAGGGTTGCCACAGTCAAAGAATACCGAGAAATGTCAGAGAGTTTTAAAAAGTCAGGGAAAACCTGAAAATGTCAGGGCAAAATTGTCAAGTCACCTTTATTTCCTTTCTGGAAAGGGTATGACGTTTCAAACGACAAATTTTGCTTGAAAACTATTTCAAATCATGTCTTTTTAAGCAACTGGCATATCCACAATTGTCAGGGAATTCCACCAGCATAGAAAAAAGAAATCAGGGAAGTGTCAGGGAATTCCCATACCTAAAAGCTGCTTTCATAGCGCTCTGCGACACCCAGCCGCCAAAATTCCCTATCCTCCGGAAGTCCTTCAGGGAGTTAGAACTCCCTCATTTCCTTTAAAACCCCCGGTCAGGGAATTTCATTTTTTAAATTCTGTGGCAATCTTGCATATAGACTAGGTCTCTTCTCTCTTGGATGGTCTTATTTGACTAAATGATGAAGTAATGTTTCTATTACTTGTAAAATTAAAATGAAGTATTTTTTGTTTTCGACAGGATGTTTTCAAAGATGTGCTAAATGATGAAGATGAAGAGTATGAATTGGAGAAAATGAAAGAAGAAGTGATCAAGAAGGGTGGAAAAATAATCGAGGAGAGGAAGAAGTCACAGCAAGAACCTTCAAAGCACTCATTTATGGACAGTGAGGATGACTCGGAAGATGAAAGCGATGAAAGTGATCTTGAAGACAAGGAAAATTCCTTGTCAAAAAAGAAAGCAGACAGAGAATATTTGCCAGATGATTACGACAGCAGTGACACAGAAGAAGGTATCCAAATCTATACTGATTTCTTGTTTGCGTTTGATTTTTATGCTTTAAATTATTTTAAGTTTTATGTAATGCAGGGTTGCTGACGGTCTGGGAGACCGAGAAAATCAGGGAATATGTGATGACCGGGAAAAGTCAGGGAATTTGTTACACATCTTCTAATCACTGAGGCATCACTGATCTTCAAACTGTTTACCCCTCTGGTCATTTTAAGGCTCCTCATCTTTTAAGTTTTTACTGAATGCCTTTATCGATCATTTGATCGTTAAACAAGGAAGTTTTGTCCAAAGTTTGGAGAAAAACAGCTTATTATAAGAGGAAAAAATGGAACATTGGCATTCTGTTTGAAGATCAGGGAGAGTCAGGAAATTTGAAGGTAAAGAAATTATGGTAACTTTGATAATGTTTACTGTTTACAACAGTGCATACATTGAGAATAGAATGATGGAGCAAAATGTGAACAATGTATCCAAACTCTACCAGTGCACACTCTGCTGCCAGTGTGGATACTACGTTATTTTATTTCAGAACGAACAATTTGAGTGAAAACCTCTCATATAAGAATCATTATTTATAAAGACATGAAACTTGAGGGTTGCTTCAATCAGATTAACTTTTCATTATAGATAGATGAACTATTTTCATAGAGACCAACTTCAAAAGAAGAGGTAATTTTGTTGAATAATTGTCTGGATTCGATAGTAATAACATTTTACTGTAATTTTAATATAAAGATATCTATGTTTCATTTTTCCAATCATTTTTACTCATTTGGTTCAAGGTTCATCCAGATTTGTGTGAAATAATTGAAATTATATTTATTTCAGAAGAGAAAAAGGTTGCCAAAAAACTGAACAAGCGGAATAGGAAACATACTCTCACAGAGGAAGGTTTAGCATTAGGTGAAATGATGATCAGGTCCAAGAAAGCGAAGAGGGACATAATGGATGCTGCCTGGAATAGGTATGCATTTAATGATGAAAATTTACCCGAGTGGTTTGTCAAAGACGAAAAGGAGCACATGAGGCCACGCCTACCTGTATCCGAGGTAATTCTTACTTCTTTCTTTCTTATTATTGCAAAAAAATTGTGTTCAGGCCAAGAGATTGAATTAAAAGTTTATTTTCATAGATAACATTCAATTCTATTTCATTTATACCATCCAGTCGTAAAAAATTCGTCCTGACGGGAGAATTTAACTCCATTCCAAGGTTGCCAAATTGATTACAAACATTAAATTATTTAACAAAAACATACAAGTGCAATTTTTATCCAGAATTTTTCTAATTTTTGTATGTAAGCGGGGGAAAACCAGTGAAATTTTAAGCTAGAAATTCCGAAGATTCTCTTAATTAATATGCAATTTGTAAGGGAGACTTTGGCAACTTTGAAATGGAGTTATGTTCTGTCTTAAGGGAAAAGACGAATTGATAGGTACAAAGGGTTAGGAAAACACAAGATTTTTCCTGTCCTGCAATTCCTCTCTATCTCAGAGTTCTATGATTGTCCGCACAAAAATTTTGTAAACCTACAATTTTGAAAGAGGAAATTCAGTACCATGATGTCAATTTTAAAATAACTGCAGAGTTAGTTATTTTCATGCATTTTGCTGTATTCCTAATGACAAAAGACTGAAGTATGTCGTATTGTTCATAAAAAGAAAAGACGAGTTCGATGCAACCTGCTGAATTTAAATATTCATGACAGTGAAACATGAAGGACGAATATAAAGCACACAAATATATGAATGTCAACTCAGTACATATCTCACTTAGTACTTAGTATCTTAAGGATCAAGTTCAATGAGCTTGTTCAGCAATTCGTAATTCTTGCATTTTTGGAAACTAGAGAGTGCACAGAGTTCACAGGAATTTTCCCCGATTTTTTTGAGCAATATTAACCCACGAAATACGAGTCCAAAAGTCCGTATTTTGGGCTCCCATTTAAACGCGCGCCGCTTGGCCCATCTCAAAATGGCGCCCATTTTCTCCGTCCGGCGGTGGCCACACTTTTGACCCGGCGTGCCGGCGAGGTACCTCTGCATGCCTCTGCCGTGTGTGGGTCGTATAAACAAACGAAGATTGATAACACAAATGATCCAAACAACTCGAAATCTCTTAATTTTAATTAATTTAAATCCATTTTCGACTTCAACCAAGCATTTGGCAATAATATTCATCGTATTTTACAGCCAGGAGCCACGGCCTATCGGCTCATTTTAAGGTGCATTCTGAAAATCAGTCTTACAAGTCCAGTGTCCAAACCCAGACTTTCTTCTTTTACTTTTTTTGACCATTCTCTTTTCATTTTCGCCTCAAATCAAATGTTTTGCAGTTTCTTTGTCTTAAGTATGTGGTCCTGAATTCATTCAAGAGTTAAAAGTTCACCATTCATTTAGTATTATAGCCTTTTAACCTCTCAAGCTTTACCGATATGATCTCATGCAGTTCGAGGTTTCTTTGGCCCAAACCAAGTGATTACACATCTGATGTGTGTCTTATGGCTCTTCAAATTCGCAGTTTAGAACTAAATCAGAGACTACAGTTACTTAATCCAGTTCTGCTCTCTTGCTCAATGTTTGTCATAAGTGTTTGTTCGTGTCTGTTCTTTATAAGTGACCACTGTAGTGCATATACACAGTTATGCTATCGGTACAGGTATTATTTCTTGTTTTCTACAGTCAGGACTTTCTCTTAAGCGCAATAATTTACCAAAGAAATTCACCTAGTTGCGTAAATAATTTGGTGTATAGATATTCTGTTAATGTCTCCTTGCGGTGATGCAAAGTTTCTGAGATCTGTCATAAGTGGATTTTGCATTTAGACGGTCACTCTTGTCTGATAAAATTACTGCTCTAGCAACTTCAAATTTATACTTTGATCTCTGATTCATCACTAAATGACACTCGTGCGGGGTCATTTATCTTTAATCAGTTCAAAGCTATTTCGACAATGAATCATCAAAGGTCCGATCGAAGAAGGAATTTTCTGGTGAGTGCTGCGGCTGAACCGACATCACAACTCTACTATCGAAAGCATCAACCAAGACATGATCATTCGTCTGGAAGTGGAAATATTTTGCAACTCATCAGCAGGCCGATTATTGAAGGCTTAGAGCAACCCGACAAGACAACAAATTCCGATATATTACATGGAGAAGATAGGGCTATGTCTTTTCATATCGGGCTGACATAGTTTCAATAATCAGGTAGCTGGTAGTTTAACAGGTAAGATTTGTAAAGTCACTTAGGTATCACAAGTTACATTCGTATCTCTTGTGGAACAGTGTTTGTAGGTATGCTTACCTTTGTGGAGATTAATTGATAACAAAACGAGCATATCGATGTCATAGCCTAACTAGAAAACCATGTACGTAGATTTACAAAGTTTCAGACTTTCTGTTTCTCTTCGATTATAAAATCATGCAACGAAATGTTACAAATGTCATCCCCAGATAACCTTAACCATGTTCCTGACTTATTCTTATGGGAGGATGTAATTCTATGTCTTTTCAAAATCCTTCCATCCGTCTGTACCTGAGAAATTCAGTAAATCAGCCGACTTTCGGACTTTTAACCAGAATCGTCGGCATCTTTACAATTGAAATGATTCTTATGTGTTTTTGAACAAAGGCATTTTATTAAAATTTTTGTTGGACAGGTTTGATTCACCCTGAATTCTTAAATAGAGAGAAAAAAAAATATTTTCTTCACTCTAGAAAGACATGAAACTGACCAAGCTGTAGGTAAGTAAGTAGTTTTTGATTACTTCATTCCATGAAATGTGATGAGCCTTGTTGCTGCAGGAAACACAACATACTAGCAGGAATCCTCAAATAAATTTTCTATCTTCTACAATATCTGTTGATACTTAAGTATTTGATGATACCTGCGAAGTACAAAATTTCTGAAAAGACACTGGGAATACCAGCAGAGTCATCTCAAAATTTTCTCTCAGGAACAAAACTAAAAATTGTGGAAGTTTCCTAAGAATGCTCGGAAGACATATTTACGTATTATTAATAGATGAAGTGTAGCCTGCTACATATCATGTCGTATTCCTCTTCAAATATACATGCAGGTGAGTAGATTTTGAAATTTTGAGCGCACAATTTGCTTAAGAAAGAAGCGAGCACTACCATGATTTCCACTTACCATTACCACTTCCTCATAAATTTTTATAAGTTGATGCTTTTGAAAGTTGAGTTGTGATGTCGGTTCAGCCGCAGCACTCACCAGAAAATTCCTTCTTCAATCGGACCTTTGATGATTCATTGTCGAAATAGCTTTGAACTGATTAAAGATAAATGACCCCGCACGAGTGTCATTTAGTGATGAATCAGAGATCAAAGTATAAATTTGAAGTTGCTAGAGCAGTAATTTTATCAGGCAAGAGTGACCGTCCAAATGCAAAATCCACTTATGACAGATCTCAGAAACTTTGCATCACCGCAAGGAGACATTAACAGAATATCTATACACCAAATTATTTACGCAACTAGGTGAATTTCTTTGGTAAATTATTGCGCTTAAGAGAAAGTCCTGACTGTAGAAAACAAGAAATAATACCTGTACCGATAGCATAACTGTGTATATGCACTACAGTGGTCACTTATAAAGAACAGACACGAACAAACACTTATGACAAACATTGAACAAGAGAGCAGAACTGGATTAAGTAACTGTAGTCTCTGATTTAGTTCTAAACTGCGAATTTGAAGAGCCATAAGACACACATCAGATGTGTAATCACTTGGTTTGGGCCAAAGAAACCTCGAACTACATGAGATCATATCGGTAAAGCTTGAGAGGTCAAAAGGCTATAATACTAAATAAATGGTGAACTTCTAACTCTTGAATGAATTCAGGACCACATACTCAAGACAAAGAAACTGCTAAACATTTGATTTGAGGCGAAAATGAAAAGAGAATGGTCAAAAAAAAGTAAAGGAAGAAAGTCTGGGTTTGGACACTGGACTTGTAAACACTGATTTTCAGAATGCACCTTAAAATGAGCCGATAGGCCGTGGCTCCTGGTTGTAAAATACGATGAATATTATTGCCAAGTGCTTGGTTGAAGTCGAAAATGGATTTAAATTATTTAATATTAAGAGATTTCGAGTTGCTCGGATCATTTGTGTTATCAATCTTCGTTTGTTTATACGACCCACACACGGCAGAGGCATGCAGAGGTACCCGCCGGCACGCCGGGTCAAAAGTGTGGCCACCGCCGGACGGAGAAAATGGGCGCCATTTTGAGATGGGCCAAGCGGCGCGCGTTTAAATGGGAGCCCAAAATGCGGACTTTTGGACTCGTATTTCGTGGGTTAATATTGCTCAAAAAAATCGGGGAAAATTCCTGTGAACTCTGTGCACTCTCTAGTTTCCAAAAATGCAAGAATTACGAATTGCTGAACAAGCTCATTGTTTTAGTTAATTTTTAAAAATAATTTTGCCAGTATAAACCAATATGCCATGGCATTTTAAACATGACGTGGACAATTTAAATTTTTAAGGAAACTCTTTTGCATGTTGTTTATCTCCTCTATACACCGGTCGGACGCATTGCGAGACTGAAACGTGTCCGACTGGTATAAAAGAAACAAACAACATGCAGGTGAGTTTCCTCAAGAAATTTAAATTATTAAGTTCTTGTGCGAACCCGAACATCAACGCTATGACGTGGACAGTCTCAAACAGCCCAATGTTGCTACAGTCAGGGAAAACCGGGAAGTATCAGGGAATTTTAAAAAGTCAGGGAAAACCTGGAAATATCAGGGATAAACTATTTTATCACCTGTATTTCCTCTCTAGAATGGGTTTGACGTTTCAAATAGCAAATTTTGCCGGAAAACTATTTCAAATCATGCATTTTTAAGCATCTGGTGTATCCTCAATTTTCAGGGAATTTCATCAAAATGTGACAGAGAAATCAGGGGAATGTCAGGAAATTTCATTTCCTAAATTCTGTGACAACCATGAGTCAGGGAAAATTAGGAAATGATGGGAAATTTTAAAAAGTCAGTGAAAACATCAAGGAAAATGACCAAAGTTTATAAATCGTTAAATCCCCTTTATTTCCTTTTTATAATGTGTTTGATGTCCTGAAAAACAAATTTTGCGAGTTTGGGTGTGGAAGTGGCAATTTTAACCCATCCCGCACATCCTTAACTACCAGAGAATTTTACCAAAAATTGTCTGAATACTCAGAGAAATGTTGAGAAATTTCATTTCTAAATTCTGTGGCATCCCTGATCTTGTACATAGGTTGTCCCAAAAAGAATGCAATGATGGCGATTTAAAAAAAAACTAAAAAAGATATCAACATGCGATGTAGACAGAGCTTTAGACAACGTAATTACCGATGAAATGAGACCTTGTTGAGCTCATTTAATAAAAAACTCGCCGATTTACAGCGTTTTAAAAATGGCGCGTTGGCAAACCGCCTGCACGATTTTTAGGATGTTTTCTCAAGAAAAACAACCAAGTTGCAAATCATTTTGTAAAAAAATTAAATGACACGATCAAGTGAAGCTGGCAACACTGGGGCTAGTGGTCACGCGTTGCCCCGGAAATGGCTAAAATTCGGCCGGCAGCATGCAGTCCGGCAGTCGTGAAACAGGTGTCATTCACTCTTCCTAATCTTGTGCCATTTTTCGCAATGATTTCGGAATTAAGGAGAGAAAAACATTTCGTGATTCGTTTTTGTGTTTGTCTTGGTTTATCATTGGCAGATACATTTGATGAATTACAACGTGCGTACGGTTAATATTGCACAAATCGCATAATGTTGTTCTCTCCTTAACTCCGAACTCATTGCGAAAAATGGCACAAGATTAGGAAGTGTGAATGACACCTGTTTCACGACTGCATGCTGCCGGCCGAATTTCAGCCGTTTCCAGGGCAACGCGTGACCACTAGCCGCAGTGTTGCCAGCTTCACTTGCTCCTGTCATTTAATCTTTTAACTACATTTTTTGTAACTCGGTTGTTTTTCTTGAGAAAACATCCTAAAAATTGTTCAGGCGATTTGCCAACGCGTCATTTTCAAAACGCTGTAACTTGGCGAGTTTTTTATTAAATGAGCTCAATCAGGCCTCATTCAATCGGTAAGTACGTCTTCTAGAGCTCTGTTTAAACCGCTTGTTGCTATCTTTTTTAGTTTTTTTTCAATCGCCATCGTTGCAAGTCTTTTTGGGACAACCTATGTATATTCAAAGTTCAAAAAGCTTTTTCTCTATTCTATGAGTACACATAATGTCCAAATTTCCAACTGCCATAACGTTTGGTTTGACTTTCCCAGGTTTTTTTTGTGTGCAGTCAAAGTCATAGTGCAGCAGTGTAAAAGCCATACTAACAATTGTCAAAGTTTTGGAGGGAAAAAGTTCAGGGGCAAATCTCGGATTTTACGGCCATCAAAGCAGAATTGACGTTTTGATCCAGGGTTGATAATATTTCAGTTTAATTTATTCTTTTAACATTTTTTCTTATTCACCTTTTAGGATCTTGTTCAGAAGTATCGAGACAGAAACAACCCAGTCAATGCTCGAACAATAAAGAAAGTAGTTGAAGCAAAGGCAAGAAAGAAGAAGCAAGCAGCAATGCATAGAGAAAAAGAAATGAAGAAACTAGAGAAGGTTATGGATAATCCAGACATGTCAGAGGCAGAAAAAGCAAGGCAGTTGCGACAGTGAGTATCTTATTAGTATCTTTGTCGTCCCTGTTTCAGAATAATTTTTCCCACCGCAGGATTGTGTATTTCTATCCAGTATTTTAGTATCCCCATCAAAATTGAAATCAGCTGACTTTCAAATTTTAAAATTTTTGTTTCATCCATCAACAAAAAGTTATTATGGACAAAATGGAAGTCAAAGAGGCAAGAAATTCTGACAAAATGTTTCATGGTAGTCATTACATATCAATGCAGTCGACTCTTTTATTGGCTGTGTTCTTTGACAAATTGAGGTTAAATGACCTAAGTCCGATGGCTCCTTTGACTTTTCCCGCTCTTTAAAAGCGTAGCAATATGAAAGCTAAGCCTTGTTGGAACCACTGAATAGGTAGAATGATTAGATACTTTATTCGTTCATAGGAATCAGTTGGACTGCATTTTGCAATTTGGAACTATAAATTTTGGCTCCTTAAAAACACTTATGTGCATAGGGAAACTAATGGCACATACGTTATTTTTAAACCGGGCTAGAATTTATAGTTCCAAATTGCAAAATGTAGTCCAGTTGTGCTTGCATTTCTACTCTTGTCTGACAAATTACACCAGTAACTAGTCAACATGGTAAATTGTTAATTGACGAATTGGAAATCATAACCAAAAGAAAGAAAAACTGCTATACATATTAAAGTAACCATTCTGGTCGTGGGACTTGTTCTTGATAAGTTATTTGCAGAATTATCTTTTAAAACTGTCTTCTGGTGAAATTCGTTTTTTTCAGTCTGCTGAATGAAGTGGACTTGAATAAAAAATTATTTTAGTAATAATAAAATCTTTTGGGAAGCAGAGAAGAAAAAACATCTGATCCTCATATCTCGGCTTACACTGCCACCCTTTCATGAGATTTTTATTTTTGTAAATCACATTTGTACTATTCTTCATTACATTTTTATTTCCTATTTTCAGAGCTTACAAAAAACTGAAGAAAAAGAAGACTGAAATTAAGTACGTTGTAGCCAAACGAGCGACTGCTGCAAAACGTGCGAAGAGACCACCAGGGGTCAAAGGACCTTACAAACAAGTCGATCCTCGTATGAAGAAAGACACCCGTGCAAAATTCAAAGGTGTCAAGAAAGGAAAAGGTCGCAAAGGCTCAGCCCCGATTAAAGTGAACCAAGGCATGAAGAGAGGCAAAGGCAAGAAAAGATGAGAGTTGTGGAACCCAAAAGCGGGACCTAATACCCGATCTGTATATCTGTATAGTTTCTTATGTATTCTATTGTACATAGTCTTATACTTTTTTTTAGCCAAATTAAGACAGTTTCTTCTCGAGTCTTTTGATTAATTTTAGCTTTGAACAAATGTTTCTGCTAATTTTTAATCATGTGCAAATTTTGTGTTTTATTTTCAATAAAACTGTTGAACTTATCATCTTGGATTTTTTTCTTCTACAGAGCCGTAGGTATACTGAAATAGAATGTAAACTGAAGGAACATCATAATTAATGATAATTTTGATTCTATGTAAGTAATGTGTCAAAACCAGCATGCCCAGCATGTGCAATGACCAGAGGTGATCATCGTAGTGAAGGTGGATTGAAAACTTCCAATTTCCATTCCAGAATTTGACTGATAAGGCTTTTGAGCAATCGTAGCCATGAGCAGGGGTGCTGATAAGACAAAGCATCATAGGATGAACATATCAAGGGGGCCAGAAGAGGCGGAACCCACTCAGGATAATTATTGAAAAACTTCACAACCTGAGAGTGTATCACCTAAAGAGGACAGTTTTCACAGAAGGAAGATTATTTTCCAATTAATCAATTTTTGGGATGCTAGTTCTGTCCCTGCCTCAAGCTATGGCTAGAGATGTACCATTTCAATAAATTTCTTAACCAAAAATTCTGAGGAAAAATAATGGGACAGAAGTAGGAACGCCTAGAAGTGAAACTTCAATCTTGAAATCTAGAAAAAAATTACCATTTCTTGAACGTGAGAATTTTGTGTCTCATTCCGGTTCTTTTTCCGCATGTTTCACTCTACGCCTCTAAGCATTCTTTGAAATTTTATCAAATTTTCTGAGCAAAGTTGCAAATTCTGGTCAAGCATCCCGAAATCATGGTGCAACATGTGATGATCAGATACTAGCAAGAAATAATCTTATGAAATCTCATATCGACGGTGAAACTACCAAACCACGTATCTCGGTTCGCGGCGTCGCACACTTCCCGTCATACTTTATTTTTTAAATAGAAAACTACTCAACGTCAATTCGTGATAACTTCTGTGATTTTTCCTCTTTGTGCAGAGAAAAATCTGTGAAAATTGTAAGGAATGATATTGATTTGATCTCCGTCAAAAAAATAAAATGTGAGTGGAGATTTTTAAACACCGCAAACGAGATACGTGGTCTGGTAGTTTCACCGTCGATATTCCATTTCTGGTTACAATCAACTGATGAGAGATCTTTTATGCCTAACCAAAAAGTAAACCTGTTCTAGGCGTTTTATAAAGAGAAAGGGAATCGTCGAGAGAAGTTTTTCCATTAATTAAAGGTCGGAATCACAACTAGATAACAGTATTTGCAGTATTTTTTGCGGTGATCGAAAGCTTCTCAATATCCTCTCCTCTAGTAGATTTCGCAACAGCGAGCTTACTACACAACCTTGCCACCCCTCCTACCTGCTCCCCCCCCCCCCCCNCCCCCCCCTTTGACATTTTCATTCATTCACCATTCACGTAGGTATTCTTATCTGGGCGCCACCGTAGCGCCACAGTCGCTCGAGTTCCGTGATCAGTACGAGACGAGGTACGAGCTGCGGGCGCGTGTTGAAATATTTCTATCAGCTGACGAAATTCCTCAATTTTGTGAAGCACTTCTCGACTTCTCCCGAAAGTATTTTTCTTCACTTTTCTTGCTTAAGCAAAATGAAACCGTAAGACATACAAAATCGCAATTTGTAGTTAAACGTGTGTCTGTTGTGTTCTTGTTTTTCTAATTTTACGTGACCGTTCGAGGAATGGGTTGTGACCCATTGGTTTTCCCCGTTTTGCCCTTATCGAACTTGGTTCTGCTCAGTGATCATCCCATGCAAATCTCTAAAATTTAAAATCCTCTCTGAATGTGGAAGATTAGGATTCGTGCCGTGTGCCGTGCTTCCTGTCTGTGTCGCATTAATGCACTAGAGGAGTCTGAGGACAAGCTGTCAACTTCTCTCAGGTGAGTGAACTTTCTAATCAGTCAAGGTCTTGCTAATCAGTTGAGAGCGCATTCTGAGACCTTTCGAACCCTTTTTCTAAAAATACTCTTCTGTAAACACGACATGGAAGCAGTTTAATGAACTTGGAACGATGTAGAAGTCTTAGTAGTCTACTCTATCCTATCACTCAATCATTCCTATCTTTTGAGGTTAGAAAGAGAAAGTGTGCTAGTAAGATTTTATTTTATGCTTTATTTTTCCAAGTAAATTTACGATGCTTTCCTTGTGAGGCTATGTTAAATAGCTGCCATAATTTTCAGGTAAATATGATGTAATTTCAATAGCTGGACTATTAATTCAAGGATTTACATCCGAACACTATTGTTGTCGTTTTGACAATTGCATCATAAGCTGTCTTTATGATGATCTTGAATGCAGACAACTTAACATCTTTTGTGAAAAAGCACCGAAGATTCTTATTTCTGTCAGTCTATGAAGTGCCATCTCAACCTACAGGATCTAAATGTAGCTAAGCCAACCTGTGACATGAGTTGTAGATCAGCAGAACCCTTAATTCCAGCTCTTACTCTCAACATCACTGGGGATCGAAAAATTGCTGGAATTAATAGTGTCCTGTTGCAAATTGGCTGCTTACCTACCTAGGAAATTAATAAGTAAATCAATAACTCTGGTTGCCTGATAAATTCTGATACCTGTACACCCATGGGTTATACCTACTATAATGGGCAATAATATTTTGTGTAAGAATAGAAAAAACTCTAAGTACTTATTTTTTCCCTGACAACTCTGGGCCTGAATCATTACTATCAAAGAAATAGATTTATCCTTTCGGTGTGTCGGTCCAGTAAAGTTAATGATAAATGTTCTTTATCGTCACAAGTAGATGTTGCCAAGAGAACATGCACTTGAGATTGAAATTCAAGCTTGCTACTTCCCCCGCGCATACATTATTTGACTTTTTTGTGACCAATTGTGTAAGTGACCAATTTTTTTTTCTTTTATTTCAATGGTTTTCTGATTTTCAACTCTTTAGGAGGTCTACAACTTAGACACAGGGGTGCAGAAAGTTCTTCGGCCTATGAAGTTTTGATCAACCAGGAATTCAGCTATTATAGCGCATTTGCAGTAATTTTTAGTAAAATATAGCACCATTGCAGTAATTTTCTAAAAATTGACCGTGGTTGCATTAATATCCTAAAAATTCAGCATTTCAGTAGTAGATAATTGTCTCTAAACTTACTTAAAGTAACGCTCTCGTAGGTAGTAATTTTTTTCAAAATTTTAATACTTGCTTAATCTGCAATTTTCTTAATAATTCAACAATCATGCAGTAATTTTCTCTAAAAATTCTTGCACCAGGTAGTTTTGAAGAAATCAGTGCAATCACACTAATTTTTACAAAACATCAACATCCTTGTCATAGTTAGGTTTTCTTAAAAATCAGTGCGTAGAGCGTTCAAGTTCACTCTTGAGAGGAAAACCGATCTCTTGATTCATGTAGGGAACCGAGCTTCTTTCATCAGTTGTTTAAGCCTCATACTTTTGGTTATACGAACCATACTTTCGGTTATACGAACCATACTTTCGGTCTCACGCTGGGTTTGACGAGCCAAATAGTTGGATGACGTAGGACGCCGCATTCTCCTTCCTTTCATAAATATGCAATTTCGCCTACTCGGAAGTGAAAAGAACGTATCGCGCGTTTCGCCTAGCTCATCCAACTTTTCTAATCTGCGTATAAATCTTCGATCTTCGATTGAGCATTCAGCGGAGAAGATAAGAAGCCTCTTTTTCTTTGTCGTGGATTTGCGAGTTTGTTACTTGATAATTGTGACCGGATCTGTGAAAAGGGTCCTCCTCATCTTCCGGAAGAAATTAGCCGAAACCAGCGGAGACTTACAAGGGGAACTTACGGACCTGCCGCCTCCGAATAGGCTGAATTTTTTTTACAGACTCTATGGACCAATTCTAGAGGTCAATTTGAGCCGTTTTCCCGAATGCGCAATAGGAAGGGCGTAAAAAATTCCCAAAAGTTGCGTTTTCGGCGTGTTATTTGGTCGTGCGGCGCGTGGCAACACTGAAGCAGCCTCTAGTAACGCTTTATCGGCCTGATGGTTTCAGCGGAGTCCGGAGCCCTACTGCACACGTACTGGTTCCATGATAGTGATGTCCCGGGTTCGATCCTCGACTTTTTATTTTCCGCATTATCACGTAACATTTTATTTTTCATTCTTCATCCGCATTTATAAATCAAGCATTTCCGATCACTATCCTCCCCCCCTCATTTTACGTACATTTTCCCCCGATATTTATTCACATTGGCCACATATAATCGTATGAAACTTCATTGATATAAATTAATGAATTAAAAAGCAAAAGAAAACCTTATTTGTTACTACATTATCTTCAAATGTTTTCCTGGAAAAATATGTAATGTGTAAATAAATCGAAGAGCAACCCCAAACCCATGTGCATGCAAGGGTCACCAAGAAACACATTATTTTAGCCTTTGCTTTTTAATTCATTAATTTATATCAATGAAGTTTCATACGATTATATGTGGCCAATGTGAATAAATATCGAGGGAAAATGTACGTAAAATGAGGG